AATGGTGTTTAGATTAGATACTTTTTCGATCACTAGTTATGGTTGCTCATGTGTTATGATTTGGTTGAGTTAAACCATAGTTATATAGTGATTTATTCAGTTCATGTAATCTACACTGTGATGAGGGCACTCACAAACATGACATCTAGTTCACTTTAGACCCTTGATCTACAAAGTGACCCTATTTAGGCCTATGTTGGCTTGTCAGTTTCTCCTTGTCATAATTAGTTTTTCCTATTCATGATTGTTGTTACGACCTCTATTTTCTTGAGGGTCTCCTCATTATGTCATCTTCATCCATCCTAAGTACCTCCAATATGAGTATTTAGAATTTCTCCTCATTCTTGAATGGCTTTTGTGTGCTTCAATTGTCTCATGACTATCCAAATAACTTGCCTAGAATTTATTGGGTATAATTACTCTTAAATTTTCTTAACCAATTCATTTCATCATGTCACTAGTGGTTTTGATGTGTCTTCAATCCAAAGCCTCCACTAGGTCTTGGCATGTCTTGCAAGAAATAAGTTGTCAATAAAAACTTCCTCCATGGAAGTACTAGCCAGCCTAAGTCCTTGACCTTGATTTAGAGGTATTTAGACGTTGCTGATTTGAGTTTGAGGGTCATTCATGGCCTCCTTCATTTATCATTGCAATCTTGTTGTCTGTTGGATAAATTCTCTCCATATTGTTGAAATTTTATCTTTCTAGGCTACATAAGACGTAGCCATTTTGCCTATCTAGTTGTAGATCGACTGAATCTCTTCATAAAATCTCTCAACCAATACATAAACTGCATCATGGCCTCACTAGCATGTCCTTCTATTTGTCATTTGACCCTCCATCTACTCTTACAAGCTATTATACTCAACTTATAATTTACTCATATGGCCTTCAACAGCTCTAGTTGTGAACTCTTGCTACTTGTAAGTTAGACAATTATTTTCTCTTGGGTATTACTTCTATGATAACTATATCAACATTGAAGAAAGAAAAAAGACAAGAGTGTCTAACATTTTTCATACCTTAGCTTTGATATCTCTATAACAAGGAAGTTAGTTACTCTGTATGAAATTTTTATTAGATGTTTGGTGATTCAATCCCCACAAGCCCATGTATCATCAATATGGATATTCTTGATAACCAAAGGTGTTTCATACATAGGTCCAGGGGTCCCTCTTTATAGATCAGTCCCTGGGGATTCCTTACAGTTTTAGTATGTGACTAAGTGATAGTGTCAACATGAGGGTTCATCCTCTTAAGTGGACCCACGAGGAGGGAGAAGAGGGAAGAGATGAGACATGGTCACCCACGCACCCCTTCTTTTCTAAGGAAGGCACCTCTCCCTCTAAGAGACACCATTATGCATCCTTTGAGAGGGGGCACCTCTAACTACCTTCCTCTATTTTTTATAGATCTTCAAAATCATGAATACTTCAAAAAAGAAAAAAATGAATTTAAAATTAAGAAAGTTTTTGTTATCTCTCATCTCTTGAATTAAGGGTTCCTCTTCTCTCTCACTCACCTCTTGGATTAAGGGTTCTTATTCTTTCTTACTCGCCTCTTGAATTCAGGGAACCTCTCTCTCTTTCTCTTCTCTCACTTTGTCATCCTTTCATCTTGTTGTCAATCTTTCATTTTCTCTCATAAGTCGTCACTATCATTCCTACCGTTCTGCCTCTTAGCTGTCCACTATGTCACCAGCCCACCTTTCTTTCTTACTTGCCATTGCTACCTTTTTAGCTCCTCGCCACCCATCTTGTTGTTAGCCTGCTTTTCTTTCTCTCTTGTCATCTCTACCTTTCTACCTCCTCACCATGCACTTCATCTCTATCATTTTGCTTCCTCACTATCCACCCCATCGACACCATTCCACCTCCTCCTCATCCACCATGTCGTTGTAGTTCCACCTCCTCATTGACCATCATGTCAAAAGATATTCTCCTTTCTCTCTCTTGTTATCACCACAAAACCCTGTCTTCTCTCTCTCCTACCAACACCCTCAATTCGTGCCTTTTCTCTCTTTGACCCTTTCCCTTTTTATTATTTATTTATTCTCCTCAATTATCGACATCACCTCAATTCCCCTCATTCTATTACTTATTTAGTTATTTATATAGACCCTAGCTACTTGGCCCAAATGACTTATTCTTTCAAACTACACTTCTCGAGCCATTTAGATCTCATCTCTATTATTTCGCTCCCTCTTTTATCCTTGTCATTGACCATCAATAATTTTTCTATCAAGTGAGAAAATCTCGAACAAGACATAAGGAATTCTAACGAAATAAGAATCTTTCAAAATTAAGGATCTCCATTGCAAAGTTGTGTTGATTTTTAATTTTTTGTACAGTTAGTCATTATTTTTTAAAATTCTTGCTCTTAGAATTTGTGAGATTCATAAGATAGCCACATTCATGTAAGAGATTGGTGGTCCAAACCCTAGTTGAGAAGCATTATCTAATTCTTTAAATTAAATACCCTAACATGTAATTAACAATCATTATTCTCTTAAAATTGTAGGATTATTTGGATATTAAGCCCTCAAAGTTTTGATTTAAGTCAACTGTAAAGACCAACATTTAGTTTTTGTTAAAGGGATATCTTTTGACCTCCTTGACCCACATCACTAAGTTTTTTCATTCTAGATGATGTCGTGGTGGTGACATCCCCTGCTCTCTATCTTGATAAAATCATGCTTGTGACATCATCATCTACTTTGTGGCCTTAGATTGTTATGTCAAGATCATATGCAACGTCGTCATGTCTTCTTGTATGAACAATGTGTTGGCATGCATAGGCATCATATTAGTAAGCATGTATTTCATGCTGTTGTGTACATGTGCCATGTTGTCGTGCGCTGATGCTATATTTTCTGCTCCACTGTGCACGATGTGTCTTCTTGCTGAGCATGGCACATTATTATTGCTAGAGGCAATTTCTATGGAAAAACTTTACTAACACAACAACTTAGACAATGATGATGAAAAAACACACAAAAGGCTATAAGTACTTCTTAACATCACAAATGGCATTCCCACACTAAGGGTCAAAGTTTCTCTCAACTTAGCACAAGAATGACAATACCAAAGACTTTGAAGCTAAAAGGAACACTCAAGACACGTGTAGTCACTATCTTGATTGATTTCTCAGTAACACATAATTTTATTTAAAATGAGTTAGTTTAAAAATTACAAGATATGAGATAATCCTACAAGATAGAGTAATAATAAAACAAAATGGCATTTATATGGGTGTTAATCTTGAGGTCTCGAACATATAAATTGTCAATAGTTTTTTTTCTTTTCAAACTCCACAATCAAGATATCATCATTGATGCTTAGTGACTACATATCTTCAATTACATCAAAATTTATTGAGAATTGTTGATCAAGAAGTTAAAAATTAGAGGGAAAAGGTCTGACACTAACATGAGACATGACAATGGGCAGCACACGTTTACTTCTTAAAATTATTCTTAAAAAATAGAACATATCAGTTATTATGTATGTGCTAGTGATAGAACACATGCATAACATGAAAGGAGACAATTATTTCTAATTTACCACTATTATCATAATAAGTGATAATGATTGTTGATGCTAAAAGTAGAGATTGTGGCATTCAAAATAACATATTAAAACAACATGATGAATTAGCACAAAAAACACTACCTTTATACAAAATATCTCATTAGGGTTCTCAATAACATTTACTTCGGTATGTATGCTTCCACTTCAGTGCACTATTAATCATATAATTTATTTTTTAATTGGTTCCTAACTAATTATTATGTGACCTTTTCATTATTTATATACACAGATAGATGTCATAGAGTAACTAATTCATGACATGTGTGGAGATAAGATCATTGTCAACTCGTTGAATCAAGAGAGAGAGAGAGAAAAAGATAAGCACAATAGTTTATAGTGGCCCTAATGGGCTAAGTTCATAGTGGGCCAATGTCATAATCTAACACTCCCCTTGAAACTAGAGTGTATAAGTCAAACATGTCCTACTTGGTTCCTAGTGAGTCGTAAGAAATACTATTGAAATTCTTTGTGAAGATGTCAACGAGTTGCTTGGCTGATGACACGTGTGGAGTGGTAATGATGCCCTAAATAGTGTGACAATCAATCTCTATGAGCATTATATATTTGTGGAAGGAGAGATTTGTTGCAATAAAGATTGCAATTCGATTGTTGTAATGCATAGACATCAGAAGTGGTGTCAAGACCTTTAATTCTTGTAGAAAAAATCAAAGCTATACCATCTCATATGTAGTATCAACTATCATATGATATTCTACCTCAACACTAAAGTGGGAGATGACTTACTACTTCTTAGAATGTCAAGTGCCTAAGTTGTCATCAATGTATGTGTAATACCTAATAGTTGACTTACGATCACCCTTATCATCAACAAACTTGACATTAGAGTAGGCTTCAATCTTGAGATGCCCACGACACTAGTAGAAAAGCCCTTTTTAAACACTCATTTGATGTATATAAGAATATAGAGTACTCCCTTCATATGTACCTCCGATGGTTACTACATGAATTGACTAAAAATGCCAACTGTATAATCCTAGAACTTGGGTCGAGCCTCTATCGGCGATAAAGCAAGTTTAGTTTATACCTCAATATCCTTGTCTCTTGAAGAAGTTTCAATATATATATTTTTTAAGAAAGAGTAAACTTTTTTTGGCAATAGACAAACTCAATCTCTAAGAAATACTGTGGAGTGAAAAGATCATGGGTCACAAAGTGTCGATAAAGATATATTTTCATAGTAGAAATATCAATCTCATCACTACCAATCAAGAGGATATCATCAACATAGACCACAAGCACCACACACCCACTCGATGTGATTTTGTGCATCACAATCGGATCAACCATATAAGAAACAAAGTTAAAAATAATGATAAGACGTGTGAACTTCTCAAACTAGGCACAGAGACTCTACTTGAGATCATAAATAACCCACTTGAGTAGGCACACCTAAGAAGTCTCTCCCTGAACAACGTATTGAACATAGGCAAAGGCCTCTGTAACAACTGGTCGATAGTAAAAAGTTATGATAACATCTATAGCTACTTGTACTAAAAAAAAGGTAAGTGTCATCTCATTCAACGAAATCACTATAAATAAAAGTATTTAAAATATAGAGTTGATGGAGATATCACACTTGATTGATTACTAAAAAAAAGGTATATGAATAAAGTTGAGATGAATCACGAGAGAGAAGGTTTTCGTATAATCGATGCCATTGGCCTAAGTGAAGTCACGAGCAATGAGACATAATTTGTGATAAACAATAGAGTCATTAGGGTTGTACTTGAGGGAATACATATATTTAAAATCAAGACATTGACGTCAATCAAATAAGGATTGAGTTGCCAAGTGTTGCACTAAACTAGGCTAAAGTACTTGACGTGACTTAGTTGTTGTATAGTAAATCATGTAAATTTAAAATTTATCAATTAGAAAATATAAATTTTTAGATATTTAAAAATAGTTTTGAACAAATATATCAATTATAATTAAATAAAAAATTTAAAAATAGTGATAATTTTTTAAGTTGATCATAAGGATGTAATATAATATCAAATAATTCTTCATATTTTTTCTCAAATAATACTATTTTTTATAAATTTTAAATTAAAAAATAAAAATAAAATATATTTAAAATTCACAAAAAAGGGAAATAAGGGTGAAGACATCAAGATGACATCAGTGCCTAACGAGCACGAATCAAGTGGAAATAGAGTTTCACCTGACAATTCTTACGTAAATGATTATAGATAATTTAATTGATTAAATTAAGATCTATAAAAGCTAAAAGAATCATAATTGAATGAAGTATAACTTAGTAAATTTAAGTCACACAAAGTATTATTAAATGAAGTGAATATTAAGTTGAAAGTAGGAAAACAGAGTTCTGGCATTACGTCGGTGATGCACCAAAATCTTAAACATTCAGGAGGATCATCATGTAGTGTCTACAGCCTCAAAGGTTCTCCTTAGACAAGGATGACATGAGCAATCTCTAGATCTCCTTACAAAGTTTAAAGATTAATGAAATAGATCGTTGAATTGTCTCTGACGACTATCACCCAACGGAGCAGAAAAATGATGACTTTGCGGCTCTTCGATGGTTGTCACCCAACGGAGAAGAGTTAGATGGAGGTGGGGCACGTGTCAATGAGCTTCATCCTCAAGTCCATACAACAAGATGAGGCTCTTTAATACATCCGATACACTCTCAGGAGGTGGCGACTTGTCTCCTTATAGATCGTCATCTTTCAGACAATGACATGTTCATCGATCAATCGAAGATGCTTTACTCGATGGATTTACGATCTTTTTATCACGAATCATTCAACAATTTTAGTAACAATGCTCCACAAATCGTGCTGACAAGATTTTTGTCAATGATCTAACGATTCTGGCAGCTTAATCCTTTACCTATAATATGCAAGAAAGTCACAATAATTAGATAAAAAATATGAGTCTTGGCTCTGAGAGGATTTGAACCTGTGCCGATTGTACGCCTGTATAAGGAGAGTTAGAAATGAGCTCATAGATGACATTGTCATTCTCACAACCCAAATCAATCATCCATCTAGTATGCATATCTTAAAATACCTAATGGTAAAAAAAGAAGATGGCGACATAATGTAGTGCATAAGTGATGACACTACTTGATAGAAGATTGTCAAGAAAATCGAGGACATAAAGCATGTCTCGGAGTGAGAGATTGGCAATGAGAGTGGTCGTGCCATACCCTTTGTCAAGACAAGAATGATTGTCAATGACGAAAATAGAAAGAAGTTAATTAGTGGGTGTAAAGCAATAAAGAAGGGAGGAGGAGCTCATCATATAGGTAGAGGCTCTTGAGTTGATAAGTCAAGAAGTATGAGAGGCGAGTAGAGTGTGTGTACCTGAAGTCGGTGCATCATACATAAAAATGGAAGTAAGGTTGACAAAGGAGCCATGAGATGAAGCACAAGATGCCTTCTATTTTGCACACTCTTCAAGAGTCATGGTCATCTAGACCATGAGAGTGGACGATGCAAACGGAAGAGCCATAGAAGGCAAGATGCTTGTGATTGTAACTTAACCTTATGTTGGCCTATCAAACTCCTAATATTTTTCAATCAAGTGATTTTGCCTACCATGATACAGGCACAAAAGGAAGGAATTCTTCTACTTAGTTGATCCCTTCTTTTTCCTGATGGTTTGGAGCCATGACCTCCACCAACACATGTGACAACAAGTGTAGAGGGGTCGAGAGCTGCAGAAGTGACACGAGCAAGAGGTGTGCTAGTGTGCACAAGAAGAGTTGTTGACAAGATATATGTCATTGGAAGAATACTAGTGTCATTGGTTGGTGGTTGATATACAAATAGCTTGGTGACGATATCTTACAATTTGTTGAAATATTCCTCGAGCAATCAACTACCTTGCTTACAAGTGAAGAGTGATTCATAGAGATGAATGGTATGGTTAATGTTGATCTTATTCGCATACATCATCTTGAGCATTTGCCATAGTAGGTGAGCTGACTTTAGGCGATTGAGAGGTTAAATAATGGAAGGCTCAATGCTCTGACAAAGTCATGTGCTGACAACATAGTCAAGATGTCCTTAATGAAGATAGTCTATAGACATGACATCATACAAAGGTAACTGGAAGTGATGTAGAAGTCAATGAGCGTGAAAAAAATCTTCAAATATAAACACCCACGAGTCATAATTGGTGCCATAAAAAAGGTAGGCTAGGTGAGTCAATGCGACCATAATGGAATGTCGGGGAGGGAATGAGCAAGAGATAAGGTAGAGGATATCGTCACCGAAGGTAAGGGTGAGTTATAAGAAGATGACCCTGGTGTATCTGTCATCAAAAGAAGAGATTGAACTCATTGAGATGACGAGAGACTCAAGCAGACGTCACGCAAAGAGGTAGAAGATGCACACATAGGCCGATGCATCAGAGGTCCAAAGATCACGGGCTAACACGAGAAAGGGCTGGACGCCCTAAGATCAGCACCTAGAGGGTTGGCGTGCTAACGTGGAGGGCAAGAGATATTGGTACAACATGTCAATGTGGAGTGTGAGAGAGGGCCGGCACACAATGTGTGCAAGACGGCTGATGCGTGGTGTGGGGTAGGGTGATCTATGTGTAAGAGAGAGGGGGTGCAGATGCTATACAAGTAGCAGCACGAAGAAACCAGTGGCTAAGGCCACTGGCGAGGGGTTGGATGCCCTAAGATTAGTGCCTAGAGGGGGGTGCCTTGATGGTGATAGATGTTGCTCAGGCAACAATGTAGAGAAATTAGTGGTTGGGGCCACCAACGAGGGGATGGGCGCCTTGCGATCAGCTCCCAGAGGGAGGTGGCTTGATGGTGATATAACTCCCTAATGAGCTCGTCACAAATAGAGGCAGCACCAAAGATGCTGTTGGAGGATTGACGATGAGGAATGATGATGTGAGTAGTAGAGCAAGGGCAATAACTCTAATATTATGTAGAGAGAAGTGTACCATAAACTCTTAGAATTGAGAGAGAGAAAAAGGAAGATAAGTACAAAGGTTTATAGTTGCCCTAATGGGCCATAATGGGCCAGGTCCATAGTAGGCCGATGCCATAATCTAACATGTTTGATTGGAGAGTAATCATGCCATAATCCTCTTAGTATCGACTATATAAACTTTATAGTACTAAGACTAAGATGAGCGTACTATAAACTTTATAGTACAAACTTTAAACCTATAGTTAGGCGACTATCAAACTAGGATGAAAGAATAATAAATACCTAAAATAACATTTATAACTCATGAAGGTTACCATAAATTTATAGTGATATATGTGATCTCAAGAATATTCTATTTATATTATAGTTCTTGATAAATCAAGTTTTTTGACCTTACATATGCAACTTTATTTTATTCTTTTTTATGATATTGTAATTTACAACAAAATATGAGAATAGCATTAGAAGCATCTATTGTTGACCCTAATCATTCTAAAATACTACTAATTAAATGTCAACATTAAAAAGTATTTTATTTCTCACCAATAGTTATAATTTATGAACTATGTAGTCTTGATAGAAGGAGTCAAAGTTGATGAAATAAACTTAGAAGTAATGAATTAATAGTTGTCACCCCACAACAACAAAGAACTTAATTACTTTTTAAGACTTCTTAATTATTACATGCATTTTATAATAAGTTATGTAAGTATCACATACCCATTAACTAATATACTAAATAATGACACAACCAATGTTATGATATAATTGACAAAGGTCAAGGAGCAAGTATTTCAAAAAATAAAAATAATGATATGTTCACCAGTAGTGTTTGTTCTGCTCAACTTTATAGAAGCCTTTGAAATAGAGGTGAACACCTTAGACAAAAGCATGGGCATAGTTCTAATACAAAAACAATGACCAATATCATACTATAGTTAGGCCCTTTTCATCATGCAATCAACTCAAGCCTAAATATGAGCGAGTATTGGTGATGATTATCTTTACAATAAATAAGTGACAACATTATTTGATTAGACCCTACGCAATATCCAAGAGATCATATAGTTGCATGTCATTTCATATTCTATCATTTTCAATTGTGATAAGATCTTCCTCACTCATTTCTTGTCATAGATTAATCAACTATAGATAACTAAGTTAAAATAAATGGCCAAATAAATGACCAAATGAAGTGAGTCAACAAATATATGTAATCATTTCTTTGATGCTTCTCCTTTGACAAGCCTTGTCATTAGAGCATATGGCTGATGTGGCCCAAGTTATGATATAATTCTACTTTTTATTGTTTCCTTCAAATGATTCCTTTTCTGTGCTTTGTATGGCAAGGACTTACCTCATTGCCTACTTAGGCTTGCTACATGTGGAGCCACCAATATTGTTGGAATTCTTTGAGACATGGGATGAGATGTTGAACATTATCAAAAACAATTTAGCTCATACTTAGATGCATATGAAATAACTAGTAGATTGTCATCGTCAAGACATTCAGTTCGAAGTGGGTGCTAATTTCTATCTGAAGTTTCAAGCATACTACATAATGAAATTGATAAATAAACAAAGCAGCATTTGTCTCAAATTTTTTTAGATGTTTCATGATCATGGAGCATGGCATAACAATAGTCTATTGTCTAGAACTCCCAATCACATCCTAAATCCACATTGTCTTCTACGTCTCACGACTCAATTATATATTGGGACCACAATACAATTAGAAACCTCTTCCTATAAGTTTGAACAACAACATATAGTGTTAGTGCAGCTAGTAGAAGTCAACGATGCTAGACTCTTTTTATGAGGATATGAAGTCTTGATTAGGTGTCACAACCTTTCCTCCTTTGAAAAGATATGGGAGTTGGGAACCCAAATTGTATAGCTCTTCCTAGATATGCACCTTGGGGACAAGATGTTATAGGTGGTGGGAGATGATGTAAGACCCTTGACTATTAATGGGCTTGTGGGCCATAGATATTTTTGAAAGAAAAAAAACACCATGTTATATCAAGGGCCTGAGAGTCATGAAAGGACTTACCTCTCTAGAACCCTAGACTATATATGAAGAGAAACAAGACATGAAAGGCTAAGTTTTAATTTTTCATTGAGGTTAGGGAAGTGTGGACCACTTGGGGTGGAGTGGGGGACTTTGTATCAGTTATTTTATATTTTGAATAACCCAAAATGTACATCCTTCCCTTCTTTGTTTGTCTTTCATGTCCTAACTTTTGTTATAGTTGCAAAGTTTCCACAATTTTTCAAAAATTAACTGATAGTAACTAATTGTAATTATATTTTCATTAAATACCAAGACAAAATTTTAAGGGTCAAGAAAAATAAAAATAAATGATTTAATTCATCTTCAACTTGAAGTCCAAATCAGTAAAAATAGGCTGATAGCTTTTCTATAATCTCAGCACAAAAAACATAATTATGGGCCGATTCAAATCATATTTTTCAAGTTCCAGATGTTAAGTGGGCCTTAACTGCCATGGCGTGAAGAGGCTTCGAGGAGTATTTTTTGGGCCCATGTCCTCTCAACAGCCCAAACAGTAATTTCCCAATCTCAGCCTGATTCTAAGGGTGGCCCAAAAACTATTCAGCCATTGGCCAAAAAAGTGAAAAGAGACACCAATGGCCCATGTCGAAGGCGCAACTCCTCTAGGGCGGATAAAGAATTCTCCTCGTCTCAGCGCACAAAATCACACCCGGTCTTAAGTGGGCCTTCAGAAAAGTCCAGTTCCTCTAATGCGCCAACTCCCGATATTGGCCCAAAACTGAAAAAACTGAAAGAAACTGCCCCATTTTTACAAAATTTGAGAGCCCGCTTCGATAATGTCGGGCCCAAAACCGTGCATAACCCAGCCCATGTGCTGGAAACCCCCGAGAATTTCCACGTGGACAAGACAGGAGAGTGATTAATAAATATCTTAATAAAATTGTTGTAGGGGTTAGAACGCCTACGTGTCGCTATAGGATCAGACGACACGTCAGATATTTAGTTCCAGAAAAAGGTCTGCTTCCTTGTTAAATTATTTATTTAAAATACGACGATTAATGAATGAAATAATATTACGAGCAATGGCTTAGACGGACCGAATCACCCGTTAAAGGATCCGCACTGGTCCTTCGAGAAACTTCAAACGGACACTTGTTTGCTTCGGGACATCTACTGCGAGAAGGGGCTTTGTTAGGGTTTCGTCTTTCGCCTTCCTCGATCTCCGGGGAGAGTACTGTGCCGGCGAAGACAATGGCGGCCGTCACCGCTGCTCCACCGGCGCGCTCCGGCGGTGCCTCCTCGTCGAAGACGGAGAGCTATGTCGACACCAAGCGTCGCGAGGACGTGCGGCAGGCGAATATCCAGGCCGCTCGCGCGGTGGCGGACGCCGTTCGCACCAGTCTCGGCCCCAAGGGGATGGACAAGATGATCGCCTCCGCCAGCGGTGAGGTCATCATCACCAACGACGGCGCCACCATACTCAACAAGATGGAGGTTCTCCAGCCCGCCGCGAAGATGCTCGTGGAGCTCTCCCGCTCCCAGGACGCCGCCGCTGGGGATGGGACCACCACCGTCGTCGTGCTTGCCGGGGCCTTCCTGGCCGCTTGCCAGTCTCTTCTCTCTCGCGGGATCCACCCGACTACCATTTCCGACGCCATCCATAAGAGCTGCGCCAAGGCCGTCGACATCTTACAGTCCATGTCCGTGCCCCTCGAGCTCTCGGATCGCGAGTCGCTTGTCAAGTCCGCAGCCACTTCCCTCAATAGCAAGGTTGTGAGCCAGTACTCATCTCTGCTCGCGCCGCTCGCCGTCGACTCCGTGCTCTCTGTGGTGGATCCTGCACGTCCTGATCTCGTCGACCTCCGGGATATTAAAATCGTGAAGAAGCTAGGAGGCACTGTCGATGATACAGAGCTTGTCAAGGGCCTCGTCTTCGACAAGAAAGTAAGTCACTCGGCCGGAGGGCCTGGTAGGGTTGAGAACGCTAAAATCGCGGTGATCCAGTTTCAGATCTCGCCGCCCAAGACCGATATCGAGCAAAGTATTGTTGTCTCAGACTACACTCAAATGGACAGGATTCTCAAGGAGGAACGCAACTACATCCTTGGGATCATCAAGAAGATCAAGGCTACGGGCTGCAATGTTCTACTAATTCAGAAGAGCATTTTGAGGGATGCTGTGACTGATCTGTCGCTACATTACCTCGCCAAGGCGAAGATCCTAGTGATCAAGGACGTGGAACGGGACGATATCGAGTTCGTCACTAAGACCTTGAACTGCTTGCCAATTGCCAATGTCGAGCATTTCCGGGAGGAAAAGCTTGGATTTGCCGACTGCGTGGAGGAGGTGTCTGTTGGGGATGGGAAGATCGTGAAAATTACGGGCATTAAGGAAATGGGAAAGACCACAACCGTACTTGTGAGGGGATCCAACCAGCTGATGATTGACGAGGCAGAGAGGAGCCTCCACGACGCGCTTTGTGTGGTCAGGTAGTATCTTCACTCAGTTCTCTCGAATATCTTCAAAAGTTACTGCCGACGTTGAGAAATTTCAGAACATCTTTTTAGATAGATCACTGCAGCCTTAAATTGATGTTCGGTGTTCTTAAGCTACATTGTTCACCACAATATATTTAGGTTTTCTTTTTTTCTGTTTTTTTTTTTTTGCGCCCTGTTGGGTCCCCCCCAGGTTGGTCTGTTTCTCTGAAACATGCATGAAATCGGCTATTCAATGATTTCCACAGATGTCTGGTCAACAAGAAGTTCTTAATTGCGGGCGGCGGTGCGCCAGAGATCGAGCTGTCAAGGCAGCTCGGGGCTTGGTCGAAGGAACTCAGGGGGATGGAAAGCTACTGTGTCAAGGAATTTGCAGAATCCCTCGAGGTCATCCCATACACCTTGGCTGAAAACGCAGGCCTGAATCCCGTGGTCATCGTGACGGAGCTGAGGAACAGGCACGCCCAGGGGGAGATCAACGCCGGAATCAACGTCAGGAAGGGGCAGATCACAAACATCTTGGAGGAGAACGTCGTTCAGCCTCTTCTTGTCAGCACCAGTGCCGTCACTTTGGCGACAGAGTGCGTCAGAATGATCCTGAAGATCGATGACATCGTCACTGTCAGGTAGACGTCCTGCATTCTGCAGATGTGGTAGAGATCACATCTAGAAAGAACACCCTTTTTTTTTTGAATGGGATGGAACAGCGCTCGTGGTTTTCCCTGTTCTGTCTTCGTTTCACTTGAGTTATCTTCTCTGTTCTTGTGTTGTTGCCATTTTCATGCACGATCCTTTCTTCCTCGTCTCGCTTCCAGAGGGATCGACTCACTCTAATTCTCTCATCTGAAGAATCCTGGTAGGCAACCTTCTGCTCTGTTTCCACCTTTGCATTCCAAATCCAGAAGCATCAGGAGATGCATTCTTTCTTAATTCGTGCATCATCTTGCTCTAAGAAATTCGAATTAATTCTTGCCATTACACGAAAATAATTATGGTCTCGCTGCGAAATCTATCATTATCTTGCTCTAAGAAATGAGAATATGTGTATATAGTTTTTCTTAGAACACTTTATGCAAAACTGCATTGATTTTAATTCATCAGAAAATCGAATTAATTCGTTCCATTACACGAAATAATTATGGTCTCACCGTGGAATTTATTATTGTTTTGCTCTTAGAAATGGAGAGAAGTGCAAATAGATTCAGTTTCGCTTAGAACCCTGGATGCGAAACTACATTTATTTTTGTTCATCAAAAAATAAATTCGAATTATTTTATATATTTGCAAAATTGCATTCATTATAACTCACCAGAAAATCGAATTAATTCGTGCCATTAGGGGAAGTAATTAAGGTGCACCGCGAAATTTCCCATTTATCTTGCTCTTAGAAATGGGTTTGTGTAAATAATTTTTGTCAGGACCTTGGATGCAAAACTGCATTCATTTTCATACACTGGGGAGAGAAGTAATCTGCTCTTAGAAATGGGTTTATGTGTAAATAATTTTTGTCAGTACCTTGGATGCAAAACTGCATTCATTTTCATACACTGGGGAGAGAAGTAATCCATCCAATTTCTCTCTCTGCCTCTCTCTGCAGTATTGGGCAAGGATGGCGGCCCACGAATCAGAAACGGGCCGAGCCACGTAGTGGGGAAAACAACAGCCCACTGGGCCGTTGATAGAATGGGGGTGGGTTTCCATAAATGCATGGCGTCACATCCACTTTGGGATTCTACGCCGCCACCGAGGGTAGTCCGCCAGCCTGATTCGACCGTTGCGGTGCTCGTCCTGTCCGCTGCCACCGGCCCCCACCCCCGTCCAATCTCATCTCCTGTGCGCAACAGTCAACAATCCTTGCTTCTCTCTCCGGACACCCAGAATCTAATTAAATTCTCAAACTATTTATCCTGTCCCAGAGAGAGAGAGAGAGAGAGAGAACTCGTGACCTTCTCATGCACCGCTCCCAAGACCTGGAGATGTTGCAGCGGCTGGATAAGTGCGTTTTGCCCCCTCTTTCCTCCTCACTCCCCTCCTCCCCAGTCACCCTTCTTCCTCTCTCTCTCTCTCGCTCTCTCTAGTTATCTTTCTCTCTCTCTAGGTATCTTTGCTTGGATGGAAGGAGACGGTAGCGGGTCACGGCGGGCGGCGTCTGGGGGCGGCGGCTGGTCTTGCCGGAGGCGGCGGAAACGGCGGCGCCTTCGGGAGGTGGGCTGAGCGAGAGGAGAAGGGAAGACCAGGCAGCATGAATGGGCTTCGGCGGCGGAGACCCGCGTGGGGGGCCGTCCGCTGTGCGGGGATTGAGGGTTCACGGTCCGATCTCTAGGTACCTTCTTCTTCCTCCTCTCCTAGGGTTTTCTTCTTCCTCTGTATTCTCTTTTCCCTTGCTTCCTGTTACATCATTTGTGGCTCTCTTATGCAAAGTTTCGACAATACCTCTCTCTCTCTCTCTTTCTTCCCCCTTCCCCTCTCTTTCTCTCTCTATAACTAGGCAAGTGAAGGACGTGGGAAGATCTACAAGACGGTCTCTCTCTCTCTCTCTCTCTCTCTCTCTCTAAAACTGGGGAAGTGGAGGAGAGGGAAAGCAGGCGATTCTGAATAATGTGATAAAATTTCTGCGTGGTTTGATAACGTTGCCGAACATCCGACGAAGTAGGCAAATTTATCGATGTACCCACTTAATCTATGGCCCAATCGAGATAATATTCATGGGCTATAATTTAATGGAAACCTCCTCATGAGCAGACCAATGTAGGCTCCGAGTTCTTATTATCGAAGGAGGATGAGAGTTGTATCAAAGCGGATGTGGGGAAAGGTTGCTGCTGGTCACTGCGTCCTTGTTTTCCAGCAGATTTTTTTAAAATTTTAATTTGACATTTATTTTTCGAGAAAAAAATGCATTGTTTTTGAGGGAACTCCACATAATCCTTGCTGCGTTAAGTTCACGTGCCATGATATTCTGAACGGCGGATAAAGGTCGGAGCTTCGTAGAGTTCGGTCCAGCCTTGCCTCCCTCTCTCTCTCTCTCTCGCTGAGTAATGGACCTACTGGCCTGGAAACCTAATGCCCTAGCTCATGATCGTATGATAGCCTACTTCTTCACATCACCCTCTCTCTCTGTCTCTCTGTCTCCTTCTCTTTTACTTCTTCCTCCCTAATCTGCCTTGTGGCAGCCACCATGGCTCTCCGTAACCGCTTGCTCCTCTCTCTCTCTCTCTCTCTCTCTCTCTCTCTCTCTCTCTGTCGTTTTCTCTTTCTCTCTCCGTGAACCAGGCCATAAGTTGACGCCATTAGATGTGAGAGGATCAAATAGAGGAGGGGGGATTTGCTTTGAGACTCAGACGCCGTGGGGATCAACCCACAGGCAGAAGTGATATATCCCCGGAAGCTGTGAGCTTCCGTCCTTCAACTCGGGCGACTCCCCTCCTATCGCAGAGTGAAGGAAGATGAAGAAGTTGGACTGCCCCTTATAGGGTCTCTAGTGGAATGTGTGCGTGTATATGAGAGAGAGAGAGGGAGAGAGAGAGATAAAGAGAGGGAGAGATTGATAGAGAGAAAGAAAGAGAGAGAGATAGATAGCGAGAGCGAGAGAGAGAAAGAGAGAGAGAGAGAGAGGAGGGGCTATGTGCGCCCGGTCCTTATGCCGGACGAGCACACAGAAAGTAGCCTTCATCTCTACTCCTCTTTGTCTGTCACAGCAAAACCCACAACCAGCTGATAAAACTAGTCATAGAAGGAGAAGCCAGCAGCAACAAAGTGGGGGAGGTGTGGGGGGGAGGGGGGGGCTATCCTCGTTTTCGCCTTCTCTCTCTCTCTCTCTCTCTCTCTCTCCCTCTCTGCAAAGAAAGGGGTCAGAGAGTGAGATGCCCGAAGAAGAAGGCTTCCCACAGTTTCGGCAAGTCAACCTCCTTCCCTCTCTACAGCCTCCCGTCGAAGGGGTCTCCACTTCCCTTCCCATCCTCTCTCTCTCTCTCTCTCTCTCTTGCTCTCTTACAGACAAGTAAAGAGCGTTCTTGTCTGAAGCCGTTTTCCGGCCTTCTTCTCCGGTCCCCAGTTAGGGGAAAAAAAGAAAATGGATGGTTTCTCTATGAACTCTCTACCATTCGCTTCACGCGTAGACGTCAAAATAATGGTTCTACATATATGCTTAAAATAATATTAATATATAATAACTAAAACTATACAACATATTAATTAAAGTATATCTAGACCTTTCGTGAAATCAGTATGTAGATCATGTTCGCTCCACCCCCGCGGGAACATCCCTGCCTCCTCGGGCGACGAGAAAGAGCGAGAGAGTAAGAGTGAGAGAGTCTGGAGTCAACCCGCCCATTGACAACATTATCAACGTGTTTGTTGTCCACAGAATCATGGGAAGTCAACGTTTAGTGGGACGAATAAAAAACCCACAATCTCGGATGTCGTGATTGGGGAGGGGGGGGGGAGAAGGCAGGCCTAGTTAGGGTTCTTGAGATGCACCTCGATCATGTCGTCGTCCTCCAAGCCGAGGATCGCCGGGGTTGCGGATGGGCTGATCTTACTCCCATCGAAGCAGAAGACCAGGCTCTCGGGTCCGCACTTGGCCCAGCCGGCGTACATCTTGAAGAGCCTCTCAAACTTGTCGTCCTGCTACCACAGACAGAGAAAGACCGCTTGCATTGGATTCATCTCTCTACAAGACAGAGGTTCCTCGTTCAAACCCACGACTCACAATTTTATCCACTTTGTTCGGAGAAGTCAAACCAGACCATCGACCAGGTCTGGTTTGACTTCTTCTGAAATCTGGCTTCTTCGGATCCGAGTAATGGGGAACGGATGATGGCAAGAAGTCAACTATTTCCCAGATAGGAAGGAGTCTGGAAGGCACTTGAACTGGATTTCTCTGGTATAATTTCTCAGGTTTCGTTCCCTCTGATCTTAAATAATCTCCAGTGGGTTCATTTCGCCCTAAATGTGGAAGATTTTCACTGCCCATCACTACGTTTAAGTCAACTCCTTCCTTGATCATCCAGAAGCGGGAGATTGTGACGATGAGTGGTTTTGTAAACTTTATGAGAAGAAAGTAAAGATAGATTTCGTTTTCACATAAAATTTATGAATCTAATGAATGAGAGATTGATTTCTGACTAAATTTTCATATTTCTATGACATGAACAGATGAAAGAGCTTAGAGTTTGAAAAAAAAAACACTGGAAACGAGAAATTAAAATTTTTAGAAGAAAAATAATTGATTTTGAAACAACATAAGTTTTTCTTTTTTAATCACAGTACCGATAATTATTTCTTTCTATACATTCATCACCTAAGTAATTCCAACAGATGCAAATAAAATAATAAATAAATAAATTTGGTAACCTAAAGCCATTACCTTGTACACACGGAATTGCTTATGCCCGTCTTTGTCTTGAATAGAGATGAGGATTTTGGGTCTGTCCACGTTTTGTTTTACTGGTTCCTCCGCTTCAACTTCTGGATCATCAGATTTTTCAGAGCTGTTCAGCTCCTTCTTAGCGGATTCGATTACTGCTCTCATCACATCTTCCGCTGACCAGGCAAACGATGCCAGTTCCTGCTTTTTCAACCTACTTCTCAAATCATACGTGATTATGCAGAATCAATATGACACATTGAACACAAAAGAAGCTGTTAAACTCATTAACCAGCAGGTCGCCAAGGGAGGAATTCAAGTCAACCCAGATTCATCCAAGATGCAGTGGAGTTGGCACACGATCAGCAAAACTCAAAAAACCTTCACTAACGCTGATACAAACTAGTCAACTGTGGAATGCTTAAACCAGCGGAAGTGAAATCCGACACCATCTAAAACTTAACTATCATATATAACCGAAAACCATGGTGACAACCATACAGATGACAAAAATGCTTGTTCGATCGGAAACGTTACAAGTTTCTCTTAATGCCTTCATTTTCTGGGCCTGAAAGGATACCTGTGATTATGCTAGACAAGGTAGCTCTTGATATAATATCTTAAAAAAACTGCAAGCCGCAATATGGAGTAATATAATACAATAATAAATACTTGAATCGATTATGATTGGGGAAAAAATAATTAAAGAACAGCATGCCATGAAATGGCAATCACAAGTACAGACTGTACATTGCTATTTTCTCGCTAATGCCTATCTTCGATTCTTTTAATGGGATGGAAAGAAACAGGCCAATGACCACAGGAACCTTTGGTGGAAGTCAATTTTACCATGGTGTCCCAGATTCTGCATTCTTTAGGGGATCTGTCATCTAGACCTAAACAATACCGCTACAGCTTTTTCCACACTGTTACTTAAAATAAATATTCAGAGACTGATATTTTTATTTATGTTAATGTTATTGAGCATGAAGCAAGACGGGCTCATATTCTTTTTCTCTCACTCTGCCACAAAACATACCTCAATAAACTAAGATTTTATATTCAAACAAAACCATAACCCAAACAGAGGGGGGGGGGGGTGACAACATTACCCTTATGATATGCTATCCATCATCATCCATGGCATGTGGAAAGAAAAAAGGTTTGGCCAACCAAAAGTCACTTCATCTGGTAACAGAAACTTATCATGCTATGAAAACTTCTGAGATATCTCGCACTCAAGGATCACTGTCGGTCACAGAGGAATCTCAGTGCGTAGAGAAGAGTCCACCACTTCCTCTCTCCTATCCTCACAGCGAATTCCATTTTTTCTGCTTCTGCCTTTTTTACTTATCTTTCTCCTCCTCCGGTTCTTGATATTGCTTCCTTTCCACTTCCTGCTCCTTTTCATCCCCATTCTTTTTCCACTAATCTTCTGCCTTCTCCAATCCCTTTCTTCTACCCCTCCTCCTCCCTCCTCATCTCATTCTTTGTCCCAATCGCATCTCGAGACCTCTTGAAAGACGGGGATTTTAGAAAATGGTAAGGAAGCTTTCACATTCAATCCGAGTTCGCACATGATACAATTGGTTGGCCATATCAGGGTGCAATACACAGAAGAAGTTACTTGTTAAGCAAATATGAGGGCCTATAGAGACTAAGTATGCATCCACTCCAGAGCAAGCTTCAACAATATAAAAACTAAGTAGGCTCCCCTAGACTCCTAATGCTCTCCAAAGTATGCATCCCGAAATATTTTAGTTGTCTTCAAATACTCAACAACGGGCCTTTGATTTTCGAATAAACACATTAGAAATATGTGACTAATCGTTAGAAACATATCTGTCTCATGCCTCTTGAATAATCAAACACTCTTATTCCAGTATAAAATATGTATTTTCCGGATGAATTTCAAAATCTCATTCCTCGTAACTAGAACGCAATTGGCCTCCATTTTATTTGTGAATGATTTTTACCATCTTTGATCAAACCAAAACCTCATTTTTACTATACCGTCCTCCCCTCCCCACCAAATAGAAAAAAATGTGATAGATAGAAATAGCATGCATGTAGCTCCTATCCATGTAGTTGCTTGTATGCATATCCACAAGAATCTGTAGGAAATAATGTTCATCTCTATCACCATGTTTATTCTTGAAAGATATCCATTGTTACGTTTCTTGGTCATTTACCATGATATTTTTGTTCTATACTGTCACCACGCCTTAACAAAAAGTACATTTCAAAACTGACCAAAAAGTATTCAACAAGCGTAGAACCGCTTTTCCGACTCCTGAAGAAGGGAGAATCCTTCAATATTGTCAGATGAGAACCAAATAGAAAAGATGTACGTGAAATTCAACGATCCACCGGTTCACAAGACAAGACAAGACAAGACATGACTCTGAGAGAAACTGTAGCTCTGAAACAAGAAAACTTCCATGTTCACATTTAATCCCAAGGTATATATATCTTAAAAAGGCAATGTAGGGAAAATAATCTTGGTTGTATCGAACCTACACAAGCAAAAAACCTGAAGAGAGACTAAACGAGTGACTTATTTCGAGTTTCTTACGCCAACTAGACGAGTAAAGGAGAAATTGAGTTTTCATATTTCGGAAGAAAAATCACAACACACCTCAGCTTTTGTATAGTTTCGTCCTCCGCCAAGTCCAAGGAGGCATCTCTTATTTGTGGCGGGGGAGGCGGCAACCAATCTTCTTCTTCTTCCTCCTCTCGCATATCATCTTCCAGGCGCACGACTTTATTATCACTATTTCCCTTCAACTAAAACCATCATACTCAGTGTAAGAAACACAAAGAAATTTGGAATGAGAATCACAAACCCCACAAAAAAAAGAGCAAAATTTTAGGATTAACCTAACAACTCACCGCGGCGCTAGCACATTTCCTACGCTTCGCATTCGGGAAGCACGGAGAAGAATCCGGCTCATCATCTAGCTCATTGGAACACGGGGCCGAGAGTAAATGAAAATGCAAGACCACAACTAAGAAACAGACTTCGACAGAAACTAAAATACGAGGGAAAGAGACGGAGAAGTGCGGACGCCGCACCATCTTCGACCGCCAGAAAATCCGCCGGCTGCACCCGACTGTAATCGAAAAGGGGCTCCAGCTCTTCCTCCCCGTCCGCCTAAAATTCAACAGAAGTCGTCACAACGCGCGCGCACACACACACACACAATGATCATTAGAAACCCTAGAGAAATCGGACACCACAGCGCAGGAGAAGAGAGGAGGAAGGGGACCGTCGTGACCATGTAAATTACTGTAGCTCCGAGGGAAGGAAACCTTCTGGCCCGTTCAGCTCTCCTTCTGGGGCCGTCGGCCGACCACAGATCGGCGCCCACCCCCCGTTCCTCCGACCACCCTGAAACACATCGAACAGGTAGAGGAAGAAGAAGAAGAAGAAGAAGAAGAAGAAGAAGAACCGGTAATATTTTGGGCCTCAATACTCCAATTAAGATCTTTTGGCCCATTTAGATCTTCCCATGTGGGCCTGGGAATCTACATGATGCATGTGGGCCCTTGGTAGCACTTCACGTGATCGGTGTGTGATGAGCGGCGCGGTCACGTGGTTTTCTTGACAGAAGGCACGAAACGCGCGCGACGTAGAGAGACTCCTCCTCTCGGTCACGTTGCATCCACTTTGGGCGGGTGATTTTACTACTATGGTTAATCGAACGGCTATTTTCATGTGACGTGGAGCCAAGAGGATGAACCCCGCGGATCATGACGTCAGCGTTGATGGCCTCAAACGGACGGCTGAGCTAGTCTGGATAAAGTTTATGACCGTCTGATTGATGAAGCTCATGAAGTCCACCGATGTTCTGCGAATGGATGGGGCCCGCAAGGCGGGAAGGGAGTGCCACAGAGAGAAAACAGGTATGCTAAGCTAAAGCGAAGCAAGACGGTCCTCTCTCTTTCTCTCTCTAGTTATCATCGTCGCCTTATTTCTTGCTGTAGGAGGAAACTCCGAGCTCGTTTCTCTCTCTGAAAGCTGGCCAACGTCTGGAGCCGGCGAAGGGATCTGAGGCCCCGAAGAAAGAAAGGTAGGATACGACTCGAGCGGTGCGGAGAGATCGGCGGTGATAACCCGCCGCCAGATCCAGTCCATGCCAGAGTAATGCAGTTGAGGTCCCGGCGTATGCCGGAGATTTTCTTGATGAGGATCGGTTGGAGTCCAGTGATGGAGGACTCGAAGCGTCTCAGCTGACAGTAAGTTACTCGCACTCGGATGTTTTCGTGTGTAAACAAAGTTAAGGGGAGTTCTCTGAGGGGAGAACAGGAGTCTGGGAACTCAGGGACGGTACTTTCATTTTTTTCCTGATGGATCAGATAGATCTGGTGATTTGAAGTGGAAACTACGGCGCATATTGGCTTCAATTGATCGAGAGATGTTATTCTCGTGGTGTTCGGGGAAGTTTTTTAAAATGTTGGCTGTTTGTGGGAAGTTTTTAGAAACACGGTGTTCGAGTATTGCTCACCGGAGCAGATAGGTTGGATTTTTTTTATTTTTCGAGTAGAAGAAGATGATTTGGAGAAATGAAAATTACGACCGCTCATGCTGTTAAATCTTGGAAGGTTTTCTAACTTATATGAACCTACACATTTTTTATTTAACTGCACAATATACTGACCACTGATCCAACAACTCGGGGAGAATGACCTATTTTTAACGAAAAAAACGAGGTGAAATTTTCATTCAGATCTTAGTCATTCATATGCCTGGTGGCGATGAGATTACACTTAGATACTCCATATAATATTATTTTTCTCGTTAATTAATTTCCAGGTGATGCTGTTTCTTGTCATGGCAGGCGAGATTGAAGATCGCACCAATTTTCAGGTCCTACTCTATTTTTTTCTCATATCCTTTTCGATGCTGAGATATCAATGCTCACCAAATGGCTTCTTTTTAATATGCCATTTTCAAAATATTTTATGACGATCATTATGTCACTACTTGATTGGTTTTTTCTATGAAAATTCCTAGTTTTGAGATGTATGTTTTAATTGGCTGCAGTAATCGTTCTCATCATCGTTTGATATCTCTATTAATGCATTTTTTTCATGCTGCTATTTCATTTTTCGAGACTCTGACTACTCTACAATGAGCGCCACTGTTTCTGAGTTTCCAGTATTATATCACCTTACCAATATTTCTTTATCTTTCTTGCCCATAATTCTGATAGTAATTGACGTGTATAAGAGATCTAGTTCCACCTGTGCTGCGCATTTCAACTGTAGCTTTATAGAAGACGCACATACATATTTTGGGTACATTTGTTTAGTCCACTATAACTTCATTAAATTGTAGATCGCGATTTCCCTTTCTAGAAATAAAAACTTTTCAGTAGCACTGCACGCTGGTTCGGGTTAATTTCTGATCAAGTACTTCATTGTTCACATGTTATTATTTTCAAGTGGAGTTATTTTAGGAATGAACTGCAGTCATTATTGGAATATTTTTACTTAGGAAAATTGTATTCACATATGATATTTTCTCGGTTTATAATTTTATTTATTTAGGAGTTGTGAGTTGACTGCTTTTGGTCGGCTTACCTATTTACTTTGGAAGTTTGTTCAATAATTACTGAGGTCTCACCATTTCTAACGTTTTGATCGCTTGTTCTCATGTCTCTGTGGTCAAAATATTGCCAGGCTGACTGCTTGCACTCTGATTCTGTATCATTTGGGAGGTTTGAATCCGAGTCTTTATCTTGGGAAAAGAGATCATCCTTCTCTCGCAATCAGTACCTGGAGGAAGTTGAAAAATATTCCACACCTGGTTCAGTTACGAAAAAGAAAGCTTATTTGGAAGCTCACTTTAAGACGAAGACTTATCTCCAAGGTTTAACTGGAACCCAGAAAGGGACGGATGGCCTAGTTGAAAATGACGCCGAAATTCGAGATGGATGCGTGGAGGAGCTTGAGAATCTGATCAACGAAGAAACACTCAATACTGGAGAATCTGGAAGCCATGCGAACGATGAAATCCAATTTTCATGGTATGATGTGACCCCAGACATTGCAGATGGGCATAAACATGAGGTGGAAGAGGTTGAAAGTGAAGCATCGTTATATGTATTCCCTATCAAAGTCAGAAATAGTAAGTACATTAGCTGTGCGCCAATTCTCAATATCCGTTCTCTGGATGTTGATTGTGGGGAAAGAGTGACGGCAACCCCTTTAATTGATCCCTCAGATTTGGACAAGAGCACTATAGACACTACTGAAAGAGTCTCAGTACGTGTTGCCACTGGACCAGATAAAAGCGATGTAATAGTTCATGCAACCTCAGTATGTGATTCCAAAGAATCAGACAAATATGATGCAGACATAGTGTACGAGGAAGTGGAAACAATCCCTGCATGTGATTCCTTGGATGCAGAAAGTAGCAAAGTAAACATGAATTCAAGAATCTCAGCATGTGATGCTACAGAACCAGATAAAAATTCTGTAGATATGGTTTTCGAACAGAAACCCGAAGATAGTGTTAAAGATATGGATTCTGAGCAAATGGATTCTTTATCTCAGAGTTGTCCTGTTAAGATAGCCAGCTCTTCTATTTTGGAGAAAATGTCAGAATTTACCCTCGAGGTGAGACGTTTTCAAAGAAAATTTCAAGTCCTCTCTCTCGTCATCTTCCTTTGTTCCACTAAGTGACTTAAATCATTTTTCAAAGGGCATTCTGATCATCAATGCATTGTACTAATTGAGGCAGTGTATGGAGTAAAAGGGATAAAGGAGATTATACCATATTTTCTATTTCCTACAAAAATACATCGAAAAAGAAAACTTCAGATCGCCGGGTTTTTTTTTTATCATTAGATTGATGAAATTTTCTATTTATCGTTGACGAAAGGGTCACGTGGTATTCACTGTTCTATTTTTGTGGAAATATCCTTTTGAAGGAAAAGACAACTGTAGTACAGGAGCCTAGAAAAGTTGACTCAAGGAGGGAGGCTCCTGTTCTCCAGAAAGGTCAAAAGAATTCATCAGCGAAAGGTTACCCTTATCTGGGGAAGGTAGCGGCAGAAGTTCCAAGGAAGGCAGAAAAGGAGACTCCTTATAGCCTAAAGCAATCTTCTTCAGGAGTTTTACCCTCAAAATCCCCTCGTCAGGAAAACACGGAACCTGAGGTAACCAACCATTTTAGGAGCATCTGTGGAGGCACAATTTTTTTTTTCTTTTCAATGAGTTAAAATTTTACACATGAACCCCCATACCCTGTTTAAAAGATTATTTAACTTTGGGCCCCTTCGTAGGATGTGCTTTATGCTGGATTTTGGTTTCAGCATAAATATAAACTTTTGAATTTTGGTTGCAGGATTCTGAAAAAATAAAGATAAACTCGAGACAAGGGAATGGAAGGTATGTTGCGCTTTGCTTCCTGATTACTTTCTAAGCTCGTAAAGTTTTCTTCTTTATTCGTGTAAATTTTCATCACTGTCAGTTCCCTTCATCTTGAAAGAACAAACAAGAGCGCTGTGACGCTTGCGCCTACTTCTCACAAGGGTCAAGCTGACGAATGCCAGTCAGAAATCACGTATTTGACTTTATCCCGTTGACCCTATTCTCTCACGTACTTTAAGGATCCTCACTCATCGCCTAACCCCCAGGCCTAAACGGGCAACGAAAACGACGAAGCCTGAACCAAGGTCCAGTGGCGCAAGCTTCAGTTTCAGGAGCAGCGAAAGAGCTGAAAAGAGGAAAGAGGCAAGCCACGTTCTGGTTTTTCTCTCCCATTTTATTTCTGTTTCTGGCCAAATTCTGCTAGACAATTGATCGGTATCCTTTCTTCTGTAATCCAGTTTTACATGAAATTGGGGGAAAAGCAGCAAGCCAAGGAGGCCAAGATTAGTCAGATCCAACTAAGAACACAGGTCTGGGGAATATATGACTGCTACTTTTTTGAGTCCTCTATTTATTTATTTATTTATTTTATTATCACTGAAAAGTGGTGAATTTATGTTGTGCCTTGCCTTTAGCTTTTTATTTGTTTATTTATTTATTTATTTATTTATCCCGATGCATCCATAGATTCCCTGCGTGTCATAAATCCAATGCATTGTTTTCAAATGTATGCCCAAATTAGAAAACAACCCTTCTTTGGCTTTGGGTTTGACGAGGAAGACACTGATGAATTTGCGTTCTGTACGAGCAGGAAGAAAGAGATGCTGAAATTAGACAGCTCAGGAAGAGCCTCAGCTTCAAAGCCACACCCATGCCTTCTTTCTATCACGAAGCTGCCCCGAAGGCCTATGATGTGAAAAAGGTATCTCCCCTTGAATTATATATGCTTCCATAATCCATTCCGAAATAAAGATCAACCTTTTTTACTTTGGTAAATAGCACTCATAATGAATAAAAACTTTGGTGAATATCACTCAGCATCGTTATGAAGAAGAACCCAAATTTTTGTTCTCAAAGTATGGAAAATATTGCTAAAAATGGGACAAGAATATGCCCGAGCAGGCACTGAAACTCACCTGTAACAATTTACCATGTTCAGGCTACCAATGGTCATGGGAAACCTTTGAAAGCGAGAAGCAAGTGTGAGTGCTCTAGGGTCACTGGTGCACTCGCACGAGCAAACTCCTCAGAGCCTCCGACCACCGGTGATCAGCCAATCACCACCCAGATGGAACTCGCGAGTTCAACAGAGGGAGTCAACGGTGGAGCTGGGAAAACAGGATATTTTCCAGATTCGGAAAGAACATACAGACTCGTGGCTTCCAAGAAGGACACGAGGGAGAAGGTGAGCTTACCGCGGCAGGGGACGAACAAGACAGGGAGAGTGGTTGGTGTTAAGCAAGTGAGAGGCCAAAAGGGATCTCCCTAGAGCGGTGGCGATGTTAGGTGCATATTCTTTCGACTTTTCTGCAGATGATGGTGGATCTTATTGGGCCTAAATGGGCCGCGCCGTGCCCGGAGAAACAATCTTCAAAAGGTCCCCATGAACCCGAGATGATCATGTGGCAAGGAAAAATAATGACGGTGAAATTATTTTCTTTCTGTGAAAAATAATTTTGAAACCCAGAAATTTGGATAAAAATGGACCTGGCCTGGATCAAAAGCCCCTAGACATATTGGGTTCAGGACCCATTAGAAACTCCTACTCACTCTCTCTCTCTCTCTCTCTCTCCCGTCTCTCTCTTGCTACGAGCTAAGGCTTGGGCCCTTACGAAAGGCTATTGGGTTCAGGATGAGCCCGAGAAGACCTAGACTAGCCCGGCCCATTAGATCCTCACACTCTCTCTCTCTCTCTCTCTCTCTCTTGCTACGAGCTAAGGCTTGGGCCCTGATGAAAGGATATTGGGTTCAGGATGAGCCCGAGAAGACCTAGACTAGCCCGGCCCATTAGATCCTCATACTCACTCTCTCTCTCTCTCTCTCCGTGTACCTATGAACTGTCATTCAAATACGTCAGTCTGTGGGCGACGCGGCACCAACCGGACTGCTGGCGGGCACTGCCCGAGCTCGGGAGACCGCACGTCCTCCCCACCTCGGCGCCCGACGGCGTCGGTGGCGGCGACCTCCCGCCCACCTCTGGAGCCCCGCCAAAATGCTCCCCCCGTCGGTCGATCGGTCGTCCGTCTCTCTCTCTCTCTCTTTCTCTCTCTACCACTCTTGACTTCGTTATGGGATCAGGAGTACATGGTGTTTGAAGCACGGATAGAACCGGAAGCGCCTCTTGTTTCAAAGAGAGGAAGACGGGTTATTCACATTTAATTTGATGAAATTCGCTGGGCCAACGAGTAGAGTGAAACTATGATCGATATCTTGATCTAAATCATAGCGAGGTCATTTCCTCGGAAGTGGAAATGAAGCGCCCGCAGACGAGCGAACATAAATTATTACCCTGAAACGACGATCGTAGGCACTATATGAAGAAATCTGCGGTATTCTGGTAGTCCCTCTCTACTCTCTCTCTGTGCTGCAGTCGGGCTACAGAAGGAAGAACCCCAGAGTAATGATACAACTGAGGAGGGCCGTGGGAAGCCGGAGAAGCGCCGAGCCCGAATTCCGGGAGTAGAAAGGGAAGTAGGGCACGATCTGGCTGGGCGGCGGCGGCGCCGCCGGCAAGTACGGCATCACCCCCGGCACGTTTATCCCCGGCGTGTACGGCGTCGACGGCGGCGGCGGAGAGTAATAATAGTTGGGAAACGGCTGCTGCGGCGGCGGCGGCGGCGGCGGCGACGGGTAGTAGGTGACCCCGGTGGGCGGCGGCAGGCAGGGGTACGGGCACTCCGTCGAGGCGTCCGCCACCGTCACGGTAGCGTACTCCGCCACCGCGGCGGCGAGGAACAGGGCGGCAATCGCCGTCTTGGCGGCCATGGCCGGTGAGGGAAGCTTGAAGAGGCCGAGCAGAAGAGAGAGAGTGAGACAAGCGTTAAACCGGTGCGCGACTACGTCGGCCACATGTATCTATAATGGAATGTGCAGGAAGAGGATAGTTTAGTCTTTTCCAACGCTCGCACCGACGGCCCCCCGACCGTACGGCCAGATCAATTGATTCCTTAAGTTAACGGAACCATTATTCTCGTTCCCGATCGACGGTCGGATGGCCCTAGAGTCTTCTGATCTGCTCTTGGCTGGATGACGGCCGTCCGATCTTATTACGTGGCAATTATGTGGCCTCTCGCCTGTCGCGGGCACTACCCTCTCCGGAAACTTCGGGATTTATTTCTTTTAAAGTAAATTTATATAATTAAATTATTAATGGTATTAAATTTCTATCTTAGCGGGGGGAGAGTGGGGATCCGACGGTTTCCGAGGACTCCACGTCAACAGTTGGAAACGAGGCGATCCCACCCGTGCGATTGGTCGATGATCTATTCAATGATAAAGGGGTCTTAACGGGCTGGGCTGGAATGGGATGGGCTGGGACGTGCCTAGCCAAGATATGTCCTTGGAGAATACGAGAGAAATGGGCTTTGAGCCGGCCCAAAATAAACTATCAAATGCGATTTTACTAAATTATCAAATTTCACTTTATTTTAAATTTAATGTTAATGTAAATATGGTGTAATTGGATTGGGCCGGGCCGGAGTCTTGACATCTGTCACGAGGGTCAGATCGGCCCACTTCTCGGAAGCTCAATAAACTGGCTGTTGGGTATACCCTACGAAATCTGAGCCCGACTTCGCTCAGATAATATCTTTAATAAATATGGCGTAGACGATGGTAATCTAGAGTCAACCCTTAGTTTAGGAACAGAGAGAGAGAGAGAGAGAGAGAGAGAGAGAGAGATGTACGATGGATTCTGGGTATTTATTGGGCCGGCAGATGGGGCCAGTCCAAGAAGATAGGTGGGTGCGCTTTAGATCCAGCATGGAAAGCCCATTTGGAGAGTCTATTAAAATAAGGACAAAGGATAAAGTATGTGCGGATCTCCTTCTGGAGGCGGAGAGAGAGAGACAGAGGAGTGTAGAGAGATGAAGGGAGGAGGAGAACTGGGTTTTTCTCCTCTGATTATCCATTGTTCTTCGAGCTGTTTGAGGAAGAGTTTTCTGGGGATTCCTTTCCGACACTCAGATATATATATATATATATATATATATATAGCTCTTACGTTCCCCAGATTTTTTTGGGACAATGATGATAGTGATTATAGCATTCGAGTGTTCATTTGAGTGGATATCTCAGTCGTTGCCCCCTGGTTCCAGACAGAGGCGCCTTTTTAAGGTACATTCCCTGAAGTAGTGTGCATCGGAGAGGTTGACTTTGTCTCAAGGGCAATCATCTATGCCCTTGAATTCACATGAATTCACATTACATACTCTTCATTTTATTTTTGACTCGATTGGATGCGATCATATTCCTATCCCATTTCCACGATCCATTGGAAGGTTGACCTATCTCTGGCTAACATCCACAGTTCACTTTGGTATATCTGTCTCCCTGTACTTGTTTACATGTTCATCGAGATCCATCCAGAGTCTGACCTGGAGTTATCTCTCCATCGTGGCCTCTCCTCTTCTCCATACCATCCAGGTGGACGACTAGGTTCTTGCTCGGCTCGAGAAAATATCTATAGTCAAAGGGCGGCGGCGTTCCCTCACGTTCCTCTTTTGACTCTTAGTCTTCACATTGGGACCGATCTTTCAAACGCTGCGGCCTTCTCGTTAAACGATAGTCGTACGAGATGTCCCGCAGAAAGGTATGGCTGAGGGCCGCACGATTCTTGCAGTGGGGGCCGTATGATTGCTTCTTTTATGTGGAGTAATCACCTTCCTGGTCGCCGCTGGCAACGCCAAAACCAGTATATAAGGTAATGGAGCAGATCCTCTGGCAGACCGACTGCGAGATGGCTCCCAGAGTTTCGCTGCTCCTCATCCTTCTCCTTCCCGTCCTACTGCAGTTTCCCTGTTTGCAGCCTTCGTCTTCGTCCTCGGTGGTAACTGTCCGAGAGGACTGTTCCGAAAGCTGCGGCGGCGTCCCCATTCCGTATCCGTTTGGCGTCGGCGAGGGATGTTCCAGGGATTCCAATTTCGACGTATACTGCGACAGAACCTCCACGCCTCCGAAGCCTTTACTATTCTCGAATCAGAGCAACGTAGAGATCCTCAGCGTGAGCCTTCTGGAGGGCAAGCTTCGGTTTCCCATGTTCGTGAGCAAAATATGCTAAAACGACAGCGGGTATCAGATCGGCAACGACAAGAGCAACGAGTGGATCGATCTGAAGGGCTCTAATTATGTGTTCTCGGAGATGGACAACGTATTCACGGGGATCGGATGCCACACCTTCGCAGTCATCAATGCCACGGGCGAATATACCTGCATAAGTGGCTGTGCTACTCTCTGCAGTAGCCCGTCCAACACCGTCGACGGTAATTGCACCGGCATGGGTTGCTGCGAGGCCTCCATTCCGGGGGATCTCGACTTCTATCGCCTGCGTTTTCCCACGTTTATCCAACCGTCTCCGGTTGTCCATTTCAGCGAGTGCAGCTACGCCTTCCTCGTAGAGAAGGAATCGTATGAGTTCAGGAAAAACCATATCTATGACTTCGACAAATATTCTAAGCAGCTGCCCACAGTGCTCGATTGGGTCGCGGGGAAGGACAAGTGTGAGAAGGCCAAGCTTAAAACAAGCTCGTATGCGTGCATCAGCGGCTACAGCGAATGCTACGACTCTGCCGATGGCCGTGGATACCGCTGCAATTGCTCAAACGGTTACCAAGGAAACCCTTATCTACGCAACGGATGCCAAGGTTGGTCTCTCTCCTTCCCTCTCTCTCTCTGTATCTATCTATCTATCTGTCTATCTATCAATCAACCAATCAATCTATCTCCCTCTCTATCTCTCTACACATCAAATAATGCTCTTAGATTACGATTCCACTTATCATCATCTTATTATTTTTTGTAGACATCAATGAATGCGACATCCCCAGCAAATGCCCCGCCAACAGCAATTGCTTCAACACACTGGGGAACTATATATGCGAGTGTCCGAAAGGCACCATCCATGATCGACTAGAGAATGCTTGCCAGAAGAAAGAATTCACGATATTACCATTGGGACTAGGTAGTCCTACATACTTCATTACTGTAAAGATTTGATATATCTATGGCTTTATCCCGTAAACTTTTCATAGAGTTGTATTGAAAATAAATCCATGATAAGACAACATAAATTCTTTCCGTGGAGAATTGTCTAGTTAGGCTTTTAAACTGTAGTTCTGATGGTTATTGATGACCAAGGACTACTCCTTTAGGAAGCCCTCAGATTATCTATTTTTTGCCGTATATCTTTTGGAAATTTACTTATTTCTGTGTATATTTCTGAAATGTTTCTCTTTTGTTGGCCACTCTTTTTCATGAATCAAACTCCGAACCTCTAGCAATACCTGCACACGTTTGCCTTTGTAATGTATTTCATCTATCTGATTATCTCTCACTTACACTGGCTTTGAATAAAAATCTCGATCCATTAATATATATAAAAAAAATGGAAAGTAATTCTTCTAATGCATACCCTGAACTACCTTTGGCTTCCGGACGTGCAGGACTGAGCACTGGGCTTTTCCTTCTGATCATACTTGGATCTTGGATATATTGGGGACTCTACAAAATAAAAATTATGCTTTCAAGGAAGAATTTTTTTGAAGAAAACGGAGGATTGATGTTAAAAAGCCAGATTTCTTCGTTACCTGGATCAACATTTACCATATTCTCCGTGGGGCAGATCGAGAAAGCAACGAAAAAGTTTAACAATGAAATGATTATCGGACGAGGAAGACAGGGCATAGTTTACAGAGGAGTTCTGGACAATAGATTGGTGGCCATTAAGAAATCTCGATCCATTGATGAGAGCCAAAGAAGTGAGTTTGCAAAGGAGATGTTGATCCTCTCCCAAATCAATCACCGGAACATTCTCAAAATATTGGGCTGTTGTTTGGAAGTAGACATACCTATTCTGGTTTACGAGTTCATTTCTCACGGCACTCTTTTCCATTACCTCCACGGAGAGAACAAATTTCGCTTATCCTTCCTCGAACGATTAAGAATCACCATTGAATCTACAGACGCACTAAACTGTCTTCATGCCCAAGCTTCTCCTTCGATTGTCCATGGTGATCTCAAGTCTGCCGATATCCTTCTAGATGGTAACCTTGCAGCCAAAATATCCGACTTTGGTGCTTCTAAGATGGCACCCATGGATAAAGACCAGTTTGCTGCATTAGTCCAAGGGACATACGGTTATCTAGACCCAGAATCCTTGCAAACATATCAATTGACTTCAAAAAGTTATGTCTACAGTTTTGGGGTCATTCTTGCTGACCTAATTACGAGAAGGACGGCACTATACTGTGATAGTTTACAAAAGCAGAAGAATCTTGCTTTGGATATCGTTTCTTCAGTGAGAAATAACAGACTGCTAACAATTTTGGATGCCCAGATAGTGAATGAACATCATATACCATATCTCCACGATGTTGCAATGCTTACATGCCGATGCTTGAGTATGACTGGAGATGATAGCCCAACAATGAAGGAGGTAGTCATGGAGCTCGAAGGGATCAGAAGTCTTGTTCTTTCGCAGGGGGTTTTGGATAAAGTTGACGAGGCAGTGCCTTTGCTCGGAGGAGAACTAACTCCTTATGAAAACAACACGTGAAAATATCTTCACTACGACCAAGTCAGTTGACATTGAGGGAGGTAGATGATCCCTTCATACTCTCAGAGCCTCTCGTGCGTTATGATCTGATAATGATATCTTGACATGAGTGGTTTCATGTTAACAGACCTTCAGATTTTTCTGTAAATAAAAGTCTCTTATAGTCACATATATTGAATGGAGAGCTCAAATCTCCTCGTTCATGACGCCTTGAATTCAGTTCAGTTTCCATAATCAGGTGCTCAGAAAAGTAGCTATTGAGCGCAGCCATGGTCGTTGCTATTGAGTGGAGAGTCTCTCGATTGGAGAGTCCCATCAGGCCAGCAGGAAGTAACCACTGAGTTTGTTGAACTATGTACAATGGTTCATTCTTATTATTCTGTTCTGTAGAGAACCAATGCCATGTTTTCATTTCCTCTCTTGAAACGAAGGATCTGCCGATGTAAGTTAATTAAATTAATCTACTTATCTGATCGTAATTTTTTGTAGAGTTGGGGCTTGTCTGAAAATCCTCATGCTCCCTTCCCTGAGGTCTATGCTACACTCTTCATGCACTCAATTCTTGAAGAATAACCTTAGAAGAGATTGATGACCTAGGGAGATAAAAAACCGACAGTGTAGGTTTTGTCACGTGGACAACATAAACAAGAGTGAATGATGTAGGATAACTACGACAAACACAGGGTGGATTGACTGAGGGTAATGTAGGGGTGGATAAATCAAGCCACAAAATCACACCATCGATTCGAACTTTTAAATCCGGAGAGAATGATGATAGTGTATCCCCATCATGGTTCTTATGTTTATAAAATCATTTATCTCTTTGCTTTTGAACTTGTTGGAAAGATACCTTGAGTTCAACTATTTTTGAGAGGATTTAGAAGAGATATGATTTGAATAGCATTGTCATAATCAGCTAAGGAGAAGGTGGGTGGTGTGAGAGATGATTCATAACTTGTTTAAACCTCATCAATAACCCTTATGTGGTACTTAATTATTACTCTAAGAATTGCAGCATTTGATCAACTTAGACTTCCATTTAATAGAGAGAGAGTAATCGGTGCTTGAATGTTAGAAGCCAACATAATAATTTATAGATTTTGTCAATATTGCTGAGAATTTTGTTGAATTATTATATAATAATGTTTTTGATGATGACAAACATATTTCAATAGAGCAAAGTATACATAGTTCACAATGCTTATGATGTAAAAATATTTAAACATAATAAGAAATGTTAATAATCATAGTTTATTTGAGAGACTATTGAACACACATCTATTTAGTATTACTAAACACATAAATTGAATATATATTTGTGTATGAAATAATTATAATACATATTGATGTGGAAGATATTTATCTTTATAGAATATGGCACAATACGAAAGTAATGATAAGTATATCGAAATGAAAGAGACAACAAGGTGCAAAATATGGGTATGAAAGCTCATTCAATCTATTGTGTTCTGGTGATGTTAGATCTTTATTTTTGTGTGCTTTTGATATTATTTTAATCGATTGAATCCAAATCATTTACTCAAACAAATGTGATTTTCTGAATATTTATGAATATATGTTACAAATATGATATTATTTATGATTTGAATGTAAAATTATCATCTGATCCAAATATGTGTCATCAATACTATTTTAATGATATTGAATTCCTACCGAGTCTACTCTCAAGTCACAAGATCCAAAATGGATCAATGTGAATTGACATGATTCAGATATGAACATTAAGTAATAAATAAATTACATACTTCTAAAGATATCTGAATCATATTAAGGATATGTTGTATTCGCTTCTTGACGGTTTAAATTTATCTTATTTTAAGAAAAATTAATCATTAAAAATCATATATATTTGATAATATTTTCATATGAGATTTATCTATAAATACTAATATCATTCAAAGGGAATATTAGACACAATGATTACCCTTCCCAGCTAATCAACCTCCAACTTGTCATTAACCTGCTATCACATGTATTCTAAGCAAGATAAAATGAGGTTCATGTTCATAGCTCAAACAACGTCAAGACATTAATACAAGGACTGGAATGGTAGTGAATGATCCTTCTCAACTCAGTTGAAGCGTAAAGAACCTTCAATATTCAATCAATATTAAGACAAGAAGAGAACAACAACTACTCAATAGTACACGAAAATTTCATCTGAAATTCAAATATTAAAATCTACATCACGTTCGAAAGACTACCTATAGTGAACTCTTTCCATATCTATCATGAGAAACAAACTTGTGATATTATCATTCAAGAGAGGTGTCCCATTAAATAGTTGTGAGCCACCTAGTGCTGTGAATCTAGAAGAGAATTTCTAGATTAAAATTTGTGGGAGCTGAACCCATTAATTAGTAGTTGCAATCAGATGATTAGTTCTAGTAGAACCAATTATTCTTGGAGAATGGATGTAGGCAGTGTGCTAAACCACTATAAAAATTAATGAGTTTTAGAGTTATTCATTTAGGAAAATATTATGGAGAATAAAGGAAGAATAACTAACATACATCCAAAATGAGTCCATAGGAAAGAAAGTCTAGGAATAACTCAATTCAACCCCTCCTTGATCTTGGTGCAAACCACAATCCAATAACTTTGACCACCCTTGAGAGTCATTTGTTCCATGAAACTTGGAGGAGGGTTTGAAACCTGGGTCTGATACTAAAATGGTAAACCCTAATTTTGTAATAGTGCTCGACAATGCATAAATAGTAAAAGATGATGAGGAGAAGGTGTGATAATGACTTAAGTGAAGGGAGAGAGAAGGAATTACAATGATAAGACATTGTAGTTGCTGCTAAGATGACAAGGTTATAGGAGAAACTCTTCTCTAGTAGACTTCTCACATGGAACATGAGTAAATGGGAGATAGACTCAAACTAGAACACATGCTCTTTGAGTTCAACTTCCACATTTCTGATGTTGCACGGATGAACATGTGGATCGAATTTGTGCTATTGAAGGCTCTGAATTTCATAGAGTTATTGTCAACACTATCAAGGAGCTCCAAGTTCTGTAGAGTTATTGTTGATTTCATTATGGAATCGAGTTGCAGGGAACCCGTAGATGTCAATGATGCTTTGATTACATTGTTGGTGGCCTTTGCAGGTGCATGCTTTGTGGTAGGAGTCAGGTCATAACTTTAAGGATCAAACATATCTCTTGTATCGCCGAGTAAACACACCATTGGACCAGCCAAACCAAAGGACAAAAAACCAAGAGATTACCTTTAGAACAACTATGCCGAGGAATATTATTTACACCCGTACAACTTTGATATTTTTGTTCTATTAAAAATATGAATGAATAAATAAAAAACATCTAAAAACCCAGGCGGGACCGCCTACGTATTTGAGTTTGTATCTCATCGATTCTAAACTATTTCCAGTCTACATTAGGGCAGTGTCAGGGTACAAATATGCTCTGAGGGACGCGCGTGGATCGACGGGGAAAGCGGAAATGAAGGGGAGGGGAGAGAGAGAGAGAGAGAGAGAGAGAGAGAGAGAGTTCCTCCACTTCTTGCTCCGCTGACCTGCCGGCAGTCAATTGCATTCCCTGGTCTGGTGGCGGGCCACCCGTCTGTTCTAGGGTGCTCCGAGGTGGTGGGATTCCGGCGGCTTCGAGTCGGCCATCTCAAATTCCAGCCTCTCTCTCTCTCTCTCTCTCCCATGCATGAACTATGCACAGTACCGCCGTAGACGGCGGCGATCCAGTGGCGTACGGGGAAGGTTCTACTCGCAGCTTCCCGTCAAAACAAAATAAGAGGTGGATTTACAGGAGCTGGGGAAAGTTAGGTGCTCACATTGGCAGCGGCCATAGGAAAGAGCTGGCAGGCGATCATACAGGTCAAGTAAAATTCTCTCTCTCTCTCTCTCAATATATATATATATATACACACACACACACATATTTCTCTCTCTCTCCTCTCTCCTTAGCCCCCGAGAGGTTACGGCTACTTTTGGCTCCACGGGGGTAGAGTGAGAAAGCTAAAGATTGGGGGCAATGGGAAGGCAGCGGAGCGCCGCCTTGCCATCTTTTATGAGCGGCGGCGTGAGGAATCTCCCCGCCCACCGCCGCCGCCGCCGCCGCCTCCTGCAGCCAGCACACCGTTCTCACCCATAACGGCGGCCCTACGGCGGGAATTCTCCTCTACTGGTCTCCCTCTTTCTCCGAAGTCTGCCCGTTGACTTGGTCGCTTTTCCCTTCATCTTTCATCCATGAAGACTGTTAGCTGTTTGACTTTCGAGAAAGTAGGACATCCCCCCCTCCTCCCCCCCCCCAGTGCAGAGCCTCTTCACGTCGTCTTCTCTTTCGGTTTTCCTTTTTCTAAAAGAAATCCTCAGCGGCGATGAAAGAGAGGCTAAGAGAATGACTTTTTGGAATGCATTTTCACAATGGTTTCTCATAAGTGGGCTTCGATCCATTAATGACCCATTAACCATTGTTTTCCAGATGGTTGGACTGGCTGGTCCGTTCCATTATCGGCCCATTGAAAAATGGGCAATATATGGATGTCTACTATCCAGTTTTTTCTTCGAGTTAAATAATATTCGTAATATTAAAAAATTGGTTTAATGTGTACAGGGGAACTAATTTATAAATAATAAACACTAAATGTTATCCGGATAAAGATAATTGAGATACTTTGACATTTTCCCGAATACATGTGGTCGTGTAACCGACGGTTTCTATTTCTGGACGCAAAGTCTGACTTGCACCGTTGACATTTTGGCATTAGACTGCGCAGGGGGGATGCAACAGTGAACAGAGAAAAAATCTGTTAAAAACGCTGGGGAAGAGTCTGCGCGTGTATATTGGTGATGAATCGCGCCGCCTCGAAAAGGTCGGTCCGGTCTCCCGCCACCCAAGAGTCAAACATCCATTCTCTGGTCAGAGCCGCTCGAGTGCTTTAATGGGGGTTGACTAATTGCCTTCAAGACCGCCTAACTTTGAAGTCAAATCGCCGTCATGCTCTTCGTGGTGCGGATTCGCCGGTATTTGCCCGAATTCCTAACATTACAGGGCAAGACCACACGAGAGAGAGAGAGAGAGAGAGAGAGAAGTGATCTTAGGAAAACCAGAGAGAAAAAAGAGCACATAAATTGTAGGATAGACGTCGAGTCTGAAAACTGGGCCGGGCCGGGATTACTGGACCCTGATAAATCGTTTTATTGATTTTTATAATAGAAAAGTAAAATAAAAGCTAATTTTGGGAAAAAAGTAATATAAATTGACGTCACCTGACGTTTATATCCACAGGAGCTAGTAGTGCGATTGGGGCCGACGTGCGCGTGCTCGTCAACCCCCTCAGCCTCCACCACGCAGTTAAGTGCGGCCGGGGCTGGCTCTCCGACGTGGCCCACCGGAAGACTGGTCAAAGCTTCCCTCCTTCTGTCTCTCTCTATCTATCGCTCTCTCTCTCTTCTCTTCCTCACTGGTACGCCCACTGTACGTTGAATCGTATCTTCACGGCGGCGTTCTGATGGGCGGCGTCTCCTCTGGCGGACGCATTTATTAGGTTTTAAGCTGCGAGGTTATCTGACGAACGGTCGCCGCTTCTAATTACTGCGAACTTGTCGTAGAGAGAATAATCCCGCCGGAAGAGATCTCTGGTGGGGCACCTCCGGCAGGCAAGTGCCCTTGTCCTACGCGGCGGAGGAGGGCCCACCGTTGACGGCGCCACCTCCTTCCTGGTGGGGTGCCCAGAACTGTGGGTTCCGACCGGATGGCCTTCTTCTGCCGCTCTGTCTTTAAAGGGTGGAGTCCAAGTGAAGAAGCCGCGTGCTTGAATCAGCCCAGGAGAGACACCGGCCATCGCGGGTGAGCTCCTGCAACCCTATATATATACGAACTCGAGGAGTTACTTGAAGGAAGAGTGGAAGAGGAGGCTATGGCGATGGGGGGATTACACTCGGTATCGGCCCTTGTGGCGGCGTGGGGAAGGCGAGTGTCGAGGAAGCTCCTCGGCGGCGGCGATCGGCGGAGCATCGACCATGCGAAGATCGCCCCGAGCTGGGCGCCGTATCTCAGCCGGCGCATGAGCCTGCTGCCCTTCCGCGGCGTCGGGAAGAAGGCAGCGGAGGAGGATCGGCGACGGCGGCGGCGGCGGAGGGGAGATTTCGACGAGGAGACGGAGAGCTCTGGCGAGGAAGAGGAGAGGGGAAAGGAGGACGGGGGAGTGTGGCAGAGGACGATTCTCATGGGCGAGCGGTGCCAGCCGCTGGACTTCTCAGGGGTCATCCACTACGACTCCCAGGGCAAGCAGCTCTCGGATATCCCACCGCGCTCTCCCCTCCGCAGCCCCCTGCCCAGCTTCTCCATTCCGCCGCCACTCTCCCCTCGTAGAGCCTACAATTAGACAGAGAGAGAGAGCACTGCTCATCTCCCCAGCAGTGTTTTCAGAGGATCTGGTCAACGTCGTTGAAGCTGTCTTCTCCGTATTTTGAGAACGCTGATATCTTCATTGTTTCTGCCCCATTTACGAGTGTTCTTCGAATTTTGTGACTCTTCTTGCATTTGAGATTTGAGAACGGTCAATATCCAGAATCCGCGTTCCAGAAGGGTCTTGGGGCCCCAGAAATCTAATCCCCCGGTCTGAACTTATGACACTTCAAGACAACCGACTGGCTTCGGCGCCTTCGACGCCGTCGAAGACCCAACCGACAGGCTCAAGACGCAACGCATAAGCGGGCCCCATCTGTCCGTCCTCGTCCCCATCTACTCAGCCCCCACTTGGTTCTTGCGTTGACATTCCGTACAGATCCATTGCATGTCGGCTGTAAAAAGTAAAGTCGAGAGAGAGAGAGAGAGAGGGATTCTGAACCAGGTGCGTGCCCTGGAAAAAATATCAGATATGAGTTTTTAATAGTCACTATAAAATGTTAAATTATCTTTCTGTATTTATAAATGCTCTGTATCAATATCCCTACAAACTGTGTTATCCCTACCTTCGGTCAACCCAATAATATCCATCATATTTTTCCAAATTAAACACGCTTCTTGGTGGTCAACGGCAAACTCAAGGGCAACAAATAACAGGGAACAACGCAGAGTAAATGGAACAAAACATAATAATCTGAGGACATTCTTCCATGTTCGGACAACAATCTAATAAGAGGACAACAAACAAAGGGTAACTATGAGGCCCCCAGCTCGGCGGATCCAAGTTCCATGGGCGGAACCTCACCACGAGCCTGAGTTCTGACTGAAGAACTCAGGTCAAAGAGGATCTTCGGCGACTGCCATGTCAGGTCAAGTCAACTATTTCTCCTCTTCCAAGAGTTGTTCCGATGGTCTGACGGAGGAGATTACCGAATCTAGTAATGATCAAAAAAGGAATGTGAAGGAAGTTCTTCACAATAATAAAAGAGCTGAGGAGATAAAATCCCAAGCACGCCACAAAGTCATACCAGGAGTGCTAGAGGAGCCTTCAGTGCATGTTTTTCTAGCATATAAGATCAATGACATAAATCTAGTATGTGCCTCTGATCCAAAGTTCCTCCCGGATATCGATCTATCTATCTATCTATATATATATACATATATATATATATATATACTGATTTTGTTAAGCGATCAAACATGGTGACCCTCTGTGCTTCAAAGCCCTCATAAGGACAATCTATCTAATTGGCGGTTTGATCTCAGAGAGGTTTAGGACAGGAGCTTGGAACGGGCTGTGTCTCTTCATGACATCCAGATTATATCCTGATTTCCCAAGAATTTAGGTAGGCCATCTTCTCAATTGAAAAAAATTCCTGCTGTTTCGAAAATACATTAAATAAATGACCATTTTTTGCATGAATGGTGGTAGAAAAAATATCTAATCGAGACATCCAGATTAAGAGGCAATTTGAAGAATTTTTTCCCTTTAATCAAGTTAAATATAACCCAAATAAAGTTACACATAAGCTATGGATGATCAAATAAAGAAAACAAAATCTTCTGATCCTGTGTACCTTGAGAATGATTCACATGGACCGTAGGTTCTCGATGATATTACCCAAAGAACAACATAAACCTGCCGCTGAGGCTAGAGAGTCCACAACCCGTCGGATGGAGCTCATCTCGTCGTGGAAGTGAGAGTTCAACACCAGGTAAGGGTAATGCTCGTCTATCACCATCGCCAATCCTCTGACAACTGATTCGAGAGAAGGAACCAGTTCACAAAGCTTCAGCCCCAAAGCAGGTCCTGCCTCAGGACAAGGGCAGCCTTCTGGGAATCTCTCATACTTATCCAGCCACTTCCTCAGATATCTAACCAAGCCCAGGACCTCCGAACCGCCAAGTCTGGAGATTGCAGAAGACATGACTAGTCCATCCAAATTTGGTGTGCTGAACAGACTGTGCAAACATAATTCTGAGGAGGAGAAGCCATCATGAGCCATCATCAGCAAAATCGAAGCTTCCCGAGCCAAATTCATCACTTCATCTGGCAATCCCTTCTGCGTTGTCTTCTCTACAGCCAGAATTGCCTGGCTCTCCCATTCCTTCCTCACCTTCAGCATACATTCACGAGATCCTCTCGGAGGGGAAAGGAAATACTCAAGTATCAGTAGAAGTTCCGAAGCCCTGATTTCGGAAACGTGATTCACATAGAGGCAGAGCAAACCTGACCGGTTCTGCTCCACCAGCTTCTCGACAAGATCGTTCGGACCCAGCCGCCCGATGAGACCACTGAGAATCATTGACTCGAGCGTTTCCCACAGACCAAGGATGACGCAGCCCTCCGCGTACAGTCCCACTAGCTCCCCCCCTACAACATCACCCAGCTTCTTATCCGGTAGCGAGCTTAGCAGTCCTCGGAACTCCTCATGGCCGAGAGATTTGCGGTTCTTCAGCTTACGCCTCAACTTCTTCACCAGTTTCTCCACCGCCTCGATGCTCTTCACGTCGGTCTCCGGGATTTTCCACCCGACGAGGCGCTTGACCAGTGAGTCGCCGGGAGAATCTCCGCCTTCAGTCGTCAGGTTGCGGAAGGCCTCGTTGCCATTGAGGAGAACCGGGAAATTCGACACGGCGGAGGTGGGGACGTCGCCGCCACCGGCCGCGGCCCGCGTGATGGTCTCGAGGAGCGTCATCAGCTGCTGAGGCCGCTTTCCACAGGACGGGCTGTTAGGGTTTTTAGGGTACCACGGGCACCGGCAAAGACAGGGGGAAGAAGAAGGCTAGGGTTTCTCGTTTTGAACTAACTAACTCATCATCTAACATTTCTATATAAACCCATAGATACCTTTTAATATGTATTAAAGAATAAAGATTATTTATTTGTGTGCATACTTTAAAAACTCTTGCTAATGCGCCCAGTGTTAGTATCTGTACGGTCTCTGCCTTGGGAAGGAAGCTTTTGTTCGGAGAGAAGAGGTTGAAACGGAAGAAGAAGACGGACAGCCGGTGGGAGCATCGGGAGTAGCAGCAGCAGCAGGGGAGGGAGAAGCCATGGAGATGTCGAAGAATTCTATCCCCAACGATGTCACAGGGATCCAGAATGATGCCCTCCGCTTCGGGCTGAGCGGCGTCAAGAGCGAGATCGTCGGGGTCCATCCCCTTCAGCCCCTCATGGAATCGGTAATCCGTCTTCTCCCTTTGGTCGATTCTTCATTTTTTTCTGTTTTTATTCTTCTATGTTTTAAAGATTTTGGACTACTATGGCATCTACTCCGGGCTACTTGTATTCTACCTTTTTTTGCTATGGGCATTTCGCCGTTAGGTCTCTTCCTAGGTCTCATCGGCTGGCCCAACCTGTGACTTAATTTCCATGCGCTGTGATTTTTTAATTTCTCAGACAAAGAGGACGCATGAGGAGATGAAGAGGATGGCCATGGCGAACGTTTATGGATCGGCCTTCCCGTTGAAGATGGATCTCGACCGGCAAATCTTTTCTAGGTTCATAAATAATTCGACAACTTCATGCCCTTTAATTTTCTTCTTTTTTTTTCTTCCCTCTTAATTTGTTCCTGGGTCATTATTGGCTTGGAATCTGGTTGGCCGGTTAGGTATACTGTTGAAGTTAAAAAAAAAATTCTCGTTGTTTGGGGATGGTGCGCGTTGTAGCGTCATCTGTTTACACTGTTGTTCTACTAGATGTTGTCATCGTGTATCCTACGACATCGCCATATACTGCGGTTACATTGGAGTCGTTCCCTTTTAACTGAACTGTAGGGAGAAACTTGAATTTCCTTCTCAGGAATGGTGCAAATATTTTATTTCTATGGCAGTCCAATAGTTGATCCCTCCGTGAGGCTGTTGCATTTTTGTTGCTGAGGCTTCATTGTTTTTGTTATCAGAGGAATTCGTCGACTAGACATTAATATATTGTCCTTTTTGGTAGTCCTTGGAATGAATTCTGTGATAAAGAGCAACTAATTAGATTTGAGGCAATTCTGATCTAGGGAGGGGGCTAGAACCTGTGGATGATGACCTGTCCTAGAACTTGGATTTCACATATTCGGATTTTTTGCGAGGAGAATTTGATATACACGCCAAGGAAGAAGAACCACGAATACTGGGTGACATGTCTGTGGTTATTTGCTTTATATGTGAGCGTCAAAAGTGGGAGATTTTCCTATGAATGGTTTCGTTCTTCCTCTGAAACCATTGGTTGAGTGGACTGCTTCATTCAAACTCGTTTTCTTTTCTGGGTCCGATTACTAGAGACTCTGATTCTGGTCGTAAGCTTTGCAATCCACTAGTTTATATCTATCGTTTTCTGAAGTTAATTGCATATTGTTTAACAAGGTTATGACACTTCTACCTTGAAACAATTGATAAGTGGTTGCTAATTGTACCTCCAAATGATTTTGCATTGTTAATGCTGAGTCACCTCTTTCATGTTTGTTATTCATGCTGACCGTTTAGTAACCTTCATGCTTTGTTCGCCATTTTTGGAATCAATTATCTGTAGGTAATTTAGTGACAGATAGGCTTGATCATATTTCATTTTTTTTTAATGTTTTTTCTAGTCATCTCTGTTTGTTGGTACATCTGGGTGTTGACCGTCCACTCGTTCGTGTTTTTTTAATTACTTTTCGGATCTGTCCTTGAATATCCAGGTTGGCATTGAAAGAAAGTCCCAGTGGGTAAAATGGGAGATTTGTATCAGTGGCTTCCTCAATAAGCTATTTTTATAGTGTTTGATTATGTAACACTCCAACGTTTCATAATTGTGAACAATGTAGTCAAAGGGAATATCATGTTCTCTTAAGTTCATCAGTTGTGTAGACGTAGCATTATGCTACTGAAAGACAATATGTCGACGAATCCCCTGCTTAACCGTTGAAATTAATAAGTGAAGTTAAAGTAGAAACAAGGATACATTTTTGTTGATAATTTTCCTGAGAAGGATACTCCAATGTATCATAGGACGACAAAGTGGCTCAATTGAATTCATTTTCCCTTCTTTATGATGAAATTTCTTTGTGCTATGGGCGTCAAATGCATAGTTAACAGTTGTAACGTGATTCGTTTATTTCAGACTGGTTCATATAGTTTGATCCTATATAGAACTGAACGGAAAATATTTCAAAACTATGGTCCTGTTTGTGTAAATTTATTTGAAACCTTGTTTCTGTGGCATCTTGCTGATTAATCAGCGTTCCTTTTGGTGGATGTAATCTGCAGTATTAGGCTATGCGTGTGGTCTTTCTGTTTTGTGGAAAAATAATGGAGAGGTTGGTGCAGTCATACTTCTTTTACTTACTTAATTACACTGTTTATTCAGTGCACAGCAAGATTTCAGCGAGAGATAATAAAGAAGATAGTATGTTAATTACACTACGACCCAATAAAGGAAAAATAGTTACACATAGTTTGGGCTCCTAGAATATGACGCTCTTGTGGCAATCCATTTGATTGGTATCGAAAGGACCAATTTATTGGGATGTCAAATGCTCGACAAGCTGCTACATTAGTGGCGCATAAACCATGTTCGTCAACCAAGTTTGTTCGGTGGTCGTAATTGGTTAGTGGGAAAAAAGCGGAAGAATAAAGTAATAATCTTGGACCCAGCTATTAGGACTTTTCTGGTTTTGCCTTCCACTTTTCTAAAAGAGAAATTCATTCTGTGTAGGGTCCTCCCATGCCATTTGATAGGCATCGTGGTTCATAGAGTTTGAACTTATACTTTGGCATTATGAATCGGAATATCAGAGCTGTATCGGATGTATACAGTTGTTCCGTGGAATTATGATTTTTTCCAGTATCATAAATTTTTACTAAATATATCAATTATATGTATAACTGTACACTAAGCTTACGTGGAATAAATATCATGACTCCAAGTTTACCTCTTCTAGTCATGCAATTTGAAGCTTCAGCAATGGTTTAGAGAATTTATCCAGACTATTTAAGTACCTTAATGGAGGTTTAGTTAACACATCTTCAGTTCGCAAATGCAACCCTTTCATTATCCTATTTGATAGGAACCATAATCGGATGCTTTTTTTGCAATTGTTGCTTCTAATGGGTGATTCAGTGCCTAAGAAAGTGAAATAGACCTTGACGAGAGGAGTCCTGGAGCAGATACCTCAACTTTCCTATCACATTATTCGGTCGTCTTCTGTAGATTGTTGTGCAATCTGGTAAGAACTAGAACTTCATTACTAAGGAAGTAGACAGTCTTTTAAGTGAAGAGACTCTAATAAATGTAGCCCGTCTCGTTTGTCCTCTTATTTCCTGCATTTTCAGAACTCTCCATTGACAATGTGGCCCAATGTTAAAAAAACACCCTGTTCAATTAGATACAGACAAGAGAAGAACATGGATTCCCAAATGTCACAAGAAAGGAGAGACAGGAAGCTGAGAGATAAAAATGCTGATAGAAATATAAAGCAAGAGGGGGGGAGGTAGGCACTGTTCTACTTCCTATAAGAGGGAGTTAGTTCGTTCCCTATTAGTATTATTCCACGACAGCTGCTACAAACTATGAACTGCGTAAAATCCCCATAAAAGGGCAGCCGTAGCATATTTTTTTTATGGCAGGATCAGTGTGAAAATCGTAATTTTTTGTTCATTTTGAGTTCCTATAAAGTACGAATACATCCATGGTATTTTATTCCCTATGTGTAGCCATTCGCAACGGACATGTACGTAATCCCTCTCCAGTATTTCTCTAGTTTAATTCACAACTGACAATAAACTGTTGATGCTTGTATGCATTTCTGCGTCTGCCATGCATGATTTGCTTACATCGCCAAAACTAGGAATGCTCTAAGAACAATTCTCCATTTCTGGCATTTCAACTTCTTATGAAGAGGAAAAGACGTCTTTGAAATTTGTTCGAGCGTCTACGAAAGCCAAGTCCAAAGTTCTGACTTGGAATTCCCATGGGTAATGATCATCTCAGGGTGTCTGTCAAAATCCCACTCTCTGTCTTCAAATAAGTGAACTAAAGTGATAGGAACTTAACATTCCTTCATATTTTTTTTTGTATCTTCTTCAGTGTGAAGAACAGCTTCTGGTTACGCGGCTCGTTGCTGCTAATCTTGAAACTGATCATATACCTTATCGGTTAATTTTTAAATTCTGATCAGACAACTCTTACTGTTTTGCTATCACAGATTCCAGAGACCTGCAGGGGCGCTTCCTTCCTCCATGCTCGGCTTGGAGGCTATTACGGGCAGCTTGGATGACTTTGGATTTGAGGACTACCTCAACGGTAACGATTCCTGCTTATTATTTTCCATCGTTACTCCGTAAAATCACGAGTTCTTGGATGCTGTAACTTCCTATCACGTTTCTGCTCCCCCGTTTTCAGTCTTCTGGGATGCGAATCCTCCGGGGGGATTGTCTTCTCCTTATGACGCTTGTTTCATCCTCTTGCGGCCAGTCATGAAAGGGTCTCATTTATCTTTGTTCTTCTCTTTTTCCGCAGACCCACGAGATTCTGACAGCTTTCGACCAGCCGACATGCATCACGGGATGGAGGTTCGCCTGGGCATCTCCAATGGCCCAGCTCATCCAAGCTTCATCTGATTAGCCTGTTCTTAACGCGACATCTCCTTCAGACAGTGCCCAGTGGTTGGGTTAGTTTCCTTCCTTTCTCCATGGATTCAATGTTCTTGGAAATCTTGGTGTTGGAACGCTTGCTTGATTGATGTCGATTGCACGAAACAGGCCCATATTTCCTTAAATATCACTATTTCATCCCCAATCTCTGCACTGTTAACGGTTGACTTTTCCCCTGCTGATGATCTACAGACCCTCGTTCATGATAATACTACATCTTAGGGTCGTCTTAGTTCCATGCTTCTTAGATCAGTTGACTTTGAAGTCCGCTTATAAATTGGTCAACCTGTTGGACCACATGTGGGGCAAGAAAAGAGGCCTGAGGTTTCTGGGCCGGGACTGGCCTGACCGTTGACCTTTTCTGTAGTAGTCATGGATAGACGGCTTAAAAATGGGGAAAAAAATCCCGCCACGGCCAACTTTCATGAAAGAAAATGGCAAAAACATAAAAATCGCTCCCTTCGTTCAACAGAGACAAATAAACTCGTTGTCGGTCAACAGAAGTCAACCACCCTGCCTCTGATATCGCTCACCCATCCCTGCGAACTGGTAGCTCATTAGGAGGAACGCAAGCAGGCATCTGCTGGGCCTGCTGAAGTTTATTCCTATTTTTGGCATTCGTCTCTGCTATCCGTTGGGGAAGCCCGGGGAACGTTAAGCTGCCCATTCCACTTCCACCTCTGCGCGGCAGCCTCCAACACTTTCGCTCTCATCTGGTTCTTGTTCGCCTCCTCTTCAACCCAGCACCTGCGGAGAACTTCAGGTTACGACCTCGGTCCCAGGAGTTCACAGCAACCAGAATAACTTTGGTTACTAAATATGGAACAGGAGACTAACTCATTCATGCCAAATATGGAAAGTAGGATCACACAGAAGTGAACCCAAAAAAAAAAAAAGGACATGGAGGAGCTGAGAGAGCACCTGAGAATCCTGAGCGCCTCCTTCTCGACCTCAAGAATCGACTTGGCCTCGGCAATGGCGTCCTGTTGGCGGCGCAGTTCGGTGGATTCCTCCTCCAGAATCTCCTTCTGGGTCAAAAGATTGGATCTTTCGTCGGCAAGCCTCCCCTGCAGCTGCTCAACCTCTTCCCTGAGGCTGACCAGCAGCTGTCTCTGACAATCCAGCGCCGCCCTCTCCTTCACGTGGTCGGCCAGGTCCCTTTCGAGGGCGATCTTCTCCTCTTTCAGGTCACTCAAGGCCACGAGATAATCTTCCTGGATTTTTCTGCGGCGGGCCTTCTCTTCATCGAGCTTTCCTTCCCAGAATGCTCTCATTTCTCCCCCGGAAATCATTTCTCGCCGGATGTCCTCCATCTGGGCTAGCTGAGATGAGTCCTCCATTTCATGCCGGACCAGTTCTGCTTGAATGGCCCTCGCCATTCGGCCACTGGCTAGGGCGACCACTGCCTGAGCTTTTGTCACAGGCTTGTGGGGTTGGAGGCGGCGGCTGTTGCCTGTTTGCATAGTGGGGACAAGTTAGGAAGGAAATCCATTGGGGATATCAAGGGTGGAATGCACATCCCCTTGTGGGGATTTCAGGAGTACGCCTTCAGAAATTTAATGGGAAGCGTGCTGCGTTCAGGGAGTATCGTTAGAGAGATTTGAGACAAAAGATTTCTAATTATGAGAGCATTTCTCGTCAGGGTTCAAGGAAATGATGGATGGATGATATGCACAATGTGTTCATAATATTTTCTGTTTCAAAGAAGGATGCAGAAGTAAAGGCATTAGCCAGAAGATCACCTTTCACACTTGGGAGATCTACCAGGAATATCAAGAAACAAAGTAAGTAAACTCATGCTTCAGATAAAACGGGGAGAATCACTAAGATACCCGTTTTATCTGAAGCATGAGTTTTTTTCATTTTTTATCAATTACACAATTTTGTTCATTTGTAATACATGGGAAAAAAAGCTCCGCTTACAAGACACACTAGATCCTAAATAAAAAAATTAAATAAAAAAATTGAATGAGCGAGCTTAAGTAAATTCATTTGATGCCTTTGATGAGATCTCTCATAGTTAATCAGTAGACAGACAACAAGCAAGCTAAGTGGTATACCAAAAACTGTCCTAACGATGCTCTTATCTTCAGCCAGAAGGTCCATGAACAAAGCTGGAGTTGCATCTGTGCCTACGGAATCCAAATCCATGAAGCCTAGATTCTTCCTTAACATCTGGACTGTAAACAAGTCAGGCATTAGATGTGAAGATACAGAGCAGTCAATTCAAAACCATGCAGAAACATGTCAACCAAAAGGCCAAATAATAGCATTCTTTTCACACATCACGCGCACCTTCTCCTCTATCACAGGAGTGGATAAGTATTCTAGCTGGGCTCTCCAGTTTAACAAATCCATCCGAGACAAGGAGCTTTAATGAGATTCATGAAATTCATCACAAAAATGCGAGAATGATGTTAGAAAGTCGCATATAGATTGGGCTGTAATATACATTACAAATTGGTAGATAGCATATACGTACCTTTCAGGGGAAAAATCGCATGTTCCATGGTTTAAAGAACTATTCTCCTCTGAAAAATGAGATTTCGAAGCGACCAAAAGTTTGCTTGGAACAATCCCAACTTCAGCGAGGGCTTTTCAGAAAAAATAATGTCAACCCAGGAACTAAAGCCATTCAACATGTCCGAAGAAAATCATTGGAAATAGATTGGCAACATCACTCACCTTGAATGAATGGGAAATCGGGATCATCAGCGTTGACATCATCAAATGCCGCCAAAAAAGAGCTGCCAGCTAATTCTGGCAGAACAATTTTATGCCTTGCGTTCCTACACAAAAGGTGGGGGTTTAAAAAGAGGAGTGAACTGGGTTAACTTAACTCTAGGAGATGAGCCCATGTTCAGCTATGTCCCTAACTACCTTTCTAACAGGGCGTTTGCTTTAACCAACCACCTTGCATATTCCCTCCTTGTGCACAGCTCACCAGGCCTGACATCATCTTCAATGATCTGCCACATACATAGCAAATGAAAATGAAGCAAATTTTTGTGCCTATAGACAACAAAAGATAATATCAATTACACAATTTTGTTCACATACAAATGAATCATAACGAGCTTTTTCATGTAAGGCCAGAAATAAATTTTGTGCCTAACGTGGAAATCACAATATCTCAAGCAAAGCCTGGCCCAAGATTTATGCATTATATTCTTCTAGAATTTATACAGGCACGAGATGAGTGAACACCGATCACTACTATTCAGGACGACGTAAAAAATCTAGTTCATATAATTCCAAAATAGACGATTCATTATCCCATATCATATAGGCCAAAGCGAACTAGCTTATTTAAAACTCTAGAGAAGATGGGTGATGTACTCCTGAAACATCACAGCTTCACAGCCTGTTTACAGAGTATTTCTCATTCCAAGATATTTTCGGCACCTCTGTTTGGGTTTCAATCTCTTCACACGTTCAGCAAGGAGTAAAATCACAATGAGCAGATAAGAAGAAGCGCATAACTTGCACATGATTCCAAAGTTTGGAAAAAATCAAAAGAGAATTCGCATGCAAAAGTTTACCAAATGAAAGTACATTCATATAAAACAAAGTTTGGATTGAGGGGATTGAAAAGATAAAGAAAGCTCCACCTAAACTGTTCCTCAGAATTACCATAGTTTAAAGACGTGAAATTTTTTCAGACATCTGTGAAAGTGGAGAACCCTCCAGTCAATATCGGCCAAATCTTCTGAATATCCTGGTAGATTAGTTTTGGAGATGGGACAGAAAAGAAATGCGAGGATGGACATAGTTTTTTTTCAAGCCGTTAACTTCAGCTAAAGGAAAGTTCTAATGCAAGGAGGACATAGATTTTAATGAGTGACCCAATCTATCACAGTTTTTCCCTCTTGAAAGTATTCAGTTTCTAGCATGTTATCAGCTTCCGACGAAATCTAAGTCAAAGTTATTTCAACAAACAGGGCACATAAAAAAAATTCGTTGTGATGCCCAGTTCAAGACAAATAAATCCAGAAATTAATGGTTGCACATGGATTCTGGTCCGACTGCTAATCATGTTCTTCAGAGACGTACAAGGAACTGCCACTGCTTACAACATGGAATCAAATAAAAATAAGATTAAGGCGGCAAACCTTTAGTTTCTGTAGAACAAATAAAGCTTGCTTTTGAGTAGAATCAGCTTCCACAGAGACAATCTGCTTCTTTTCGCCTGATGCTAGTAATCAAACAATAATGTAAAAAATAGCTGTACCAAACTTTACACCTTATCAACTAAGTTGTAGAGAAAAGCGCAAATGAAAATAACATAAAATAAAATATCAGAGTCATTTGATGGTCAAAATAAATAATGAAATTGTACTGACAACTCTTGAAATTATAACATATTTTTGTATTTACAAGTTCCCAGCACACACAGCAGAACTTGCAGTAACTCGAATTCCAAGAAACTTTGATACGTGCATCAGGCATACAACAATTTTTTTTTTTGAGGAACCATCATTGTTTGTGGGAAAGAAATATCACCTGACATCTCATTATTAATTGTTGGTAGGAATGCATCATCCGTAATGACAGGTTTATCCTCCAGAATATTCTCAGAGCTCTGGTTGCCTTCATAATGCGAAGTGATGTTGGATTCTGATGAGGTCAACGATCCGTTCAGAAAAGGAAATAGCCCATCGAAGTGGAACTTGTAACCTTCAAGAGCCAGAAAGATTTCACAAGACATAAATTCATACGCATGGCTATAGCAGGAAAACACAAGACAGATTTTTATGACAAATTTTCCACAACAAAGACCAATGATACTTAGCAGCATCTACGATGGAAACACTTGCAAATATATGGGCATAAAATAAATAAATAAATCTACATCAGCAAAGAAATGACATAACATTAAAATAGATAGGATCTGGCTGTCCATCAACCAGAGGATGCAGTGAAGTTAACTTCAAACAAAGACAACATAGCTGAAAGACGAAAGAACTACTCTGGAGGGGTACATGAGATATAACTAGGGATGAACAGTTCGTTGGGTTGGGAGGATAGAGCAAGAGCAAGAGCAAGTAGGGTGATAGCTTGACCTAAACTGTGAGCATACACTGTTCTAATGTACCTCTGTGAAAGAGGATGTCGACGAATATTTAAACAATTGAATCCGAGCACAAGCTTATACGTACCTTTTCTCGAAACAGAGAAGTAGAAGAACGCCGCAAGAACCAACGCAACTGACGTTCCGGCCCCTACTGTTAGAAACCTTTCAAGATCTGCGGAGAAACCCGAAACGCTCGTCAGCTTCTGACCTTGAAAAGACTAGAAAAGAAAGAAGGCATCATAAAATCTACTTAACAAGGAAAATCTTCATTCCTCCTCTCCTCCGCGCACTGCACGAAGACCCAACCGCCGAATCCGTCGATGGAATCCTCCTGGTGAGCCCAGGAGGTCGTCGCTCCTCCCCGGGGTTCCCCCGCGGCCGGCGACCGGAACAGGCAGGCTATCCTCCACTGCTTTGGCGACCGAGCAGCCCAAATCACACCCGACGGGCGGAGGAGCGCCACTTTGCCGGAGCAGAGGTGGCGGTGAGCGCCGCAGTAGGCATCACCAGAGATGAAAGCCGGAGTAGAAGCGGCGCTATAGCCCATTTCCCCAGATTTCTGGGTGCTCGTGCTCGTCTACGATTCCATCCCCTTGCCCTCAAAGCCGAATCCTGGCGGCGAGATTCCTTGGAAGCCGCCAGAAGAGCTCGTAGGCGCTATCTCGCCAGAAGAAGCTGCTCCAAATAGTGGAAGAGTACTTCTCTATAGGAAGCCGCTCACAGGCTATATGTATAAATAAGTAATTTTATTTGGTTATGAATCAATGTTTATTTTTAAAAGGTTTTATATGATAAAGACGGACAGATAAAGACAGGAACCAGAAAATGGAAGAAAATGCCCGGATATTCGTCGTCGTCTTCACTGCAGTAACCCTAGACTTCCCCGGGGGGAGCCCTGTTGATGGAGGAGCCGCGAAGTATTCGTCGTTCGGAGCCCCCTGAACTCTAGGAGGCCTATCTTCTGTGCTCAATAATCAGATACCCGCGATCCATGGATCCTCGCCGCACCGCCCGAACGGTGATTGACCCTAAGGTCCGGCAGGTGGGCTTCTTCACACCGGCTGCGGCGCCACTTCAACAAGCACAGTCCGCGCCTGTCGTCACAGAGGGGGGTGGCTTGCCGTCGCCGCCGCTTTCCGACATCTCTGCGGGCAGCAACTCGCTCTCACCTGTAATGATACCGCCGCCGCGCCACTTGTCCGCCCCTGTGTCCGTGCCCGCTCCTCCGTCCCCGCTGCGGAGGGATAGCCTTATGGCTTTTCCGGTGGGCAGCTACAACCCGTCGGAATCGTTGCCGGAGACGTCTCCACTGCCGTCGCCGTCTAGCCGGGTGGACGGGTCGGAATACTCAGAGGACATCCCCTGGGGCGGGAGGGGTGCAACGGGGAGAGTTGCATCTTCTTTTCCTGGCAGTGGGGGCGAGATGCTGGTCACCAACCCGGGTGCGAATAATTTACAACCAAAGAGCAGCTTGACGACGGCATCAGTGATGAAGATGCCGCCAGGGCTAACAGGTAACGACGTGGATTCTTGTCTCCCGCCTCCTCTAAAGGTGGTCAATTCTTGTTTGTTTCTTCTTCTTAATGTCGCTCCCGTGTTTCTGACATCACGCGATGAGCTATAAGAAAATGCTGTCTTCTCAATGTGTTATCTGAATTCAAATATCACCAGGAAGTAGTACGCTGATATCTTATTCTGTGAGTAAGATGATGGGTAACAGGCGTTTCCTCCCCGATCTCAATTGACAGAGCCTCTTTCTTGCTGCTCTTCTGCTTTTTCTACTTCCCATGTGAGCTGTTAGAAGCAGATCTTTTGAATGCCAGGGGAATTTCCTTTTGATATGTTTGCTTAGCTGCTCAGCTGCCTGGAGAAGTTAGATAGATGCGTAATAAAGTAATGGCAGTCGATGATTTATAAGGTGGAAGAAAGAGTGGGTGATTTTCTTTGTTTGATGTTTCTGTACTGAATGGTCTTCTTTGATTTTGAAATACTCGAGAATGTTTTAGCCATAAGTAAAGATAAGTAAGTAGTCGCGAGTGGTGTCTGACAGAGATCCTGGAGTGTTGTGTGGGTTCTTCATTCATCATGTTGTCTTTTGGATTAATTTCGGAGGGAATATGTTGTGGGGTTCATCGTACTTCAAACATGTGGGTTTTTTTTGTAACCAGTGGATAATCTCTCCTTCTGTGGGCTTTTTTGTTGAAGACAGTCAATATATTTACATGAAGGTTACGAAAATGATCATGCATTTCTCCCATTTATTTGGCCGAGATCAGTACAGCTATTCTTGTCTAATCTTCTGGTGGATAAGATTATTTTGCTTTGGAATGTTTGTTCTGGGTAATGCTTTCATTGTTCTCTTATCCTTCTTGAGGTTGGATTTAGGTTTTATCGTTTCAGAAAAGGAATCAGTCACTTTCATGGGGGCTTACTGTTTATTTAATTATTCACTTTTACAGAATATGATTCTAGCTGCTTGTGGGAAAATGACAAGCCTGTTGTTTTACCAGAAGATTAATGTTGTATCTTCTTTCTAACAATATAACGTTGACCTCATTCAGTATAAAACGCATAAAAAATTCCGTCAATCTTAGATCAGGATGAAGCACAGAAAGGTAAATTTATGATTTTTTTCCTTCAAAGTTTTTGATTGCCTGTTACTGCCTCTATCTTTTATGATGGGAGTGATTTTTTTGCTGAATGCAACTGTTTAAGAGCAAGGTTTATAATATTCTCCAAGAAAAATAAATTATAGGTAATTATTATAAGTTTATGTTTTCAGAAAAGGGCAAGGGTCCTATGACAGAAGGTCAGCCTGAACGAGGGGGTACAAAGGTGAAGGAGAAAATGTCAAAAGCTGAAAGGCGTGCTCTCCAAGAGGAACAGCGTGCTGCTAAGGCTGCAGCAAAGGCCTCTGGTGATTATTTGTTTTGTGATGTTGAACCTATTGTTTTTGCTCTTATTGTTTGTTTACTTCTTGTCCTTTTGATGCAATATCTTTATGGGAACAGTTGATGGTTATGCCCTGTGCTCATCAACTTGGGGGTGTATGTACACATGGATATTTTTGTGTCTTGTTCTTGATTCTCTAGCAGACAACGAAGGAGCAGAGTGGTAATCCAAAATCCTCAAATCAGTCAGGATGTTGATTTATTTTGGCTTATTGTGTTTGTTTTCTTTGACAACCCATGATTTCAATATGGAATCAGCTATTTCTTCTGGAAAAAAAAAATGTAAATGCTAATGAACATGATCCACCTTTCTTAAAAATCATTTTTTTTTTCTTTCTTACGCCTCATTTCGAAATGTCTGACTGTCCCTCCATGATGACCATAGGTGACGGAAGAAAGCCTGCTACTGGAACTGCTTCAGTGAGTGCAGAACAGAGCAAAATAGGGAAGCCTTCTTTGCAGAAGAAAGATAGCACTCAGGTTTCCAGTGTTCCAGAGAAGAAGGGTACTGACCGTGTTCTGGAGAAGGACAGGAAAAAGGATGTTCCACCACCCAGAATGCAATTTGATGACAAGAGTCGAGTTGAAAAGGCCAAAAGGCGAGCAGTAGTGAATCAGTCAGAAGCCAGAAACATAGTCGAGTTGTTTCGGCACTTGCCTCAGTATGTGCACGGCACACAGTTCCCTGATCTTGAAGCAAAATTCTTCCAGCTTGATCCAATGCATCCCTCTGTATATAAGGTATGCCCCGGAACTGCATTGCTGACGAGCCAAAGCTCATTTTGGCATCTAACAAGTTAGAGATAGAATGGCTTTAGAAGTATATTTAAAAAAAATATGGCAGGCCGAAATTTATACCCAAAAATTATTATTTCTGTCATTTCCACAGCTTCCACGGCTTTCGAAAGTCTCTTTTTTTTGTTTATTGTTAAGTCAGTATGTTCTTCAAACAATCTGGACACTGTAACCTCTTCAGAGATGCTAACCCAATGCAGCCATTCGCTTGCTGTTGTCTTCAATAATATGTTTCTGCCTCACAAAATGAGCTTTAAGTATTTAATCTCCGGGAGATTCTAACCTTGGACTTTTTTTTTTACCCCATCTGCATTTTTATCCTTCATTTAATTGATCAGGAGGCATAAATTTCAGGTCGGACTCCAATACTTAGCAGGAGATATTTCTGGCGGCAACAATCGCTGTGTTGCCATGCTTTTAGCATTCCGAGATGCAATCAGAGACTACTCCACGCCGCCAGAAAAGACTCTCATTCGAGATTTAACTGCCAGAATCGGTATCTACGTATCATTCTTGATTGAGTGCAGACCACTTTCTATCAGTATGGGAAATGCAATTAAGTTTCTGAAGAACCGGATCGCCAAGTTACCATTGAATATCTCAGAATCCGAAGCAAAATCCGGCCTTCAGGCGGACATTGATCGGTTCATCAATGAGAAAATAATACTGGCCGACAAGGTTATAGTCAGTCATGCGGTGACAAAGATAAGAGACAGTGATGTTTTGCTCACTTATGGCTGTTCTTGTGTTGTTGAGATGATACTGCTAAACGCTCATGAACTTGGGAAACAATTTAGGGTGGTGATAGTGGACTCACGCCCAAAGCTTGAAGGGCAGGCATTACTCCGCAGGCTAGTGAGAAAGGGCATCCACTGTACATATACCCATATAAATGCTATTTCCTATATTATGCATGAAGTTACACGTGTGTTCCTAGGAGCTTCTTCGGTGCTATCCAATGGAACTGTTTACTCAAGGGTGGGCGCGGCATCTGTGGCCATGGTCGCCCATGCATTTCGTGTTCCTGTCCTAATTTGCTGTGAAGCATACAAATTTCATGAGAGGGTGCAGCTTGATTCCATATGCTTTAATGAACTCGGTACTTGGATCTTCTTCTGTACCTGGGACCTCGTTTTTTGTTCTCTCTAGTGACATTTAGGAGACTTATGCTTCAGAAGCACCAACCCTTGCTGAAACATCGTGTGATCTTCTTGCAGGTGACCCAGATGTGATATCGAAAATTCCTGGGAGACCAGAATTGAATCATTTGGATCATTGGGCAGACAATGAGAAGTTGCATCTTCTGAATCTCACGTATGTTCTAAGTTAGATGCATTGTAACTATTTAGGCACAAAGTACTCATGGAACTTGTGGTGTCCTTGGGGTTCATACGTGAGTAGGATCAAGGTTGGGCGGCTTAGTATTTTATTGAGACTCAGATAGTGGAAAATATAAAGCAGAAGCATGTAGACTCAGTTGCTGCTTGGACTGACACTGATATAATTTGCTTTAGTCTCTAGACAAGGGTCATATAAATCTGGTAGTCATTTTTCAAAGAACCTAGCTCATATCAAGATAGGAGGGCCACATCAAGTTGGCAAACCTTGTTTTGGATGCATGATTCAATTTCTATGTTTTTTTCAATGATGCATTGACATATAATATGTTTTTAAAACTTCTCAATTATTTTTTTTTTTTGGTGTAACAGTTATGATGCAATGCCTTCTGACTATGTGTCGATGATTATCACGGATTATGGAATGGTAAGTAGCACAATACATTTGATGCCTTAAAATTTAATTGAAGGATTTATCCCGTGTGCAGAGAAACTATAATCTAATCATGCATTTAAAAAATGAACTACTTATTTCTCGTCATGTTATTTTTGTTGGATCATTGGTCTGTCGCCTCCAGTCTGAGATGGACTACTTTTCATAGGGAGGATGCGGGATTCCTATCCAATTGTGGGAGGAGATTTCTATACGTTTTAAATGAAGCCTTGCCAATATGTCATAGAGCTTTTTCTGCACCTGAACGCTGGATTTCTTCTATTTATTTCCCCAGAAAAAGAAATTCCTTCTTATTTTCTGCACCGTTTGAACTCAAGACCTAAAATGCAACTGAACTCAAGATATATCCTGAAATCTTGATCATTTTCTATTATTAGTGATTTCATGTCGTCAGTTAAAACCCAGATTCGGATCATTCTATGCTGCGCTAATCTCATACTTTTGACTCAATATGATTATATATTCTAAAACGGCTGCAAAATTTGCATCTAAGCAGAATGCCTCTCTTGCAGGTCCCAGCCACGAGTGTACCGGTCATCATCAGAGAGTACCGAAGAGAACACGTGTGGATATAGAGGGGACTTCCCCAGCCTTCGTGTCAAGCTTGGCTCACATTTTTCCTGATTATTTATGGGAATTCAACCCCCCTTGGCCCCCTCCCCAACCCCAGTGGCTATTTTCTTGTCTTCCGTAATAATATCCTAGACTCCATCATTTAGCAGGCTCCGTGCCTTGTTTTTGGTAGTGACATCAGACCCAAAACCTGACTCAGTGAAGAGTGCGACAGCTTCGCCTCTCCGGGCACCATCTGTGGTTTACTCAGTTCGAATCCATGGCTCTTTTGTTGGTGATCTAAGTCTCATGGCGGGTTTCTAAATGTCTAGAAGATCTTGGCATGTCTTAAACTGTTTCACATGTATTCTTCGCAGATTTCACCAGTATGATCCTGAAAGGGGTGTTATAGGCTTGCTAACTGCAAAGCCCGGCTGGTTTATTTCTGGGCTCGGGCTGAAGAATCAATAATTGAGGGGAAAATGAGTCTGGCACTAAGATCAATGAGTCTTCCAACATTTCATAGTTCCTCTCTCTCTCTCTCTCTCTCTCTCTCTCTCTCTCTCTCTCCCTCTCTCTCATGACTTAGAGAAAAAGCTCGTTCTGCCCATCATGATTTGGTCAGCTGCAGAAGAGGGAATGGCTTTACCCTAACGTGGGGCTTCAATAAGTTGGCTGGTTCTACATGAATAGATGGTCTAGGAAGTGAACAACTGTGCACACAGATCATACCGAAAATCTCAGCAGCGGGAGTTCTCATGGTATACTTGAAAAAAATCGATAAATACAGTAGAACCAGTCTTAATGACCATCTGAAATATCGTCTGAGGGGTGAGTCGGATCCATTCGACAACCCTAATGACAAAGGAGATGTGATTCAGATCGCATTATGAGAATATGTCGTCTGAAGAATCAAATTGATAAATGCAAGTCCATGGGCGATTATTAACTAACAAGAGCAGTAATTACGGATAACTAACTAACAAAAATGGAAACCCTAGGTGATTAGGGTCAGAAATCTGTACAAACTTGAAGAATCAACTGAGACTAGCACACGTTTGGTTAATGAACCCTATACAGGATTCCCTCCCAAAAAAAGTAGTAAAACGCCCAAATGTTACTTCGTCTGTCATCTAGGGTTTAATGATCTGATAATGATAACACATCGTTTTTTTTTTCCCCCAAAATAACATGTCATTGATAGAGAAATGATTTGATGAACTAGAGAACCCAGAAAATCTTGCACCTGAAGAGCAGTTTGAAGATCAGCGCACAATTTGGGAGAAATATGTACACAGAATAATGATGTCATCTTCCCTGATTTGTACCTCCTTCCTGTAATCCACAAAAATGGGTAGTTTAGGGGCGCTATTAGCCAAACACCCAATTCAGGCAAATAACAAGATCAACTACGGTAAGATCAAATACTAGAGGGGAAGCTCTAAGATAACCGAAAGCTCAAGTGAAAAAGCATCTGCCTGCAGATCACAGTTTGCATGTAGAAAATATTTCGTGTTGGAGTTTGAATGATTTCTTCAGTTATAGGTGTTTCCTACGTTATGGTTCTTTCTCTCGCAAAGGTTTTAGATTTTTTTTCCAAAAGAAGCTTATTTCGTTCTAAGGTTTAACAAAAAGTTAAATAATATGGAAAATTCTCTCCAAATAGATTCCACACATTCCATTTTCTAACCACGCTTAAATAATGGCTTGCAATCTGCAGAATGTTTAGCAACTTTCTCACAAGGAATGACCGCATACTGAAAATAACCAGTCTATAGAAAAGTAATTGCAAGTCAATCACAAAGAAATACGTCACTTAGAGATGAAGTTCAGGAGCAAGCACATACGAACTCACCATGGTGGGTAAATACATATAAGATTTCCTACTTCTAGCTCCACGTTTCCGCATATCTTTGAACTGAAAATAATTATCCTCTCTGTTGTTTCTCCGATTTCCTCAGGCATCTGCCGGTTGTTTCCGGTTTGGGAGCTCTGCCATGAAGAAAAAATATATAACCTTAACATGCATTAATTAGTTACCATTTTCTTCAAAATTATTGACATTTCGACTGCTAAGTTCCCTTAGGGCATAGCATTATAGGGCATCTAACCAAGTCTGCATTGCAGATAGAAAGTTGAATCCGCAAACCTTCTTTGTAAAGAAACATTTTCGAAGACAGACCATCGTAAGCACAATCTTGTCAGAATATTACGATGCAAAGAATGCTAGTCAAAACTAAGAGACCGCAATAATCACCCTCACCTCAATGCATTCTGTGATTTTTCCACAAAATAGACAGCGACAGACAATTGATTTTGCGTCCAAAACCCTAGACAAGATCTTCACATTAATGCCTCTTGATTGATCTGCAACGACGTCACATGCAGACGATCATGACAAAAGTCATAGACACTAGATAGATTTATCTTCATAAAGTGAGGTTATAAATTTTTCTCAGAAAAACAACATATGGGAACGAGATTTTGATTAGGTTACTAACTACTGTGCAATTGCTTCACGAATTTCATATGCCTGTCCTTGTCTCTCTGCATGATTTGCTGCAATCTCCCATAATAACCAGTACTGCAGAATTGATACCCAGAAGATGAGATGAGGTGCTTTTTCTATATTCATAGAAATGTCCCCTCGAGTAATCAAGTAATACAAGCTAAATAGTTATTAATTCAAGGGTACGTTCTCACGCTGCTCTAGTTGAAAGAGGAAGGCCTTCAACATCTGCAGTAGAAACGGTGAAAATTTCCTGAAATAGACCCGCCATAGTCTGGCCTTTAACACTTGTCGCAGGGATCAACGGATTCTCACAATTGCCCTAGTTTACCAGTTGATTTTTTCAGGCATGAATAGCTAAAACTGATAGACAATCAGAAAGCAAGCTAGTGTAACTATGGCAATACCTCATCTGCACTCGATGTTATGCTACCCACTTGCTCCCGTGCATCTTCATTGTCGGAGGATCTAGTGGTGTCATGAATTCTGGTTGTTCTTTTTTGGGTCTTTCTCCCCTTTCTTTTGCTTTTCCTCACAAACTATTCAGTTAAACCATACATTTTAGAACAGTGCTTGCAGAAACTTTGAAAAGCTGTTAGAGCATGGACAGCACACAAACCACCTCGGAAGGCCACGCTAATGGATTGTTTTTCTCCAAGTCGTCCAGAACAGTAGATGATGAAGACCTTGCATCGCCGTTCCCAAGAGGCAATCTCCCTGACCAGTGAGCACCATCGGGTGATGCTGTGCCTTTTTTCGTAAGTTTCTCTAAAAGTTCAGTCATTGAAGATGCTGAAAATTTATGTTGGATTTCTTGCGCCGAATGCGCCAACTCAGTCTCGGATGATTCCTTCATTTCAAATTTCAGAACAGTGTGTAAGGTCGGTTCTGTCTGAGGAGGGAAGCGAATAGAAAACCTTGGCCTAGCCTTGCCTCTGTCCCCTATAACATCACTGTCGATTGTCAATTTATAAAAAACCCAAATCTATTCGTGTAAACATAAACCAACGAATGAAATGATCATACGTCATCGGAAGCCCTGAATGCATAGATCAAAATCAAAGTACAACGTATAAGAAAGGGAGAACAAATTATTACTGAAGATAAAAAATTCCATCGTAAATTACAAGTGAGCATGAATAAAAATTATTTATTCTTTTGCGGTGACTTCGGTTGCTACAACCTAAATTTACACTAAAACCTAGACTCAAACTCTAAAACTAGCCTTCAATACATCAACACACAAGTTTACAGTAAAATTCAAACTTATTTTGAGGGCTGACTGAAATTCCAACCTATTCTCACCGTTTTAAAAAAAAAAGTTCTATTTTCACGAGATACCACAACGAAAATAATGGTTGTAAAGTTCAAGCCTGAACGCAACAAATCAGATCTGCCCAGAGTATCAAATTAAATAGTTTTTTTTCTTGTCAACCATTTCAAAGAGCCACGAAATGGGAAAGGAAAATTTTGAAAAGTAGGAGAGAAGAGAATAATACCTTTGGATATTCTTATTGCCTCCGTTTTGGCAGTAGACGATGACAAATGACCAGATTTTTCATGCAAACAAGCTAACTGGTCGGCTTCTTCAAGAATAGCGTACCAAGAGGCTGTGTCATACTGGTTCTTGTCGTCAGCATCATAAGCTTTTTTCATACAGGTGTCAACGCCAGGTGTGGGAGATGTTGAAAGTGCAGCGTCATTCTTCAACAATTGAGAGGAGAACAAAGCTTAGGGGACGAGTTGCGCAACATTCGACACATGATAATTAAACATTGAGCAAAAGCAAAGGTAGCATACCCTAATGGCATGCTAATCAATAAACAAGGACACGAATATCTCACAATGAAGCCTTAAAAGATATCAACAGAACAGTGTACTTGAAAGGAAAATATGTTCTCCTTAAAGACACATAAAAATATAAAATCAAGTAACAACAACAGGCTAGCTATATAATCAAAAGAGAACAACAGACATGATGGAAACGGTTCATTAGGGGCTAGCTATATAACCTCGCTTCAGGAAGAAATTGAACTTTGTATGACCCATAACATAAAATAAACACTAGGATACAAAATTTCTTCTCAGCTAGCTCCAAGTTGTAAAAGACAGGGACAAACAGATGCGAAGACTTCTTCCTCAAGCAAACAGGTATATCATACTGCTACTATATTGATTATGATGAAGTGGATAACTGACATCAGGCCCGAAAAAGTTCAGTATATGAAGAACTTTGAAGTCCTTATAAGGTTCTTTCTCATTCAAAGAATGAGGGATGAAGAATCACTTAGCAAAAGTTGAGGCGAATTAACAATCTAGATGAAACATCAGACATGATTTTCATCTTTGAGCCATCATTTTGATAAATCTGATTCACGAGGCATGACGACTAGTTACAAGGATAAAAAAAAATCTAGGATTGGAAATCACCATAATATGTTCGTATGAGTGAAAAGTTCATCACTTCGAGATGGTGACCTTTAACCACTAGCAATCCAATCCTGCATGCTTTAGCTGATAAGAACCTAAGGCCAAGTAGCAAGGATGAACTCTCTAAGTCTCTAATCCTCTTTTAAGGCCAATTCCAGAGTTACATTATCTAACACGTGTGTAAATTGGTCTTGATAAGTCACAGTTTCATAAACCTTCAAGAAAGAACAACAAAACTGCTGTTTATAGGCATTGGAACTTACAGCCGAATTGGAAGTCTTAACGCTAGCATTCTCTGATAAAGTATAAGCTCTATAGCTGGGTCTACTTTGTACACTTTCCACAATCGGCGCATTTTCTCCCTCATCATGTTGTGTCTTTTGAGATATCCAGAGAGTGGAATGAGAAACAGGTGATTCACTTATCACATCAAAATCATTACTTTGATTTGAACTTTCATTTTTCAATGAGCAAGGTCGTTTCCTGGAAAAGAGAAAATTATATTAAATAATACAAAAAGCGACTGCTAAAAAGTAAGGTAACTAAACGAGGTAAAGAAATCAATCATTAGCATGCCAAAAACTCACACACCATATGTTACTATTTATCTCACACTGCACACTTCAATTTTGAAATACTTCCCATCCAAGTAATGTATTGTCCCAGAAGGTCGAGATTTATTCATCTTGATGTGCTGGCCCCAGCTGCAGCATCAATAACTTTGAATTGCAGTATCAATGACAACAAGGACCCGCATATCTTAATGGATAATGCATTCACGTATTCTTGATTTAACAAACAAGATTATTGCATTATATGAGACTACCCATTTCCTTCAAAAGAACAAAATTTAGAGACTGGCAAGGCAGTGTTGCCTTCTGTAATTCTGCAATTCTTTTTCCAAAATGTTGGCATCACTTTCTTTGTCTTATACGTTAAACCATTGAACAGAGGTCAGATGAGAAAGTGACTAATTTCAGAAAGGTGGGGAATAAACTGTCACTTTCAAGGACAGAGAAAGTACAGAGAGTATTATTGTTATGCAATGTGATACTTATATGAAGTAATTTCAAATAACTGTCACTTTCTCAAATAAGGAATCAAATAAAATGCAAAATGTACCCTTCTTATCTGTGGTTTAACAGGAAAAGATGGACAGCAGAAATTCCAACAGAAAACCATATTTTTACAGTTAATGACAATATTAACCTCATATAAAGTCCATATATAATTGCCCAAGGCCCCGTATTAATCTCTAAACAAACCTACCCTAAAATCGTCCAGAGCTGTCATTAATGATGTGAAAAGAACCAATCTTGTGAAACTCATGATTTTAGTTTCTACAGATAGAATCATTAAAGCCAAAATGACTTCCTGAGGATTATTTTCCAAGACTTGGAAATGCCTGCATGACGAATATTTACAGAACTAAAACTAAAATGACTCACCTTGTATACACGAGGTTACTTCTGTCAGTAGTGTAAACATACTTTTGCAGAATTTGGGGGTGGTATTCTAAAACCTGTTAAGGAATACTGCTATGAGAAGAATACACAACTAATGCTTGTTATATATGAGAAAAATGTCATCATATGCGTTCTACCTCTCGATAGATCAGTTCTCGTACATCCTCTTTCGTTAATTTCCTCTTTTCAAACTCAAAGTGCACTTTGGAAATGGGTTGCGCAGTTGGTTCATGATCAACATTTGCCAGACCATGAAAGTAAGGATCAGCTAAGGCCTGAAACCAACAGCAGAATAAACAGTAGTTAAAAAATCTTACAGCAGTCATTTGCTGAGAAAGGGAACTCAAACGGTAGGAACATATATCATTCTGTAACTATACTTCGTTCTCAACTCTTATTCATATAGTGGTGTCAACAAAAATACACTTTAAATTAAAATAGCAGATCAAAATAATGAAAATATTATTTTAAATCAATTACTATTTTGGTTCCTATTTTTCTGGTACTGATAACTCACAAATGAGTATGGAAAGAAACATGCAATAATCTTCGACAGATCTGTATTCTATAGAAAATGAACTTTTGTAGGATCAGATACATCTAAATCTATATCATTTAGCAAGTTCTCCAAAAAGAATAATGATTAAAATAACTTGGAACAATCAAAAGCTTTGAATAATACTGAAGTGAAACCGATGGTCCTCGAAAGATTCTTTGCATATGGAAAACTTGATCACAGACAGATTGAAGCTCATACCTCTTTGGCAGATGGTCGACAATTAGGATCAAATGCGAGCAGTCTCTCAAGCAAACTGACCCCCAAAGGATCTAAACCGGGGAACTTTTGTGAGAAAGGAACAGGTTTCTTTTTCTGCATGCCGCTTAAATACTTTCTAGCATTTGCATTCCGGACCTGTGGAAGTTAAGATGGATTAACATCAAATCCAGCATTTGTATTTGATGATGGCATAGCAAGGAGCACCCCGAGCTCCACAGACAAAAGGAAAGAGAAACTTAGAAGTGTGTAGAAAAAAAAAAAGAAGCAGCCAACCCCTGCGATGGATTCAGCTGAAGGAGTGCCGAGCAGATTTGTTATGAGATCCATATGATGAAGCATATTTTTTCCGGGAAACAGCGGTTTTCTTGTCAGCATTTCTGCAAATACGCATCCTATGCTCCATATATCAATTTCAGGGGTGTACTAATAAGACAAATGTATCTGACAGTTGGTTAGTTTCGCACATAAATGATCATCCAAAACAAAGTTGTAAATAATGGGTCACACTGAAGAGACAAGACAGAGGCATCTAAATGTTTTCATCTCTCAAAATAGTGATGGCTAACTGCATAACCAATTAGATGATAGGATCCTAAACCTGGATGGATTATCTACTACATAAGTAACAGAGGCCCATACCTCCACTATGAAAGAAAGATGACCTTGCATCGAACAAAGTTACTATAAACCATGACAACGAGAATAACAGTGTATGCTACTAGACATTACTCTAAATTTTGTATGAAATTGAAAAAAAAATCAGCAGCAGAAGTCCAGGATCCCCTGATCGAAGTGAATCTTGGGACGCCAGAAGACCCACGGCCAACATACATCAGTGATTCGAGCCATATGAAGGCTACTACATTATATGTCAAAGAGAAAGGTACTCAATTTTTTTCAATTTCAGACTCCATACATGAATATATCTTTAAATCTCATCACAAATTCACAGGAGTCCATGTAAAACTAAATGGGAATTTCTTTGTGAAGTTAATCACGTATGTTTGGATCCCAGACAATAAATTTTAACAGATCAGTGGGATCAAACGCAATCATTATTTAAAGAGGATTAACCAAAAATGCTAAACAAAGTTGATATAGAAGTTACAATGGTTTTTCATGCAAAAAAAATGAGATCTGGAAGCAAACCACTAATCACTTTTCTTGGTTATTTTATTGTCTTCACAAAAAAAAGATAGACTTGAGATTATCCCTGAGTTTTGGAGGCCATAATGAACTATTGAGATATCCACATATACAATCAAAAAACATATGAATGAAAGAAGTCAATTTCCACACGTCTATTGTCCTTATTAGTGAAACTGATGCTACACAATTTGTGTATTCTATTCATCCTCGTCACTGAAACTGCATCATCCAGCTAGAGTTTGCAATGGCACTCTAGGCAGTTGAATGAGAACACTGTATCAAATCATCGCTCGATTTTATCAGTCTCAGGTGTGCATATTATAGGAAAACACTGATTTAAGAAAAAAATTCTTTGATAATACAATATCACAGAAAAATAAAAATGAATAGGCACAAACTTCAGATGCCTACATGAGCCAGACTATTCTAGAAAAAAATGTGCCTTAGAAAACGAAATTTTCGGTCATAGCCGCATGGGGAAATGAAATAAACGTCTTCTTAATCATAGAGAGATTCGTGATGTCTGATCTATTTTCTTGACACCAAAACTGAGTCAATAACGGCAGGGGCAGATGCGTGTCAAAAATAACAGGTGACAGGGATAAAAGCCAACATGTAAGTTCCGAACAGAGGTAGATAGAAAGCATATAGTGGTGTGTTGAGAGTGTGTATTTTATGAATGAAAGGTTTAAACGCTCCCAAAGAACTATTCTGCCCATCTTTGCACAAATAGTCAACAGCTTACTTTGGAGAAAAAAGAGCCACACAATTCAGGAGCACGATACGACCTTGTTGACGCATAATCCTTCAAGGAAAGAGAATATTATATTCAACATCAGCTAAGCATAAGATCGAAGTGGTCTCTCTGGAAGAAAATCATACATGCCATTAAATAACCACGGAAAGTTTGATAAAAGGGTATGAAAAGGAACACAACATCATTAGGACGTCACATACATTCCAGAAAATAGATGACGATGCATCACTGAATGATGCACGGGAAAGATTGAAATTGTCGATCTTTAATTTGCAATCCGCGTTAGCCAGGATATTTTTTGGTTTCAAATCTCGATGAATCACGTTTGCTAAAAGGAAAAACAAAACCATCAATGTTAGTTTCGATATGAAATTAACACCCCAGTCGAAGATGAAAGACAGGTAAACAACGGAAAGGAAAGGACCCGTATGGAGATATTTCAAGGCTCTCAGGAGCTGATACAGGAAAAAACGATGATGTTCTTGGGTAAGATCTTCATTATCCATGATAACTTGATGAAGATCAGATTCCATCAGCTCAAAAACAATAAAAATATCCTTGAAGTCCGTCGGCGATGAAGGAAGGATGATGTGCTTTATCTCCACAATATCAGGATGGCGAAGCAGGCGTAGCAATTTGATCTCTCTCAGAATGCGTATGGCATCGGAAACGTGCTCGAAGATATCACTGATCTTCTTGATCGCTACCCTCTCGCCAGTGTGAGTGTCTACAGCTGCCCGAACCAACCCCCGCCTACCTCGGCCAATAACCTCCGCGATTTGGAATCTGGCACCTTTACCACACTCGTATAACAAATCCATGTCAATTTTTTTCCGAGAAACTTCAATTGTCCTGCAGGTACCTGTCGCCGCTGTCGACGATGATGCTTTATGCCTCTCTACGGCCCTCATCGACGCTGCGGTTGATCCTGCTTTCCTCTAGTGGCACCCTCATAACAAGCGACATCTTTCGTCCTCAAAACGTCCTCCTCCATATGAGCAACCAGGCGGCGGCGGGGGATCTACCGCCAGCAGAGTCCGGGAGTGGTGGTGGCAATGGCCCTTCGAACCCCGTTACCGTTGGGGAGAAGAAGCTTTGAAGTTAATATCGTGAATACATTTATCAAAAAAACCCATTTATTTTTTTATTGTTACAAATAATCCCATTATTCTTAACAATAGTTAAATCCCAACATGGGTGTTAACGCTCCGAGCCAGACTCGAGCCTTGCGAGGTCCGACTCGAGCCATGGTAGCTGGGCTCCGACGAAGCTCAGAACATGAGGTTTGGGCTGGACCCATATAAAATCCAGACCCATGTCACCTGACCCAGATGCACCTATAAACGTTACTTCATGGAAATTCAATTTATTTTTTTCGTATATTTATAAATGCAGAATCATATACAATTATGTTGAGTGTATCATGACATTCAAAAATTAAAATAATTATAATTTATTATAACCTTTTTAAGTTATTAGGTGAGGGGATAATATAATAATCTCTTTTTTCGCGTCTATCTTAAATATATATAAATGAAATTTAATATATGTCCCGTTCATACTAATGCCTGTACAGGGAGAACAATATATGAATCAAATTTCACGACTTTCACACTTAAATTTGCCGTAGATCACATGATTCATGTCTAAAAGTAGCAAGATATTATTCAAAAAACACAAGAATTTGCAATCCCAGGTTAGAACATCAAAATCTAACAAAAAAACGTCCTTTGATGATTTTTCATAAATCTAATTATCCCATAAACAAGATTTTAAGATGAAAAAAAAATAAGGATGGATTCATGGGGAAGTCCACTGAAATATTAAGCAGTTTATAAGACTAAATCGGTTCTGATGGAATCTGATCTTCATCAAGATCATGAATCAGATATTAAAAAAAAAAAACTCAATATGAGCAAAAAGAAAAGGCCATCTTCGTTCAGATTGCGCTCAAGATCATCTTTACAATGTGGAACTAGTCACAGAAATATTCTCCAGCCGAGGGGGATTTGGGTGCCAAAAACTCTCTCAAAACCCTGCATCTCAACTTCTTCCTACAGATAGTTGCAGGATGAACAAAAAATATTACAAAAATGAGATGCAAGTTGGCATGGAAGCTCGATCAATGGCGGTTCATGAGCGACTGTACACATCTTCTGAAGGCCAGTCAACTCCAGCTGCTTCAAAAAAGGAAGCTTTTTGCTCCTCCAGAGGATTTTACTTGGATGTCAAGCTTCTATCGAAAATGGGATTCTCTCTGACTTCCCTCGCTGAGGGCCTTCTGACTGGATCTGGGTCCATCATTGACTGAAGAAGAACTGAAATGGTTAGAAATAGAAATAATTTCCACCATTGAATCATATTTTTCCTCCTTTTTAGGAAACAGTCAACTCTTCTAGGCAGCAAGATGTGAGAGAATTTTCTTACTACCTTTATAAGGTTCTGAAACTCCATGGAAATCCCAGGTAGCAACGGGATCTTCCCCTCCCTGAGGTTGGAGAACTGGGGACCTGATTCGGGTAATGGCAGGCCTCTCACAAGCTCGTAGGTGGCAATGCCCAGGGAGAACACGTCGACCTTGTCAAGATACTCATACTGGTCGTTGATGATCTCCTGAGGCATGTACCTTGAATCACCTTCTTCGATTGGCAAGCTTCGATCAATCAGGGTTGCACAGCCGAAGTCTCCAAGCTTATATACACCATTTTTAACATATATGTTGTCGGGCTTTACATCCAGGTGAGCTATCCCACGTTCATGCATAAACTGTAATGCTTTAGCTACCTATGAAGATCTTTGTTGCGATATATCAGAATATAATTTAGTAAAGCATGTGCACATAACATGGATAGTGCTTGGTAGTTATTGAATTTGCTTGGATTATAATTTCATAAACTTAGCAAATATGAAATTACTTGATAAGAATAAGCATTGAACAGTTGAATATTCTGTCAGAAAATAGAGCTAACAAGAACGAGTTTTTTTTTATAAAAAATATTAATAATAATAATTTTTGGCGTCTTCTTAAATATGATTAAGTGAAGAAAAAACAGACGGATTCCTACCAAATATTATTCAACCAGAGCATAGATAATGCAAGATAGTAGAACAACCTCCTACACAAAAAATCACCACCCGCTCATTTAACAAGTCAGAGGTCCCCAAGAAGAAATAGAAAAATATTCATTTGATGAACACTGGGATTACACCATCTTATATATATAAAAAAAATGATTCAATCTTTACCATGGAAATGAATCATTTTGTTTATAATGTTTGTGACCCCTGGGTATGTATATAAAACCACTAAACTTTGTCAAAAATATCTGCAGATTAAAGGAAATCACTAAATATAAGAACGTTTCAAAGTTAGCGAAATCAATAACTCATTTGATGGAGACGTAATCAAGATAGTAGCATCAGCCCCGAATTAATATACACATTTTACAAGATCCTGATGCCAGAATAGAGAGCAATTTCACAAGGTGATAGTACAGTAACCTGATATAGGGCCTCTAGGACTTCCCCTACGGTGGGTACAAGCGATCTGTTGATGCACAGGCAGCGATCACAAAGCTCCATCTGAATATAGAGCTGCTCATTTTCAAACCATGAAGAATAGTACCCGACAATGTTTTCGTGAGGTCCTGAATGCGATGTGCTTCTGGCATTAGTCAACGCCCATAAGATAGAACAAAAGGTCAGCAAGCAAAGTCCTCATTACTAAACATACCCAGCGCAGCTAGTGCTTGAACTTCCATTAAAGCTTGTCTCCTGCAAGTAAAACGGAGCAATGATAACTATTAATAGTGACGTGAATACAAATAACTGAGATATATTATACCAACAACCTATTAGTATCTTGCCGCAGCTGCCTGATACTCTGCTTCACTGCATACATGCACCCATCAATTCTTTTAACAACTTTGAATACACGGCTGAAGTTACCGCAGCCAATTTGCTGAAAGAAGAGCAGGTCTAAAGTTAAGCATTATTGCAGACCGCGAGAAATCAGCCATAGTTGAAGAGAGAGAAGAACCTCAATCTCATGGAAATCAGCACGGTAGCGTGAGGTGCTATGTCCTAAAGTTAACTGGGAGCAATGCCCTGCAGATTGTCCAAATATTATTCAGTTTCCAGATGGTACATGATATAAAAAATGGTATCAAAGTACATCAAAGTGCAACAGTCTGATCTGCATTTTCTTCAGAAATCAGGATTTATAGACCCTAATATTCGAATTAAAATAAATGGCATATATCATAGGAAGAGGAAGGGCAATTGACTGAAAAAACTTGACAGTGTTCATACCAGAATTCTTTGATCTTTTATCTCCAAAAATATCCATATCCATTACTGCAGTGTCTTTCGAGTATGGGTTCTTGATGCATGGGGGAGGCATGACTCTACATCGCAGAGCAACAGCACTCTGTGGGACATAATTGCGTTTCTTACGTGAACTACCCGCTGGATTGCTCTCATTCCGTTGGTCTTCCGAAATACATTGATGATCGGACAGGCTAACGCAAGGGGTGCTAGCCACAGAAACATCTGTAGAACAAGGATTTGAGGTTACACAGGATTAGAAACGTTATAGCAAACAGGACAAGAAAGGAAGAAAATGGAGAAGGAAAAAACGAAAAACGAACAGGAAGACGAAACGATACGGAGGCAAGATACACCAAGATGAATGCTTTCCTCCATTCTAGGGACGTGACCCAGTTCAAAGAACAGTACGGAAATGACATCCACGCAATGGATCTGTAGCTTTACTGGTACCTTGTTTATGCCTTCTGTTCCTCGAATTAGTGGACTTCTCCGGGGACTTTGGGCAGGTCATGTTTTCCTGCTAGCAAAAAGAAACACAGCTAAGCTGAACCTTGCCCAAAGCGAGGTAGTCGAGACGAAGGATGAAAACAAGTTTCATTCGCGAACTGATGAACCTTGTTCATTTCGAAGTTGTTGGGGATCTGCGGTCCTTCTGGAGTAATGTAATCGGGAGTACTACAGCAAGAAGACAAATCAAGCATTAGATATCAAATAGGAAGGACACAAAGGTGACCGAGCACCAAAGAGGAGGCACGCAGTGGAACAGTACCAGAAGAAATCCTGGCTAAGTATGCAATCCATCTCATCTCCTTCACTCTCATCGGGATCATCCAGCTCCTCCTCGCCCTCTAGACGCCTCTGAAACCAGGACGGGGTAGAAGCGAAGGCAACAGAGTTTTGCCGCAGCGTGAGCAACGAGACCTGCTTGAGCTGGGAACGGCCAGCCGCCACCCCCGTCCTCTCCGACCCCCTTCGCATCCCCTTCCCCACCATCCTCCCCCTCGCGGTCTTCCTCTTCGTCATGGGGTGTGGATTTCGAATCGTTCTGATCGCGACCCTGCCATTAATGGCGAGAGTTCAAATATAGCACACTGACCAGAGTCTTGGCGGGAGAAATTAGGGCTCCTAGTCTTGTTCCCGCTTTGGTCGACAGGAAACTAGATTAAAAGAATAACCTGGTATTACGAAAAATACAGTATTTTCATGAGGACTGATGCAGAAAATATCTCGAGAGACTGAAATACCCCCTCCGCCACCGATTCGCCGCCGCCGAGGTCACGTCGGAAGAGGAAGAGGTCTCCGTGCTGCCACTCGTTCGCCGCCGCTGGCTCTCCCGAGGAAGCCATTGTTTCCCTCCTACCTCAACAGCCCCGGCGATCTTCCTGCGAATGCCAAGATCCTCAGGACATTCGAGAATGAAGGTCCTGTATGGCGTCCCAGATTCCGGCAGCCATGGTATCCTTCTTGTAGGGTCCGAGAATGAAGGTGATGTTAGAAGCGGCAGGGAGGTCTTCGACGAGATGATGGTTCGCGCCGCCATTTTGGCTGCAGGCTGGTGAAGTCAGGTGGCTCTGGTCGGATCGACGAGATGATCCGGCAGATGAAGAAGATGAAGGGCCTCTGCTACTCTGGTGTGAAATTCCTCACGAATGCTCTCGAAGAGTTGCTCAAGGTCAGTGATTATCGAGCCTCCTCAGCCATCTGGGTGATGTTGGCCTGAATGCTGTACCCAGGCGCTGCCATAACACCATTATTCCCTCCTCTGCTGAGTCAACCAGATTGACGAAGCTTGCGGGCAGATGGACGAGATGGTGAGCTATGTAGTACTCCCAGTTGCAAAAATGTACGGCACTTTCTTGCAGTTCTTGCACAGAACTAGGAAGCTGAAGGATGCGGCTACCATATTCATGGAGATGGTGAAGAATGAGTTCTGACCCACTTCAGCAACTGTGCATAGGCTCTAGGAATCTTTCGGATGTAGGGGGGGACATAGAAACGGCAATTAGAATCTGGAAGCCTTGAAATTTTTATGAATTGATTCCTAGTTTTTATAAGAGTCTTATAATAAATTTAATTCTTATTTTATACTTTCTTATTGCTCCCTTGGATTGATTTAATTAAGATATTAAGGGAGAAAATAAGATATTGATTGATTTAATTAAGAAAAGATTTTTATAGTGGTTCGGCTAAATTTATTTTTACAAAAGTCAACTTCTAAGGTTGCAACCTCGGTTCCACTATTCTAATCCTTGTAATAAATTTAATTTTCTTAGGATCAAGAACTCCTCATACAACCTAAGTTATTTGAGTTTATATTGACAAACTAGAACCTTATATTCTAATTGTCCAAAGTAAATCTTGTTACAAACACACCACATGTGACTTAACATTCAATCACCTTTAACCCATTAGTAATAATAGATAAGAACAACTCAAATAGCTTTTACTAGCACTTTCAATAAAAGATGGAGACATTATGATTTATCAAAATATTGAGTTGAATATGATGATGGAAGGAAGAGCCAGTTGAAATCTTTCTTTAAATGAGTTGATTTCAACCTTGGATCCCTTGGGGTGTTTCAAGGAGGCAAAGGAGAAAGGTCAAAATGTAGTCATCCTTCTCTAATTTCTGTTTTGATTCTGGATTCCCTAATTAGGACGAAATGTACCGTTTTATTTTCTCCCCAAATGGGTCAAATTGTCCCCTACAATGGCTACTTTTGACATGAGCTGCTTTTCCTTTAACCTTTAACAAGCCATGCTTGTAACCAATATATCAAAAAGATTTTTCAAAGATCTTGTAGAAATCATATAAAATCAAAAGTTTAGCATATTTATAATCTTTTTGATCTACTGATTTTCTTCGCATTTCAGCTTCCAATGAGTACTTGTAATCTTACCACAAAGAGGATGATATTATTTTATAAAATTACGACAAGATAAATATTTTTTTTGCTAATTCATAAAAAATTAGAACTCAATAACAAGTTTAATGGAAATGGTGTAAGTATATCTTCGATATGTCAATTTTTCTTTAAGTTCTTGCTTTAAATTTCATTATTTTTTATTAAGATGATTTTACCTAGATAACCTTTCATATTATCAAAATATTTTTGAGTTCTTAAAATTTAATGGAAACAAGTTCTAGTGTGACTATTCCTAGGCTCATAAGCAACCTCTCAAAATTGGGAGATTTTTGTGATTAGATTATTATAAAGTGGAAGTTCTCCTAGAGAAATACTAAGTGATGAGTAATATTTTAAATGTTGTACCGTTGCTTAGGTGGTTTCTCATCCTCTGAAATGCATTGGAAAGTAGATACAATCAATGCAAAGTTTTTCATAATAATTTTTGAATGATAAGATTCCAAATTGGTGATTGATCTTAAAAGAAAATTAATTTAAATTTAATCATCCTTTTGAAAATTTTCTATGCTCTATTGTTGATTGAATGTAGTTTTCCTGAGCCAAATGTTTTTGAAGATTTGGAGGCTTTGAAGGCTCGGAGAAGTTATTTCCCGCCATTGTAGAAACACCTTCAAGCTTTAAAAAAAATCATGGTAAAGGAGATCCCCTTATATTTAGTTGGATATCAACAATCATATATCTAGATGGTTGTTACTAATTACACTCAGAGTACTTGAATGGTTGGCTAATAATTAACGTATATTTATGTTATAAAGTATTGTTTGCCACATTGATTGTTGATTTCATAATTATTTTTAGTTTTTTAAGGTAGTCTTGAATGAAATATTAGTTTGCTCCATTAGATACAACTAGTGGACCTATTGGAATAAAGCTTGATATCTATAGAGACCCATGGCTAGACGAGCCATCCCTCATCTATTCTCCATCCCTAAAAAATCTTCTTAAAAAACCAGGTGGATTCAAAGATCAATTGATGTACCTTCCTTTTAAAAATAGATAATCTTAGAAAGCTCACTATAAATTGTCACTTTCTAAGATCACCTACCATCGAAACTCTTACTAATGATGTAAACACCAAGCTCTATTGAATCAAGGATGCTTACTCCAACTAGGTTAACCAACTATTTGAGACATTAGAAAGTAGGGAAGTAGATTGTCTACCTTAAATTATGAGAATTAATATTTTCCCTTGTTTATGGAGTCATTCTTAGTTTATGGATTATTTTCTTGACTAGAGGATTTTTATTGAAACACAAAAAGAGAATACTCCCTTCGATGTCCAAACACTCCATTTACCTTTATAATTATTTATAAAAATGTGTGAAATATTCTAATATGATAAATTTTTGCATATTTATTCTATTTTTCTAATAAATAACATCATGATGAACTACTTCGAGATTGACCCTAATTTTTATTTGCTCTTTTCTAACTAAAGAACATTGACAAACTTGAATTGGTTTTTCCTTTCAAGGGTTTGATGAAATAGAGCCTCTAGTCTAGATAAAAACTCTAGCTTATAACTCATCTTCATAATTTATTTAAGTTATGTTGTATTCACAAGATGCTTTTGAGGATGAAGGAATTAATGTGAAGAATTAAGTTTTCTTAGATAGATGTAGATATGGAGGATTGAAAAAGTTATGTTCTTGATTGGTGATATATATTGATTCATCCTTTGTTAAGTTCTATTTTGTTTGCTTAATTATTGTGATAAGTCTTCATTATTATGAGTTAATAATTAATTAATAATATAATGTTAGTCTTAACTTATGATAAATATACTTATATTTATATTAAAATATAAAAAATACTTTTTAATTAGTTAATATATATTTTGATAAATTATATAAATTTATATAATTTTTATAATTGTATTTTTGAGATAAATAAATAAATAAAATAAAAAAGGAGAAAACTCACTATCTAATTGGGCACGCAAGTAAGTCGAAAGCACAATCAAATAGAGTCACAAGTAAGGGCTCGAGCGATTTAAGATAGACCAATATAAGACATCAGTAATCAACTAGACATGCGATAAGGAGTGGTCATACACACATGAGAAGGAGACATATTGATTACTAAATCTCGTATTATTATATATCTATCTCAAAACTTGGCATATAATTGATGTGAGACTAAATGGTAGTCACAACCTCCCTAGAAGATTTTATAATTTTAGTACTTAAAATACTCATTATTTATTAAAAAAAGATATTATTATGACATCATTTTATAAAAGTATTTGTGTACTTATTTTACTATCTCTTATGTATACGGGTGACCAACAAGGGTTTAAATCTTATCAAAGCTAAAACTTATATTTTTATTTGATTAAATTAATAATTTTCTTGTAGATTTCTAGTGAATGATTAAGTTGTCATAATTACTTCATTATTGACTAAAATCTCATCAACATGATTCATAAAGTCTGTTACTAAATTTGTTAAATAATTTTAGATAAAAAGATCGTGAATCTATTGAATAAATTATCTTCAATTGATTGTTGAATAAGTAATCGTCAGAAAGAAGATGATATGTCTAAAGACGAGTCACCACCTCTTAATAACATATCAAAATCAATGAAGTTCTCTAAGACATACCCCACTTTAATTCTGCTCATTTCTATTGAGTGACAATCATTGAAGAGTTATAACGTCATTATTTTTCTGTTCTATCAAGTGACAGATACTAGAGATGACTTAACAACTTATTTTATTGATTTTTAGATTTCACATGAAGATCTAAAGATTGTCTATGTCATTTTTTTCCAATAAACATATTTGAGATTGTAGACATTACATAGTAATCTTCTTGAATACTCAAGATTTTGATGTATTATTAATACATCACCACGGCGATGTTGAAACTTTGTTTTCTTATTTTTAACTAATTTAACTTTCACTATCATTTTTTTAACTTTAAAAGGAGATTCAACAAATTCTTAGATTGTCTATGTCTAAAGAGAGCCTTTGAGGTTATGAACATCACACAATAATCATCTCAAATATACAAAATTCTAACAATCACTATCACAAGGCCGAAATACTGACTTTTTTGTTTTCAACTTAAATTTTATTTTATTTAATAATACTTTATGTGATTTCAAGTTTTTCAATTATTCTTAGTCTAAAATTCATAAAAAAATAATATTCTTTGTGAAAAATTCTAAAACATTACTCGATAGTATTTACATCCTTATGATCGACCTAAAAAATTGTCATTATTTTTAGAAATTTTATTGAATTATAATTAATATATTTATTTAAAAATACTTCTAAATATCTAAAAATTAGTATTTTATAGTTTTATAAATTTTAAATTTACGTGATTTATTATAGAATGAATAAGTCATATCACTTTGCTTAATGTATTTAAGTAGGGTATAATTTAGGTCAACCACTTATTCTTTGATTTGACTTGACTAATATTTCTTTGATTTGATTGAGAACTTTTAGAATTCCAACATGTCCTCCTTTGCCTTACCCTTATTTGTCAATCGTGTTGGCCTTGAGTCATAGATATAAATATATAAACATATATTTAACTAGAGAAAAACTAAGAGAGAGAGAGAGAGAGAGAGAGAGAGAGAGAACCTTGTCATTCATAGGGGGAAAAACATAATATGATTTAATTTACATTAGATAATTATTTTATTAAATAGTAAATTAAGAAAATTTTATCAAAAGCGATAAGGTAATTTTTTCAAGCATTTTAAATGATATAAGATGCATAAGCAAAATTGTTGAAAAAGAACATTATTACTATGATGTTTTAGATAAATTCAAATATCTATTTTATAATTATTATTTTATAGGCATATTTATAATAATTATTCAAAGGTCACCTAATTTTTTATTTACCAAACATAGACAACCATGTTTCATGATTTCCAAATGTTGCTTTTATTCCCACCTACTTTATATGCAATATTTCCTTGTGCATTTCAAAGCTCTATATACATATGCACAAACACATACGTTTACATTCATACTTGTCATGTGCGATATTTTTCTTAGTCACTCATAAGTAATCTCTCTCCTTAGTGTCACTCTTATCTTGATTAGTACCAAGATGTTGGTCAAGATACTCAAAGGTTTCTAACTTTGGTTATTTCTGTATTTATCCATGAAAATATGTTTAGTACTAGGAGTTCACTTGTAAAATTATACATGATTATTCTCATATTGTTCATGATCATGCAAACATTCCACCTTACAACTTTCAATTGAAAATTTTGCCTTAATTAAATATTGACAAAAATATTGAATATATTGGTCAAAGAAAATCTTAAACCCCACAAATCATTTAAACTTAGATGTCAAGACTGATGGTAGCTATGTCATTAAGGTAGGATATTTTTTAGAGGATTTTTCCCAACATCGAAGGATGTAAGACAATCATTCATTACTTGGAATGCTTCAAATTTTCTACTTTCCAAATCAATCTTGAGAAATGAGCATCATATGAAGAATATTCAAAAGAAGCTATGGAAGATTATCTTCACAATTTTCATGATCATGCAAACATTACGAGGGTATGAAGGAGTTGTCTACAACACTAAACAATAAGAATAACTATCAATATATAAAATATTAAACTATTTATGAGTAATGAAAATTCAAATCAAGCTCAATCAGGCAAGTAGGACAACTTTAGCATCTGAGAAACACGTGAACCCTAATTTTGGTTGTATATCAACTGATTTGAGATTCACAACTTTCTCGGGGATATCGCTCTTTAAGTTGCATCCTCGAGTGAATCATGGATCAAATTTATTGAAAGATGTAACCGTTACGGATATTCTTTTTCTAGACAATATGTTAAAACATTTTTTTTTACTTTCACCTCTTGTGCCTCTCATGTACTTTTAGTACCTTCAAAATAATAATAAATATAAATTAATTAATTAAAAAAAATCCCCTATTTAAAAGCTTGAATGGACTATTCCAAGTGCTTAAACCTTATTTATAAAGTTTCTTGACGGGGAGGAAGAAATGACCCTTCTCTCTCTCCCTCTCTCTCCACGGCGACCTGAATTATCCCCTCTGCACGCAGTGAAAAACGATTTGTTCAGGGGCCAGCCTCGTTTTCACCTTTCACCACAACCAAACAAGGCCCCCCAACGTACGCGTGGTAGAGTCCAGCTGGTAAAGTGTCTGTGCTCCCCCTCCTCCTTACACGTGTAGGTTGCACCTGGTGGCATGGTTCCCGCATGTTACCCCCCCGGCCCCCCGGGCTTCTCTAAAAAAACCCCTCCCCTCTCCTCCGACTGTAAACCCTAGAGATTCCCTCCTCTCTCTCTCTCTTTCTCTCTCTCTCCGGGCTTCTCCCGCAAGAGGTCATGTCGACCTTCGTAGACCCGTTGGTAGTGGGGAGGGTGATCGGAGAAGTGGTGGACATGTTCGTGCCGTCCGTCAGCGTCTCCGTCCGCTACGGGGCCAAGCATGTGAACAACGGCTGCGATGTGAAGCCTTCCATGGCCGTCGATCCCCCCACGATTGCCATCTCCGGAAACCATAATCAGCTGTTCACTCTGGTGAGCTCCTCCCCCTCCCCCTTACTTTCGCTGTCTGAGTAACCGCTGGGGCTTGATCTGGTTCCTGGTTTTCTGGTGGGCACAGGTGATGACCGACCCGGATGCTCCAAGCCCAAGTGACCCTACCATGAGAGAGTGGATTCACTGGTAGGAGATACTCAAACAATTGTAGTCCTCTCGATTCCGATTCCATTGTGATTCCATTGACTGGGTTCTCTTCTCTGGTTTCCATTGATCTAATAGGATCGTGGTGGACATCCCCGGTGGAACAGACCCCTCTCGTGGTGAGAAACCCCCTTCTTCTCTCTCCTGTTCTTTCTCAACGATGATGCCTAGAAAGCTTTCTCTCGTCTTCCGAAGAAGATCTGATCCATTCGCCCAGAACAAGATCCATTATTTCCTACTTCCTCACTCCTTGGGACGAGATCCCATGGCAGTCGTCGTCGTCGTCATCATCATTGTCTTCTCCTTCTCCCTTCTCTTCCTCTGTCTGGAGGAGATGATGATTTGGAGCTGTAGGAAACTATGCATGGCCCTTGCATGCACTGGCGCAGTGCCTGGCTGGGAGAAAAATGACGGGAATGACCCTCAAGTGTCTTGACAGGCGTTTTCTGTTTTCTCAGGGAGGGAGGTGCTGCCGTATATGGCGCCTCGCCCGCCCGTGGGAATCCACCGCTACGTCTTCGTTCTCTTCAAGCAGATGGGCGTATTTCCGCCGGTGCCGCCGCCGGCGCCGCGCTCCAACTTCAGTACCCGCGGCTTCGCCGCCCAGTTCGCCCTCGGCCTGCCGGTGGCGACTGTGTACTTCAACGCCCAGAAGGAGCCGGCCAGCCGCAAGCGCTGAGCAGAAGCCACCGCCGCCACCACCGTTGCCGCCGGCGTCAGCCCACATGGTTCTACTTGATGGGGGTGTCTTCTGATTGTAGGGTTGAAGCTTCATGGGTGGGTTCTGGTTGGGGGAGGGGGAGGGGGTGGAGAAGGGTAATTTATCAATAAATGGAGATGTGTGTGCCTACACATGTCAACAGATTATCCATGATATCAATAAATTTTCTATCTATGTTGGCTTATTAGAATCATTTTGGCGTGCCAAGCGTTACTCATCCTTCGCATGTCCACAGTCAAGGAATTTCATGGGCCCACTTATCAATGAGTTCAATTATTTGCTAGAATTTTCAATTTATGATTGAAGAAATCAGAAGAATGAGGTACCCATATAAGACATAATTTTCTCTAAAAAGTGTAAAACTTGTCCTAGTAATTTCCTTATTTAAAAAATTGGTCGAGATATAGTAATTTTGATTAGTCTTTACGTACATTATTATAGTATATTGGCCTCTAATCGGAATGGGAGGCCCTTGAGATATAGGGTCAGAGTTTCTTGCTATGTATGCCACATTACTATGGTATGGAAAAGGCCCCTCCGTTTGTTTTAGCTACTTATCCTATGGTCTCCTTGCCAAAACCGGCAACGACAAAGGAACCAACTTGCAATTATGTAATAATTAATGATACATGACACAATTATTTACAAGAAAATTATTTTAGGTAGTTTCATACATAGTTGTTAACATGCATCAACCAAGAATTGTTGATTTTTATGACATTATTGCAAGATAGGGCAAACATCTTTCATCCGATGGTTTCATAAATCATAATTTATAAATTCACTAAATCAACATTACCCTTATCATTTTCTCTCATTGGATTCATGCATTGATAGTTTGATCATGTATTCGCCCTCCTTTTATGCATGGAGAGTCTAACTTGATAGTGATCTTACCAACTACATTTGAGAGATAGGACTCTTAACAATCTAAGAAAAAAGGCTCGCATTTTATGGCTCTTGCAAATTAGTACGAGAATTATGTCTGACATAGCTACCAATCAGTTTCAAATAGTGACAAATATGGATAGTGCGATTTAAATATAATGTTTTAGCACATAATTATGTGTTAATCCCCAAAGTTGGTGACAACTATTGATTTAGGAACCAAATCAAAGAAGAGGGTAGCATTTGAGGGGTTGTGCCATTTACACAATTGAGTGGTGATTAATGAATTGAATATGGGAGATTGTGATATTATTTTCTTTCATCCTTTGACAAACGATGGGCAATAAGGTTTTGATAATAGAAACATCCCAATGAATAAAGTGGAAGAGGTGGGTCTCTTTATTTCTTGTTATCTCCCAACCATTTTCATGAAGCAAAAAATTAGCCCATACCTTGGAAGGTGTCCATAGATTTATTCAGGATTTGAGTAGTTATTCTATAGGTGGACACTCAAAATATCTCTTAGGTGGGGAGAACATCACTCACCATTCAGCCCACTTACGATGGCAGTGATTGCTCTCTATTTATAACTCAAGGTTAGGGCAACCACTTAGGGACAAAAGACATAATTGTCCCCAAGTCCAATTCTACTATAGGGAAGTGCCCCCACTGGACCTAGATCTGCATATCCGCCCTTAATGACCATTATCCACAAATCCCAACAAAATCATGTTTCTACCTCTCGATTTTTGATGTTACCACCCTTTTGTGTATAGAGAGAGAGAGAGAGAGAGAGAGAGAGAGAGAGGGAGGGAGAGGGGGGGAGAGAGAGGGGAAGAGAGAGAGAGAGTATGAGGGAGGGAAGGAGGGAGAGAGAAAGAGAGAGGGGAAGAGAGAGAGAGAGAGAGAGAGAGAGAGAGAGAGAGAGAGAGAGAGAGAGAGGGAGGGAGAGAGGGAAGTGTTATTTTTGGTTGCCCAAAATGACTTGTAATGAGTCAAAGTGCATAAGCCCATATAGTTGGAAAAGGTAAAGTGTATTTTCACACCCTATTTTCAATGGGAGAAATAGCTCCATGAAAGTTGTCAAAGGTAGTTTCAAAAACAAAGGTTTTAGGGATTCTGTGGAGAAGGAAAACGACTATTTCAAGTAGAACTTGAGGGCTTGAAGAGAGAAGGAAGAGTTACAGATGTCTACTTGTCCTCTCTAGTGTTCTATGGGTGAGAAAGAATCTTGTCTACAAACTAGTGGAAGGAGGTTTTCAATAAATAAATAAAATTCAATTGTTTCTAATTTATTTCATGTCTCCACATTTTGTTTGATAGTAGATGCAAGAGTTTTATCTCTGAATGATATAATTATTATCACATATTTATTTGATGTTAATGTTTTGAATCAATCTTTCATCAACATTCTCTTGCAATGTTGAGTGTTTGACTTCTTCAAAGAAATTTATAATTTAAAGAACATAGAAGTCATCAGTCCTCCACTATTATTATATTCAGTATTTTTTTAATTGTGATTTGTTCTTCTGCACATATGCAAGTATACAATTGGCATCCGATATCTGTCTTTTATATCTCTTGGATCTCTTAAACTCTGATATAAATCAAAGTTTTACTTGTTATCACTATAGGGAAGGAGGGAGAGAGGAAGAGAGAAAGAGAGGGAGAGAGAGAGGGAGAGAGAGAGAGAGAGGGAGAGAGAGAGAGAGAGAGAGAGAGAGAGAGAGAGAGAGAGAGAGAGAGAGAGAGAGAGAGAGAGGGAGAGAGAGAGGGAGAGAGGGAGAGAGAGAGGAGAGAGGGAGAGAGAGAGAGAGAGAGAGAGAGAGAGAGAGAGAGAGAGAGAGAGAGAGAGAGAGAGAGAGAGAGAGAGAGAGAGAGAGAGAGAGAGAGAGGAGAGAGAGGAGAGAGAGAGAGAGAGAGAGAGAGAGAGAGAGAGAGAGAGAGAGAGAGAGAGAGAGAGAGAGAGAGAGAGAGAGAGAGAGAGAGAGAGAGAGAGAGAGAGAGAGAGAGAGAGAGTTGTAACAAGATGTGAAGGACATATGTCACGTGATTAATGTAAAATGTGTTCGATAAGTTGGATAAATCGACAGAGAAAATTTCGGTTTTCATGGCCCCTAAACTAATGTGGTAAGTGGCCCGTAGCACGAGGGCTCACAAGCATGTCAGAGAATGGGCCCAAATCACACCTCAACCTAGTGGGCCAGGTATCCAAGGCCCGGTATCCATCTGCGATTGGGGCCAGAGGGCCGAGGCCCATCCAGGCGACCCATAATCTAGTCCACCGGATGATCCGGCTTTCATATGCTGAGAGATACGAAAGGTAAAAACAAAAAGGTCGGAAAATCGACCGTTGAGAGCACATGATTCCCGACCGTTACCCCCCAAATTTCAAACCATATTCCCCCCCTTCAATCTTGCCGTTCCTATTCCCGTCAACGGCTAGGATTACTTGGACTCTGTCCCAGATCTCACCTCCTCCTCCCTCGCTCCACCGGAACTACGCCACCATCTCCCTGCTCCTCCTGCTGCGAAGCTTCCCACCTCCAACTCTGAAACCCTAATCGGAGGCCACCCTGCAAGTTCTTTCCCTCTCTTCCACCTCCGTCTCTCTGGTTCTGGGGGATGCCGGTCACCACCAGGTCGCAGATTTCCGGCGGCGGCCATGAATCCATTCTCCGGCCGCCGCCGGCTCTCCGACGACCCCCCCATCCGCCGGAGCAGGAAGCCGCCGCCGCTGCCGCCGCCGCCGCCGACCCTCCGCCACTGCCGCCGTCTCTGATGCGGAACCCCCACTACGCCCTCAAGGAGAAAATGAAGGCGCTGACTCAGTTCTACGAGCAGCACCAGCACCAGCTCGCCAGCGTGAGGAGCCTCTCTTCCCGGCCGGAGAAGCCCGCCGCCGCCGGCCACCTCATCAGCGAGAAGAAGAGAGGAGGAGAGGGGGAAGATGATGGGGAGGTCAAGAAGGTCGCTGCCGATCTGGTGATGAGAGAGAATCCTCTGAACGTGTTGCCGGCGAGCTCGCCGGCCGCCAGGAAGAAGCCCGCCGCCTTTCACTGCACCGTCGAATCCAAGGAGAACCTGCAAGATCGTCCCACCGCCTTCTCTTGCCCGAAGAAGGAGCCCCCTTCTGCGGCGCGGAAGCTCTCTCTCGGCGGCGGCGCGGCGGCGGCGCAGTCGGAGCCTAGGGTTCTGAGGTCGAGGAGGATCAGCGGAGAACTGGGGACCATCTCCGAGGGCGGCGGCGGCGGCAGCCGGATCATGGTGTACGTGAGGCTGAGGCCGATGGCGAAGAAGGAGAAAGAAGCTGGATCACGGAGCTGCGTGAGGATCGTCAACCGGCGGGAAGTCTACCTGACGGAGTTGACCTCCGACACCGATTATCTCCGGCTGAAGCGCCTCCGCGGCCGCCATTTCAGATTCGACGCCTCCTTCCCCGAGTCAACCAGCCAGCAAGATGTTTACGCCACCACGTAAGCCCGAATTAGGATTCTTCCCCTGGTTCTTGAAACCCTAAATCCCCACCCCGATCGAACCAGTGGAAAATCCTCACCTCCTTCGTGGGATTTGGATTTCCAATGCAGAGCAGCGGATCTGGTGGAGGGCGTTTTGCAAGGGAGGAACGGATCGGTGTTCTGCTACGGCGCCACCGGAGCGGGGAAGACCTACACGATGCTGGGGACGGTGGAGAAACCTGGGGTGATGGTGCTCGCCATTAAAGACCTCTTCTCCAAGATCCGGCAGAGGAGCTACGACGGGAACCATCTCGTCCACCTCTCCTATCTCGAGGTCTACAACGAGACCGTAAGGGATCTCCTCTCCCCTGGAAGGCCCCTCGTTCTCAGAGAAGACAAGCAGGTTCGCCCCCAATCCTCCTCCATCGTCTTCTACCTCGTCTGCCCTAATTGAACTCCTGTTCCTCCTCTTATTCTGTTCGGATTTGCAGGGAATAATGGCGGCAGGTCTCACGCAGTACAGAGCGTACTCCACCGATGAAGTAAGATCTTCCTCCTCCTCCTCCTCCTCCTCCTCCTATCATCGTCGTCGTCGCCATCATCTTCTCCATGGATGGATGGAGTGGCCTGATCTGAACTGGTTTGGTGAAGGTGATGGCGCTGCTGCAGCAAGGGAACCAGAACAGGACGACGGAACCGACGAGGGTGAACGAGACCTCCTCCCGATCGCACGCGATTCTCCAGGTGGTGGCGGAGTACAGAGAGAAGATCGCCGGCGGCGGCGGGATCGCCACCAGGGTGGGGAAGCTCTCGCTGATCGATCTGGCCGGATCTGAGCGGGCGCTGGCGACGGATCAGAGGTCGCAGAGATCTCTCGAAGGAGCCAACATCAACCGCTCCCTCCTTGCTCTGAGCAGCTGCATCAACGCTCTGGTGGAGGGGAAGAAGCACATCCCTTACAGGAACTCCAAGCTCACCCAGCTCCTCAAGGACTCCCTCGGAGGCCCCTGCAACACCGTCATGATCGCCAACATCAGCCCCAGCAACCTCTCCTTCGGGGAGACCCAGAACACCCTCCACTGGGCCGATCGCGCCAAGGAGATCAGAACCAAGGTCCGGAAATTCATCCATGGCCTCCTCTGGTTCTTCTTCTTCTTCTTCTTCTTCTCGAGAACTTCTGTGACTGTCCCTACTGGTTTCCAGGCGTGTGCGGAGAATGGGGAAGAAGCTCTACCGGTGCCGGAGACGGAGACGGACCAGGCGAAGCTGCTGCTGGAGCTGCAGAGGGAGAACAGCGACTTGCGGCAGCAGCTGGCGAGAGAGAAGCAGAAGCTCGTGAATCTGCAAGCTCAGTCCATGGCTGCGTCGGCGGCGCCGCCCTCTCCGGGGGGCTCCTCTCTGCTGTCTCCGCCACCGTCCACCCCGCGGAGACCCAAGCGCTCGCTCCTCTCCGGCACTTGCTTCCGCACACCGGAGTCGAAGAAGAAAAGAGGAGCAGAGGAAGCGGCCGCCATCGCCGTCAAGGAGCTGCAGCAGAGGGTGAAGACCTTGGAAACGGAGCTCGAGAGGATGAAGAAGCAGCACACGCTTCAGATCAAGCAGAAGGACGAGTTCATCCGCGACCTGGTCACCCGCAAGAACATCACCAGGCCACTGGAGATCGGAGAAGGAGGCCGAGAGAGGAGTATCGTCACCAGGGCGAGCTTGCGCAAGGCGGAGAGATCGACGGCGGCGGCGGCGGCGGGGGAACTGAAGAGCCCCAGCCACCGGTTCCTCTCGCCGGCGCCGACGGCCAAGAAGCGCAGCTTCTGGGACATCACAGCCGCCAACAGCCCCTCGGTTCTCTCCATCAACGGCCGGAAATTGAAGAGCTACATCGCCGCCGGCGAGGCGACTCCCCTCGTCGCTGCACCTCCGTCCTTGCTCCTCCAGGTGAGAAATTTCTTCCATGGCTTGCTGCCACAGAGCTCATCATCATCCTGCTACTTTTTTCCTCTTCTGGGTTTCCTTCTGTTCGTGAGTTCTTGCTCCTATAATCACTAATGCAGCTCGCATGTCGCTGTTTCTGGTTTGTGATCATCCTGGGGCCTCATCTTCTCCACCATGGCTGCTCCTCCAGCCCGGCTTCTCTCGTCAAAGGCTCGCCTCTGTAAAGAAATAAAACCGGAAGAACGAGGAACAAGCACAAGCTCTCTCTCTCTCTCACTAACATCCTGTTCCACCATGTAAGTTAACCCAATTTCTGTGTGGTCTTATTTACTTAATCCACTAACACGGAGGAGAAGGATCTGAATTTGGAATCATTCAGTTCAATAAAAAATTCCATTATCGGAAGTAATCGCGGATCTTCGTGATTATTCGCTAAATCTTGTGTGGGCGAATGGGGTTAGAGACCATCTGCAACTCGGATAAGGCGAAGAAGACGACGGACAAGACAAGTAAGTCTCATGTGCGGACATCCCCACCCGTCGGCCGACGTTGTTCTTCCAGCTCCTGGCCCACCGCCGCCGAATGGCTCGACGAAGAAGAGGGATTATGCCCAATCTCTCTCTCTCTCTCTCTCTCTCTCTCTCGGGTTTTAGCCCACCGCCGGCCATCCCCACCCGCCGGCCGACGTCATTCTTCCAGTTCCTGGCCCGCCGCTGCCGAATGGCTCGAAGAAGAAGAAGAAGAAGAAAGATTAAGAGCAATCTCTATCTACCTCTCTCTCTCTCTCAAGAGCAATCTTCGTGTGATCATCAGGTACCCACTCAGATTTTTGGTGAATTAAGCAGTAAAAAATTGACCTTTTGATTTGCCCATCTGGAAGAGTGCCAGAAACCAATCATTCCGATGCACTATATTACCCTTCTCTCTCTCTCTCTCTCTCTCTCTCTCTCTCTCCCTCTCTAGCTAGGCATAAATAAATGTCTCTTTCTTTAAGCTTTGGTTAGGGCATCTCTTTGTCTTCTGGTGTCGGGGGAGGAAAACTGAAGGATGGACAAGTTCTGCAGAGACAGAGGGGCCACGAAGAACGGGGAAATTATTAACCTAGAAAAGCTGTACATTACTACCAGTTAGGGTAAAATCAGACGCAGTTGCAGAGGACGATGATCCACCATCACAAACCAGATTCTTCTCCGAAGATTTGGAGAAGAAGAGATCTCCGCCGCCGGTCAAGCTCTGAGGAGGTAGATGCTGAGCTCGGGGCCGCCGCCAGTGCCGTCGGGGTTCATCATGTAGAAGGCCTCCGAGTCCCTCGACCCCACCACCCTCTCGAACCTCGCCCTCATATACATCACCTCCCCGTCGCCGTCCCTGTCGCCGTCACCGGCGGCGAGAGGGGGGAGTACGCCGGCGCCCATGGAGACGGGCTCCACGGCCCTGAGGACCCGCCACTCTGCGGCGCCGCACTCGCGGCGGACGGCGAAGCCGCACTTCCTGCCGTTGCAGAAGGTCCGCCAGATCGGCTCCTCCAGCAGCCGCCTCGCCGGCGGCGGCTTCTTCCCGGCGGCGAGGGGCGGCGCCGCCGCCGCGGGGGGCTTCTTCTCGCACTCCAGAGCGATGCGAACCAGGCCGGAGGCCATCTCTCTAACGAGGGCGCTGGTGGGTGTGGCCAGCTCGAGGAGAAGGGAAGGGGCCCACCGGGGGTCCCCCTGGAAGGCGAGGAAGACGTGGCCGCGCCGCCGCCCGAAGAGGGTCCCCGTTACGCGAGAGCCTAGCGAGGCGGCAGCGCCGCCCCCCGCTCCGGCCCACCGCCCGGTGATGGCCGCCATGAACGCCGCCCGGAACCTCGAGACGGAGATCGGGGCTACGCCGCCCCCGGGAGCTTTCTTCTTCTTCGGGGTCTCACTTGGATTTTCTCTCTCTACGACGCCGCCACCCATCCGCCGCCAGGAGGAGCCGTCCCCGAGGGTTCTCGCCATGAATTCGAGCTTCCCAAGAAAGGGGATGAAAGAGAGAGAGAGAGAGAGAGAGAGAGAGAGAGAGAGATGGACAAAGGGGAAGCAGTGAAGAGAGAGGGAGGGGGAGGATGAAGACAATGGAGAGATTGTGGGGGGAGAGTGAATGAAAATCAGCGCTCTGGTCCTTTTTCTCGATGCCCTTCTGCTATAACCATCTACTTCGATGGGCACAGAGGGAGAGGGGGAGAGAGAGAGAGAGTGGGTCATTTAATATATCTTCCAGCTCGTGGGGGCAGATGGGTGCCGTGTATCCGTGGCTTTGGGCTTATTACTCGCCACAGTGGGCTGCAGTGATGGAAGAGAGAGAATGAAGAGAGAGAGAGGAAGTGACAAGGGCGAGCTGAGCTGAACCAGGCCGGCCCCATGGGATTCCAGGTGCCAAAGAAGATCGAAGCAAAGCTACCGGCCAGCACAGATGTAGCCACGGGATCCTTTCCGAAGACAAAGAGATAGAGGTAGAGAGAGAGAGAGAGATGCGGGGGAGGGATTTACAGGGTGGCCGGCGAGGGATGAGGCCGCTGGGTTTGGCTCCCTGGGCATGCGTTCATCGTCGTTTCCGAGTGGTGTAGATCCTCCTCCAAGTGGAGTGGATCTTGTGAGCGAGTGTAGAGAGAGGGAGAGAGAGAGGAGTAGGAGGTGATGACGATAATGGCGGGTGGACGTCAGAGACAGCTCTGGGAGCTCGCTTCCCTCTTCCTCACGTCACCGATGAGTCTCGCTTCCCCTACGGAGCGGCCGTCGTTGACATCTCTCTCTCCTCCCCTCGTCCCTTTCAGACAATAACTGCACACTGAAAATCTAGAGGGAGGGAGGTAGGCTCGAGCCTGGAACACGGGTGGGGGAGAAGTAGACCCGTAGCCATGCTTCACAACTGTCTTGTTCAATGGCGTGGGGTTCCTCTCGAGTTAGAATTACAGTAGAGAGAGAAAGTAGAGAGAGAGAGAGACAGTAAATCTGAACATATGAAGATCGCAAGAGCGCGCCTTAAATTAGAGACTTGACAGTAAAAACCAGACATCTGTCAGCTTGATCTACCTCTGATGATGATGATGATGATGGCGGTGCCGGAGCCGGTCTCTCCTCGGTGGCGAGTCCTCGGCGGCGGCGCCGCCGTACCAGCGGTCGGAGTGCGCCGTCCGGCCGTAGATCTCCCCAGAGTAAAGGCTGTGGCCCGAAGAGTACGGAGATCCTTCGTAGGACAGAGGCCCCCTCTCCCTCTCCGACAGAGACCTCGGAGTTCTCGAGAGAGAATGGTGGTCGTAGGAGCTGTACCCCGATGGGGACCGGCGCAACGGCGCGGGGGAGGAGCTTGAAGGTCCGCCGCCGTCTCGGTAGTCCCACGGCCGTCTCTGATCGGAGAACTCCCTCTGCATCTCGGACCGTCGCCCAGATCCGGCCGAGAGACCCCCCGGCACCGCCCAGAGCCGCCGGTCCGCCTTCTCCGGGATCGGCGCGTTGATTCCCGGGAACTCCACCGTCATCTTCTTCTCCGACGGCCCCGGCTCCCCCTTCTCGGGGAGCTCTCCTTCCTCGTACTCCAGTTGACCTTCCTCCTCGGCATAGATGGTGATTCCCGAGGGCGGGTCTTCGTCTTCCTCCTCTTCTGCAACATAAAGTACAGAAGCAGGAATCAATGGCGAATCAAGGGAAGAACATCGATCGAATCTCCTCCGATTCACAAACCTAGATATCCCGGCGGGTACCCCAGTTCACGCATCCGGTGAAGCCATGGAGGTGGATCGAGCTCCTGCATCGAAAACCAAAAAAAAAAAAGATTTTCATCCGGAAAACAAATTAAGCCCATCGCCAGAAAATAATTCTGGCCCACAAAATTCTACCAGAGAAGGAATGGAAGAACACGGATGAATATCACCAAGATGCAATCTTTATCATCAGATTCAGAGAGAGAAGGACGATGAACATGAGGAATCCATTACCCCGATGCCCAGAGATTCTCTCAGCTCGGGCCCAAGAACGCCGGCCCTCAGACCATCGAACTTCCCAGTGGAGATCTGGTAGTACCGGGTCTGGCCGCGTTGACCTGACGCAGAGTTCCTCCTGGAGCTGTGCTGCCTGCGGGCAAGGTTGATGGCGGCGCTGTCGCGGGGCCTCGGGCAATCCTTCAACGAGTGGCTGTAAGACCCGCAATTGAAGCAACGAGATGCTTCGAGTGGTTCCACCCTGGAGACACAAAAAAAAAAGAAAAAAGGCAGAGATTTACTTACGACGAACGTTAACTTCTGCACTGAAAGTCAACTGCGAAGAACGGAGGCTGCTCATTTTCTCAAGATCGCCATGGACTATTTATTTACCTCTCAGGGCGGGCTGAGCCATCGGTTGCAGAGAGACCCAGAGTGAATCCACGATCATAGAGTGGAACCCAGTCGCCGTCAACCGAACCAGATTCATCCGTTCTTGCTCTCTTGTCCACCCGAAATGACTGCATATGGGAGAAATGAATGCACTGGGAGAAAGGAATCCGACCTCCAGATGCTGGTTGAGCGTTTCTTGCAGGAAGAAAATGGAGATCTCACCACCGAAGACGGCTTATCTGGGTCGGCGCGGAGGGCTGGAAAGTACGTCTGCTCCCCATCTTCCATAGCCTCCATTGAAGAAGCCTGCTCCAAGATCACCCACATGAAAATACGCCACAAATCGGTGGATCCAAAAGCTCGTGAGCAGGCAAACATGACGGCCAGTAGCAGAGACGGCATCAGATCAAGTTGACCCAGTGGGCATCAAGAAGGAGAGAGAATTACATCTGATGAGGTTCCACTCCGGCCATGCCATTCGGACCACTCTTGCAGGAGCTCCTCGAGCTTTCTCCTGCTTGCTCTGGGAATAGCAAGAAGAAACACACAGAGAGAACGGCGCCATAAGCGCGCAGCAAAATATCTCAAACGTATGATAATTATTATCTTCTGAACCATAAAATCAAACGAGCGGCTGATTTCTCTCAGATGGATGAAAGTTTTCCGTACTGAGACAAAGACTTGTAAACCACATGCACCGATGGCTGCTCGTCACCTGGCGTTCTGCTTCTTTTCGCCCCTGTGACAGCTGCTGCGCCGAGTTATGGCAATCACAAGATAATGCGATCGAGACCATATATATATCTAATGGAAGATATCATGGATGAAGAAAGAGTGTCCAGTCATATTACGCCACCGGGCAGCAGGATACAGCTTGGTTCTGGTGTATGGTCTCTGGGAGGACTGGTATCGATGGAGCCATTCTCCATGGGTTCAGGCCCAGCTACGGTCAATTCCTCCACCACTGTAACAGTTTCTTCCCAGTCAACACCTTTTTGAAGAACAGATGACTGTTGAATCGAATTATCCTCGATATTCACCACATGAAAGGTCTCCTGGTCAATTTCTCCTTCACAAGCTTCCGCTGTTTCCGTATAGTCAACACTAGGGTCGTCACTGATTTGATGAACTTCAGCGGACTCTGAGGCCTGATCGTCCACCTCGTCGGCATCGTTTCCGGGATCAGAGCCCAGGTCAATGAAATCTTCCGAGGCCATTTTACTGGTTGACTTCGCTGGAAACTCAAACCTGTACAAGGAATCTGAATGAGGTCAACAATTAGATGTCGGATTCATGGAAACTGTTAACGAAACCAAATGAGCTACAATAGCCTGAGCAGGAAGAAAAATCTCCACGCATTACCACAGCACTAAGGATTTTTTGATAAAAAATATTTTTTTTAGGAGGGGAAGAGAGATGGAAAATACCCTCGATACCCAGAGTCGCCAACCACTAAGATCGATAAACCCTACGTACCAATTACTTTCACAGGTTTTGCTAGCAAAGAAATTTGAGCACTGAACAGGTTGCAACTTGGGTCTCGTTCACGATTCATCCAGAGACAAAATCTCTCGCGCAGTAGGAAAAGCCTTGTCAGAGGAGCAGAATCTACAGAATCCCTGCAGAAAATCGTGAAAGACAGGAAAGAACCCTAAATTTCTGGTCCACGATTCGTTTAAGAAACCTTGTCCCCCCTGGTCAATCCATCTTGGACGAAGCCTTCTAAGAAAACCTGTGATAGAATTTCTAAGGGTTATCTACTGGAATGTGTGGGAACCGGAGCTGGTGATCTGATCATTCAGAAATGGCCATGATGCCCAGCAGCTATCCCACACCCTAATGGCCGGCAGTCATTGAAAAAAGATCAGCTGTGAGCTATTGGGAAGTCTACCAAGAACTGAGGGGGAGACTTGCACAAGGATTTGCCGTGAAGAACTTCCATGCTAGAAGAGATCTGGAGGGGATGTCCTGGGACTTGAAGGTTATTCCCGTTCGCCATTTTTTCTTCTTCCAGGCAATCTCAAAGATTATTCATGTCCGGGGATGTCCGGGGACTCAAAGAAGCCAGAGGCAGTCTCGAGGGCGACGACTCAGGCTGGAGGGGAAATCCATTTTCAGACCTCCTTAACCTGGTCAACCCTAATACTCTTCAACCGTGCAATCGATTGTCAAAGAATTACGCGACATCCTAAGAAGGCCGGAGTAGCAATGGCAGCTAAATTTCCACAGATCGAAGCAAGCCCTTCGACATCAGAGAATCACTTCATACCTCGGTGTGAATCCAGCTGTGATCGGGAAAAGCGCCGTAGCCGAGTCCTCCGTTCTACCGCGAGCCAGACCGGTGCACTCCCCCGCCTCGAGGGGAATTCGAGATGAAGCCGGGGGATTTGCGAAGGAAAATTCGCCGCCTCCAGACGCCGAGACCGAAGCACCGGGGCGAAATCCCCAAAGACAGACGGAGAGGAGGAAGAGGGGAACCCAGGCGCAGGAGAAACGATGGGACAAAGAGGAAAATACTCCAGGGAAGCTCCACGACTCCCGCTCTGCAACTGTAGGGTGCCGGAGAAAGGGGAGAGGAAACAACAGATCGAGGCCGGCCTGCCCCCGGAAGTCCTTGTCGCCCGTGTACCGAACGGATCTGGCCAGGATAAGTGGAATATATAAACCCCGACCGCGAAATCCGATCGATGCGATTACTGGCGCCGACGAAAATTTGAAAGCCAGATCTTCCGTTCAAGCTAATCAAATATCATCGCCTCCCCCTCCATTTCGTCGGAATGTCAACGGTCGGAAGCCCCGGCAACCAGGGAATCCAATTTTTCCGAGGACCAGCCCAGAACTGGGCCCTCGCGGATCTCCTAGGGTTTACCTCGGGAACCTGAAGTTTGACTTTGGTTTGATTCTCGGACAGACAAAGATCGAGTTTTTCTCTGCATTTTTTATTTATAAATATTCATAAATAAATTTTATTTCGGCGAGGTTATCTGATAGCATTGAGAAATTATGGGCGCCAGATAATCCCCTTAATTTTTCGTTCCCAATTCTGAAAATATATATAAAAAAATGTTCCTGGACCCACCGACTGTGGTCTAATTCTCCCCGGCTCATTCTCGGTCCAGTTAAGCCCGTTCTGGCCCATTTATCTGAGTTTCTCAGCCCAGACAAGTTTAGTTCAGCCCACCCTCCCTACAAAACAAACCTCAGAGAGAGAGAGAGAGAGAGAGAGAGGGGGAAGCCCACGATTTTATTTGAAAAATAAGATGGGTTTATGCGAGGTATATGAGTAACTAACTGAGAAGCTGTTGTTTTATTTCTTACGCTATTTCCTCCGACGATCGTCGACCGGGGGACTCCCATTCTAGGCGGAGGGCAGGGCTCTCCTCTTCATCCTCTCCTTCTTCACGCTTCACCGGGTCGGAAATGAGCTCCTCCCACAGCCAGCAGCCGGTTCCTGCTCGACTTGTCGAGCAGCTCCCCTCTGAACAACGGGTTTTCAAGAACGTTGAATCCCACCTTCTCCTCCTCTTCCCACCCCAGTTGACTTTTCCTCGACCCACTTGAAGACTCCTGTTGCAGAGCCTTGTTGCCCCTGGCGGCGGCGGCCATCCGGTCTCCGCTGCCGCTGGAATCCTCTTCAGTCTCCCCTTCGTCTTCGTCGCTTGTTTCAAAGGAAGAAGACGAATAGCTGAGAGCGTTGAAGACGGTGGAAAAAACGTTCTCCGTGTACCCGCTGTGGAAGGAGTAGCTCTTCGGCTTCCCATCGTACAAGGGCAAGAGGGGCTTAGGGCGTGGGCCCATCCCGTCCCTGCCCAGGCTGTAGCTGGTGGACAGCTTAGCCTCTACTCCCTCCTTGGCGTTGACTGCGCCTTCCAGCTGCTCTAGGACTTGCTCAGCCATGGGTTCCTCTGTCGCCTTCTCAAGCTCTGAGATTATCCGGGTCAACTCCGTCCTCCTCGAGTGAAGGGAGCGCTGGAATTGAAAGGAGGAGATTGATGTCACAAAAACTACAGGACATATTCGGCCGTCTGATCTCAGAACACTGCAGAAGCGACGAATCCCTCCTTCTCACCCTCTTCTCCAGGAACTTCCCGAGGTCTTCCTCCGTCAGCTTCTTTTTTCTCCAGAATACCCAGCAGAAGCGAACGGATGCAGCCAGCAGCAGTGTGATGGCAAGTTGGAACAAAAGGAGGAGAACGACTGCCTTCTCATTAGCTGAGATAGAGATGGAGAGAAAGAGAGAGAGAGAGAGAAGAGATTCTATGTCTTAATGTGGGTTGATGAAGGGAATATACGCGAGAGAGTTTATATATGTTATTGGGCATGATGATATTACCAGTGTAGACGCTGAGATTCTTGGGGTTTGCTTGGGAGCAGGTCCAGCTGAGCTTCTGACCTGATGATCAATAGAGTACTGAGTGCAACAGACCATGGGAAAAGGAGCAGGGTGCAGAAGATTAAAGCATCTGCTAGAATGTTTGTGATCGCTTACGTGTGGTGTAGCATGGCCATGGGCTGTTGTTTCCTGCATCAGAATTATATTAGCGTCATGTTCGAGTAAATTATGATTTTTCTGGGGGATGGAGATTGATTAAAGTGGAGGATGCATAAAGTTCGGAAGGCGATAAATCTGGCAGCAGTGTTCTTCAGAAGGAAAGAAATTGATGGGAAAACTGTTCCAAGAGGAAGATGAGAAACCAATTTAGGTGGCTTGTCTTTTCATGCGATTAAATTACTTTAAAAGCTTGCTTAATTCTAGGTTTACCCACCGAGATAAGTTATTTCACAAAAACTTATTCTCACTCATTTTATTTTTTAATTTATTTATTATTACGTGGAATATCTGAAAAAATATTTGTGATGAAAACTAATGCTAAGCATCTTCGTTACATTAAAATTTAATATTTTTAAAATATTTAGTCGGAAATTAAAAAAAATTCGGTCATGAGTACGATATTTAGGAGTAAAATTTCATTTGTATCAAGAAAAAACCTGTGAAATTCCTTTAAAACAAGCATTCTCTGAGAGCTGATATCATAAATTCACTGCATTAGTTTTGTGACTTCTACGCAAAAATAATTTTGGAGCGAGAGAGGGAACCTCACTTCCTGAAGCTAGCAGCGCAAGCAGAATCCTCTCCTCCGATCGAAAGAATCTCAAGTCGCTCTTGGACAATACATCACCTGGTTGAATTCTCCATTTAAGAGAAAAATCATAGGATACCAAATGCACTAAATAGATCAATTTTTTTTTATAGTCCTGAATAAATTTCACATTTAATCGAAGAATCAGTTGACTCACCAGAAAATTTTCTTCTGGAATAAACAGCCCCGGTGGCAGGAGATATCACAGAAAATATAAGATTAACTGGATTCATTGCAGATACGTAGGTATAGTTGCCAATTAAGCGACTTATCTTCGCCTCCATGTGTGTCTGAGTAACATGAAGTGCGAAACCAGAACAATCAAGGATCGGACTAACTCGAATTACTGAATCGAGGGCGAAGGATTTTAGGAACTTCTTGAGATCTCCAGTCGGTGATACTGAATATAAGAATCCATCCAGTGATCCAATAGATACCCATCCTTGGCAAGTAAGAAAAGTAGAGGAAATTAGGAAGAATACCGCAGGAAAGTATGGGAAATTGAATTCTAGTTTGCGTCACCATCGCATATGCTGAATAATCTTATAAAAAATGATTTTCAATTCAGAAAAAGTAGAAAATATTTGGCCAGGGAAGAGTATTATGAAGAAAGTATATGCGTTAGGCCCATTTATGTCATGCAACAAAATAGAGATGTATAAGGTAAATATTTAACTGCTTTCAAAACACGTAAGCAGTATATCCATTACATCGTTGATGAAGCCAGCAGGGAAGGCTGAATTCTGCATATCTTACCTAAGATATCTAATCCATTTCTTGAAATATTTTTCGAAGAAAGAAATTTGAAGTATTTTGAAGAACTTAGCGTATGATTATTGAATAAACAGTATTCATTGGTGAAGTCCAAACACCACTGTATGATTGCTGTCCTCAAGTTGGAAAACTAACCAACTATCCATGTGATATTTTATCGGAGTATTCACTTGGTGACAAAAAGGGGAATACAGTTCACGATGATTTTACCATTGGAGTCAACAACAGGTGAGATATCGATTCTGCCCAGAGGACCAACGGTATGCTTCCACAATACATTTCCAGTAGAAACATCCAATGCCATCAGAACTGACTTTTCTGGAAAAGTGATATATATGCGGCCGTTGTTGCCTGGTGTAATCAGGAATACTTTGTCTACCGAGCTAAGATCCTGGATCCACCTGAAGTCTGGACTGAGTGTATACAGCGCATACAACTGCCCTTCGGTATTCGATATCTGAAAGTTAAAAATGTGCAAGTAATCCATGAGAAAAGTATTGTAAGGGGAGGTCGTGTGTACCACTTAAGGTCTCTTAGAGGTGATCGCGGATCAGCACTGGTGAGGGGAATAATTAAAATCGGGAAAAGATAAAAATGAGAAGCGTTCTGTTAATTCAACATCTGAATGCAGAGAAACAAATTGAATAAATACAAGGCGGACAGATGATGCCTCTGAGCTCACACAAGTAGAGAAAAAACATTATCTAGATATAGTGAACATTTAAAATAACAAACTTCATATAAATGTATGTTTCAGTGTAAAAATTTCTTCTAAATAAAATAAATTTCATTGGTAAAAAAAATAAAATAATGCCCTTGTTGAAGAGTGCCAAATAATAAAATATCCCTCTTAGAAGAATATACGGGTCAAGAAGAACTAGGGACAGAGAAAACCTTACATAAAGACTACCTTCACATTGATCCACGGTGGGGCCTGAGTTAAAGTAACAATCTGTCGCCAGATCTTTACATCCTTGAAGATAACCGAATCGATTTAGCACAGGTCCAGCACTCCATAGCCGTGTTCCACGAAGCATGAATGCAAATAGGCCGTGATGTTTTACGGTGATGAATATAGCTGAACTAGAAATGCTGATGGAAATGCCAATGATTTCACCAGAAACCCCAATATCTGGGTTTGGGCCGTAAAATATGTCAACGACCTGTTCCGAAGTTCCTATATTTGAAGGCTTGACTCGTAGAACTTTGTCCTCAGCTACAACGAAAATCTGTAAAGATATAGCCATTAATGACTCATTTATATTGCACTGAACATAATTATTGTGCTAGAGATGGGAAAATAACTGAGAAGTGGCCATTTTCAAATTGTATTACATTAAGTTGTAACATTTTTGAAAAGCTAAAGGAGATCATTAGAGAGGCAAAACTATGTCCCGATAGAAATCAATTTTTAGGTGGATTTCCCTTTTTACATATGAATCCGCTGGTATTAAGATGTACGTATATTCATGATCATAGGAACACCGTTTTTCTTCTTAAATTTCTTTATTTGACCTGGAATCTTATGTTCTCTAATAATATTCATTTTCAAATAGTCTGTGAAATGCTAGGAAAATTCAAATTCCCACCGAGGATAAAATATTGGAGAGAGGTTTAAGTGTCATCAATTTTACCCAGTAAGATTCTATTGAATGCATCACAATCCTTGTCATGACAAGAGAAAAATAAGTCCAATTTGACGAAGAAAAAATAAAACTACTGAATTGCGAAGGCACAGAAAGAAAGACCGTCCAAAGAATGTAATTTAAAGGAATTTCACCAGTTATATTTGTCCTTGAGTTGAGCAAGGAACCTTTGTATAGCATAGAAAATGTGATCATCCATAAGAAGGGCATATGGGCCCATTCATTTATGATGTAACAACAGATAACTACAATGATTCGGGTTCTCAGACATAGCCACTGTATCTGAAATCAAAGAAAATTCAAGCCAGTTTATTGGACGTGCTTCCTTGTTAATTGAAATTCGTAGAGCATCGTAATTCTCTCACTGCCTTTGGGAGCAAGAAGAAATAATGTACCAATGCACTTTGAAGTGACCGAATGCAATAGTATACTAATCATTTAAAGAGACGAAGCCCGAGTTATATGACCAGGTGATTGGTCCACTCCGACATAAAAATGAAATAGTGAGGCATGTTGGCTTACTGGCTACCTTTCCTCTTTCATCGCTAACTGGGGCAATATCCATGTGGCAAGAATAATTTAGAGGAATGATCCATGAAATAGTTCCATCACTCTCAAATGCAAAAAGGTTCTTTCTGCAGCAAGCATAGATTTTTCCGTCGTATCCAACATATGGAGCTGAGAGCTTTAGTTCCGTATCTCCTGATCGCTCCAACCATGAAAAAAGTTAAGGGAAATTAATTACAAGATACGATATAACTGGGTTGAGTCGCTTCGGATGTGAAGGATGACGAATAAACCGAAAAAGACCATGAGCAAGACTAAAATATGTCCCGAAAGAGATTGGATCTGTTTGGAGACTGCGTTTACCTGAGAGAAACATGCCTGAGCCCTGAATCTAAGTTTACAGTAAATACGGGACAGCAGCGCGCGAAACGGAAAGTGATTTTTCCTGTTGATTATTGTAGTTTGAACGGTTTGAGACTTCATCGAACAATCGTATGTTCAACAAGAGGGCAATCACACTGACTTAAAATCGTAACCCTGAAATCCTTTATCTAAAGAAGGAACCTACCTTACAAACAACTCCAAACCGGTCGGCTTGTACACTCGCGTTCCCCGATATCATCTCAGAACTACCCACCCAAAACCAAGTCAGAATCGGCCATTCTCTCAGAACCAAAATCGATAACCAACACGCAGAAATAAGATGGAATGAAAACGAACTGCGAGTGGAACCGCGGAACTACGAGCAAAAGACAAAAAATGATGTTCACACCATCGGTGGAGTCCAGAAACTTCTTGAACTCCGGCGACTGAGCCACTCCCACACCAGCAGCCGTCAACATCCAGACAAGGAGAACAAGTGGACGACCGGGGATCCCCATCTGCACCCCACCTTTGCCGCGCTCTCTCTCTCTCTCTCTCTCTCTCTCTCTGCTCGGAAGGCGGAGTGGAGAAGGGGGAGGGAGATTAACCGTCACAACCGCAACGGTGGAGGCAGTTGCTGGGAACTGGCCGCCTATTTGAATCGCCGTGGCGGGAGGCCCCTCCGATCCGCACCGTCCGATCAATCAACCTCCCAGCCGTCTGATCGGATATTTTTTTTACTTTTACCCCAATTTAATCATTGAACACGCAGTCAGACCAATATAGGGGATTATTTGCATCGTGCAAGGCGGAAAATTGATTAATAACGGTCCGATCTGTCAACAGCACAGCCGTCTGATCGGAGCAATTTTTAATTTCGACCCCAATAAACCATTAATTATAGGTTTACCCCGGGGATTATTTGCATTTTCGCAAGAAGGAAAATTCATTTATGAATTGAATCGGTGAAATAAAGAAGATAAAAACCTTGTAGGACTTGGGAGGGGCATATTTCATAAACACCCTCCTCTATGTATATTCTAACTCTTCACCCCCGCCACACTTTTACTTCACTCGTACACATACGTATTCCTCAATTCGCTTCTCTCCGCAAATCCGGACCGTCCGATTTCATCGCCGCGGAGTCCGATGAACGGCTGGTGATGGCGATAATCAGCACGTGAGGTTCCACGGGATTAGATTATAAGAGGGGTACGACTTTAATGGAGCTCACCGTGTTTTTGGTTACAGAAGATGCGACCGTGAACAAGAGAGCTCTCTGGTTGGGCAGCATCAGAAGCTGCTGCTTCTAGCACGTGAGAACGCTGACTGCATAAATAAATAATAAATAATAAATGAGAATGATTGGGGAAGAAATAATTATCTGCTGGGAGAATTATTTTAGATAAATCTAGGTTTTTTTTTAGTAGAAGGAAAAGACGTAAAGATTTAAGGATTATTTAGTATGCACCACCCACTGGGGTCAAAGGGGGTAGGCAGCCCCGTGTCAGCCCTGGTCTGGGTGTTTCTCTCTCTCTCTCTCTCTCACACACACACACACACACGCACACACGCACACACGCACACACACTCTCTCTCACTCTCTCTCCTCCCTGCTAAACCTGCGGTTAATAAGGCCCAGGTCAGACCGGGCCAACTGACAACCTAGTTGATAGTAGGAGAATACAGAACATAGAATGATATGAGATAGAGATGGAGAGAGAGAGAGAGAGAGAGGTTAAAAGGTATACTGACCGCTTATTTCGGATTATTTCACGTCAGCTAGAGAGAAATTGGTGAAAGGATTGGACTCTGACAGAGCGAGCGGAGTTGACCTGGTCATGGCAAGATGAGCTTCTTCTGTGCGATGAAATCCTCCGTTTCTTGCAGTAAAGTAGATCCTCGGTGTCAAGGACATAAGAAACCTGGAGCACGTGGATTTCATTGGCATTAACAGTCGTGGAGAATGACTACCCCCCCTGAACAGGGCATCATCTCATGGGTCCAAACCTTTAAGAAATAAGTCAACCCCTCACCTTCTGGGATTTGCACGATATCTTGCACTCCAAACCGTTGACCAAGAATGTGGACTCTGGGTCTTGGGCCTTCACAGAATATGGGTCATCCTCAGCGTTCTTCCTCTTGTTTCTGGAAAAGGCAAATAATCCACAATCATTTTCCAAGTTTCACCGCAAGAAGACACCAATCTTAGTAAATCGGCCCCTCAGGAGCTCAACCTTCTGAGGAACACAGAGTGAGCTTCCCTGCCGCTGGGGATGTTAGAGAGAAGATCATTGTACAGATAGGATGAGAAGTCCGGGTCGAGAGAGACGGCAGTCATCTCGGGCTTCTCGTGTCCACATTCCATCAGCTGGATAGATAAATGGGTTGGATCGGAGGACTGCAAAAAGGCAACAATGCATTCATGATAAATATAATCAAATCAAAAGAATAAAACTGCACAATTATGCGGTGTGAGTGTACTGAAAACCTACACATTCAAACCGGTACACGATGTCGTCGTTAAGTATGACGTGGGCATTTTCCTGATAGGCCAGGTCAATGAATTGTCCAGGCCGGCGTGACCTTTCGTATGCATAGAGTTGAAGAAGCTTATTGTCTGTCTCATCAGATGCAATAGCTTGAACCTGGAACAAACAAGTGAGCCTAATGACGACATCTTGGTTTACGATTTAAGGTTTAGGGGGTGTTTAAGGTGATGAACTTAAAGATCTGGTTGAATGAGTAGGAGTTAATTAGGCAGATGATGATTAAATACCTGTTTGATGAGTTTATATATCAATTTGTCCAATGTGAAGAGCATATATGATTGAATGCCAATGATAGAACGGCAATCGTCTTCAAACTTTGTGTTGTCAGCAGACCCATTGAGTAAGCTGAAGAGGGCACCCATGAACCTAGAAACAAAGCTCAGTCAGAGAAAAACACAAGCAGCAGATGAAGATCATGCAGCACATCACACAGAGTTGACCCACTTTGTGTATAAGTCGGGAAGGTTGGCGGCCTTAGAGGATCCCCACTTTCTTTCAGCCGAAGATGAATTCATCTTAGCTGAGAGAATCCTCTCGTAGAGAGTCTGCAACAAAGAACAGAGAGGTGTTATCGAAGGAGTTGCAGGATATTTGGGACGAATCATGAGGTATGGCTTACTTGATGAAGTCGAAAGAGCACATAGAAAGAATCATTGCCGTAGAAAATACGAGAGCCTTTTCCCTCCTTGTCAAATAATGTTGATGGCACATGCTTAGCAAGGGGCTTTGCAGTGTGTAGAAAATACTCGTGCAATGTCAACGACTGTCCCTCTCCCTCAATGCCACCCGCATCGGCAGCACCTTCCACTTCGTCTTCGCTCTCTGTCTTCCCATCATGATCAGCGTGCTTGGCATCTTCGTCCTCTACCTGCCCTTCCTGGGAGCACAACTCACCATTGCCAGAATCACTGGCTGAGGCGTCCTCAGCAGCGTCAGATGCGTTGTCACTGCCCTCTGTTGACCTCTGAGCGCTCTCTTTCCCTTCGTTGACAGCTTCAGCCATACCTTCTTGCATGGCTTCAAAAGTATTCTCCTCAAAGTCTGTGGAAGGTGACAGTTCGCCTTCCTCTCTTTCACCTCCGACTCCGTGGGCTGAAGAGTCATCGTGTAGACATTCAGCTTTAGTGCGTTCCTGCATGCACAGAGCGTTTGCTGATAAAACTGATCTTATTTTATTCCCTCTCTAAATCAAATGCTTCAGGGATCACGATCATCATCATCATCATCATCATCATCATCAAAAGCGTGATTATTAGCCTAAACGCCTCAACATTAGATCCACATATTACAGAAAAAAAATTCCAATAAAACATAGAGATTTTAGGCATAATACCCAAGAGATTTTAGAGTGAAATATTCCAAGTCATTATTGTCTCCCACAGTTAAACTTCCTTCATCAGATTAAAAGTATAAAGTTCTGAAAGCAGTACTGTATTGAGGACACCAAATCAGCTGATACATACAATTTATCTAATGAGATATCGTGTAACTGTGATCAGCTGACAATACCTCTAATGATGAAGTTAAAACGTCATTATTAGTTTGAGCCACATTAACTTCCTCAAGAACGTTCTGATCGTGTTTGAACTGTGTAGCACTGGCACCTAAGAAGGAAAACAGATTAATTTTTTTTTTTTTTTTTCAGTGCATTAATACAGGGGAAAGTTTATTCATGGGAACAGAAATGAAAGAAAACCCATGACTTCATACAAAATGAAAACTTGCTGTCATTGCTAACTGCGCCGATCAGTAATATGCTGAGAGAAGCATTACCTGCCGCCTTTTTGGTTAGAACTGACCGCATGCTGATTCCCAACGCCTCACCAGATGTCAAAAGATTACCTGGCATTTTCTCATACGACGAAGTAGAACAAACTTTATCAGTTCGACAAGAAACTTGATAGACTTCAAGAGCATCACTGTCAATTGTGTCCCTTGCCAGCCTACCCCTGAAGGATGAGGAGGCTTCTTCCAATGGTTTGGTTCCGCTACCACCGCCGAAAAGATTTAGTTGCAGACTACCAGAAGGAGCAACCACATCCGAGCTTCTACGACTTTCCCCTGGTGCTGCAAAAGTACTCTTGGCAGCCTGATTCTTGGTTTCATTTTCTGGTCCAACCAGTCGAGGAGGAACACCAAGCACTGACTCCAAGAATGTAGTCCAAATCTCCAAGACCTTATCCGTCTGATCTGTAGATGAGCAGACCTCTGCACAGGAGTAATTAATTATCTCATATATATCTTCATGAATATTTGGATCATTATAGTTGAATTCCATGTGGGGAATAACAACTCTGTTTCCAGCACTAACAACAGAAAGTATGTCATCCTCTTTCTCCTTTTTCTCGTTTACTTCTCTGATCTCAGTCAAGAGAACTACAAATAGGTAAAAGAAAAAAAATTAATAGATAAAAAAGTAAAATAACGAAACAAAAGAGAAGATACGCAAGCCATAAGAATATAAAAACTGCCCAAAAGAGAAGAGACAGTTGGATCCACCAGACCTACTTAAAAGGCTGAATAACATGCTGCATGAACTGGATTTATCCGGAGAGAAACATGCCATTAATATTGTCGTCAAATAAAGTCACAGAGTAGGGCACCACTCTGAATTGTGGTTGACCTTCCTAAATCGTTTACCACCCCTCCTCACTCCTTACTATTCTCCCATTCACTCTTATCCTTCTGACATAGCTGGGAAGAAGGGTAGAGGGACGGAAAACCCTTTCCTTTACCCCGTAATATTAAAGTTCAAATTTTAGAAAGGTGAGCAAGCAAGCATCTACGTAAGTGGAGGCTACTTTTCACACCAACCAAAACTAAATGGAAATCAAGGCACTGTAGGTTCAATAGCAGTACTTAGATTTTTTGCTAAAACGAAAGCAATTACAGTAAATTTATACAAGTCTCATGCAGTCAACAAAGAAAATGGCAACAGTCACAGGAGGAAAGTTCAGATATTTCCATTCAGTAAAGAAGGGTAAAAACAAAAATGGCTTCCATGAATGGCAGACAATGTTGAATGAAATTATAATAATTTAAACGGGAATGACTGAAAATTTAGAATCTACAACCTAAAAAAAAAAATGTAAGGCTTATCTTGATGTGTGCGGACAAAACAAAAAGGGATCAGAACGATTTTTGTGACACCTTTTGTGCTCAGGTTCTTTGCATCCTGTTGCTTGAAATAGAAGCTTCGATGGTCAAGGGATTTGTGATGATTCTTTGCATAAATCTCAGCCCACACCTTATTAAAATCAGCTCGACACTTTGACCATTCCTCTTGTTTCTGTTTTAGACGAGTTAGTATCACAGGAAGAGCGAGACCAGGATTCTTCCGCAGAACATCAATCACATCCAAACCATGATCACCATACAGTCGTTCAATGCACCTCAGGTTTATGGCTACAGATTGAAGAATGGATTAAAAAACAGAATGATGTAAGTAAGAATATAACAATGATTTTTTTAAAAAAAGACTAGTCTATTTCACTGCTTTTTTACAAACCATTGAAGTGGTCTTCTACACGAAATTGGCTTTCTTGTTTCAATAGATCATCTGGCATAGCTTTTAGCAAATCCTCCACCCGCTTAGTAGTTGTATTCACAGACTCCAGAAGCATGTCAAGCTCAAACCTGGTAGAAACATGAGCCAAAAAAACTCAAAAACTCATAAACGGCAAAAGACAAACAAGTAATGGGTTCCTATAAAGAACCATATGATTAACTTTGAGCACCAAAACAGTTGTATGGTTGGAATGGGAAAACTTGAACCGCAAAATCATGGTAAAACTCATTTGTCACTGCTCATTGATGTTGAAAGATAGAATATCTAGGAAATTTGCCTCATTAAATCTTAATTGGAATGAGAGGAATTGTGCATGTAGCAGCAAAAGAGGGATCAAATACCGATCATCTTCACATCTGAACAGGCTCTCTTCATATTGATTCTTTCGCATGTGCTTAAAAGAATAGTCCTCACTGCCAGATGTTACTGACACCCAGAGATCATTAAGCACTGCATCGCCTACTTCTGTCCTGTTGGTTGATGGAGGTAATGGATACTGCCAATGAAGGTAAATAGTAACCAAGAAATCAATAAATGTTGAGGAGGCATACAACGAAAAGAGAAAGCAAGAAAAGGGAAACTTTAAAAGTATTTTACATTATTTGGCAAAAGTCGGTAACTCGGGGTACAGTGCTGACAGTCGGACAGATCAAGCTCCGATATTGGTTTGTTCCAACTACATATTTCTCCAGCAAGTGAGGAAGCCTTGTGATCTGCAGAATCTTTTGGTGTTTCCCTTTCTTTATTTATCTCCTTGCCATAGTCTCTATCTTTCTCCCTCTCATTTTCACATTCCCTTTCTTTCTCCCTACGATCTATAATCACTGGTTCACCTAAACGTCCTTTCAACGAGGATTCTGCCATAACATATACAAGATTAGTTTTCAGAAATAACAACAAGAACATGAAGATCAACTATGGCAAGGAGAAAAGTATCTTAGAAGAAGAAATTTAGCATCACAAATGATTTAAAAGTAACGAAAACCTACTTATACAGAACACTCTATAAAGAAATTCATCTGCATTTAATAGAGATCTCAAAAGGTATTCAAAATAACTGAGAAAGAAATGCACCATTTTCAGGGAAAATTAGCCAGATAAGCTTACCTATATTCTCACAAGATGGCAAAAACTTAATAAAACCGTCCACCAAGTCTGGATACTTTCGAAGGCAATCACCAACCTAAAGAAAAAGAAGAATTAGCTATAGCATAAGATCCGCCGCTACAGAAGGAAGTACGACGTAAATGTTTCCTGGGTGTGCATAACTTCAAAAAAATGCATTTTAAGGAAGTCCAGTTCCAAAATGAAATAATTTAGAGACTTTGGAGAAAAACAACCAATCGGTGTCCAGCTGTTATGTTAAATAATCGATTCCATCAACATGTCTCTTATACTAGGGACACCAGATATACATAACAGCAAAAAACTATAACTTTAAAATATAAAAATTCTAGAAGGATCAGATTTTAAAAAATCTGTTGTACTCTGTTAATGTAAAAGAATCATAAGATGCTCCTGGTAGAGGAGAGGTTAGTCATATGCCGGTAAAAGTTTCAAATATTGAAGCATAAACTTCTTACGGAGACCACTTTTCTCTGATACATTTTGATCAAGCAACAGAACGTCTTAAAAGTATTTCAACCTCACTTTTCCACTGTGCTTCTTTTCTCTAGTAACTGAGCATATCTCAAACAGAAAGATATTAGCCTGGCTCTTACAGATCGGCATCCAAGAAAAGTTAGGCTCTATAGAAGGATAACAGAGCGTGTTTATTCAAGGCAGAGTTCATCGTGCCAAAAATGGTGGAAATGGAGGCTGAAACGATGCTTTTTCTATTGATTTTCTCCCAAGAGGATGCAAAGATGCAAAATCAGAATGCTAGATTTGGAAGAATGAATGTTAATCTATGGAGGAAGAGATAAAGGCACACCATTCATTGTTTTGATCTATTCCATCAGCAGGATAATGGCTATTCCTTGTGTGGGGCCTTCTAAGACGTAGTGAAGAAATAAGTGATGAAAGTTGTTGTGAACGATTTAAAATTTTCAATTCTGACCATCAAGTGAAGTGAAATCTCACTCTTACTCTCAGTTCATTTCCTATTTGAAGTATACATCTAAATCACTTGATGGTCACTTTAAATAGGAAACGAATTGAGAGTGAGAGTGAGATTTCACTTCACTTGATAGTTTGAATTGAAAAGTTTAAATCGTTCACAACAACTTTCATCACTTATTTCCTCACTACATCTTAGAAGGTCCCACACAAGGAATAGTCATCATTCTGCTCCTAGATCAGAATAATAATTGGTGTGCCTTTATCTCTTCCCCCATAGATTAGCATAGGGCATGTACTCAATTTGTTGAGTACATGTCCTATGCTAAATGGATGATAATTTCAAATAGATAAGATTTCAGAGAAAGATAAATGGACAACAGATATGATTTCAATATGAGAAGGAAAAAAAAAAACAGATTCTAGAAATGCACTGGGGTAAATATGACATTGTACCAGATTCTTCAATTCAGTTCTGCTAATAATTTCCTTGCTATAAAGATGAAGGCATTTCAGAAACTCCTGGTACGCATCACCATTCAACTTGTCCCTTACTCTCTCAATAAAACTAAACTCTTTTTCAAATTCACCTGCAACGAATGAATATCACATTATTCCTCCACTATCAGTTGTCTCCAGAAAACCAAATCTAATGGCCGTACTCAGAAATGGTGTGCCAATAGATCTAGGACAAAATTTTCGAAAAATGACCGGTTAAAAAGTTATGCATCATTCATGCAAATCTGTCGGTCATGACAGTAATGGACTCACCTTTCAAAGCATTTTTGTCATCGGCAGCATCCGATGCAGAGAAAGGTCCAAAGTCTTTTGTATTTTCACCACCTGTGTCCATTGGTTCTACAACAGAATAATCAACCCTTTGACAAGATTTCCTCTTCTGCCGCATGTTTTCCAGATCCTTACTATCACACACTAAATTTCTGTCATCGTGCTCATGATTTATCCGATCCTTATCGTCAGTCGTATGCTTTTCCTTCTCAGTACGTTTTCTATGTCTCTGATGCTCTTCACCAGGACGATCACATAGGTTACGATCAGGATGGTAAGCATGTGCTTTATCTCTCTAAGAAAAAGGCCAAAAAAGTTAGAAAGGAATAATCCGATAGAAATCATAACATAATTTCCATTAGAAAAAATCATGCAGCACGATGCAAAATTTTAAACTAAATCCACTTAACCAGTCTCAATGTCCTTCAGTTCAAATCCCCTTGATTACAAAGCTAATCACAAAGAGAGTAACGATAGTTATCTACATCAATGCAAGATTTAGCATTCAATGTTTCATAATTGTTGATGCATTTTTGCCTAGCAAGACACTGATAATGAGCCACAAAATTAGCATTCAGACACTTGTGCAAGGCAAGAGAAATCGAGGCAAAAGATATACCCCAATGGGATAAAAAACATTGCCACATTTCTCTTCAGCAATAGTGTCCAAGCTGTACAGTTTGAAAAAATAAACTATTGCACAGCAGTATGCTACCACATTATTCTTCATTGATGCTATTGCCAAAATGATGTTAAACTAGCATTAACCAGTATCAAGTGTATTTTGTTATATATATACAACTCTTTGTTTTGTATATTTAATAAATACTATGCACTGTCCACTTTCAAGGAATTATATACTTGATGCAGGATCTTCAATGAAAGAGAAAACTGTTCGTGCACAATTACTTCTTTTCTCATCTACAAAGTTTCAATTGCAAATCAGTACCTTGTCAACTTGACCATGTCTGATAGCTAATCGACCAACGCTCTTCTCGTCTCTATGCGCTGATGTCTTTTCTTGCAACACGGATTTCGCTGTGTGATCGGGTAAGAAATGAGTAAACTCCTTGAGAAGATCGTGATGGTTTTCAAACAGCAATGTGACCTGCAAATGTACAGGCCAGGATTTCTACAAGTTAAAATATCATAAAACACATAAAAAGGACACTGAAAAAGATAAATATGTCAGATATATACCTCCTGATAAACTTCTGCAATGCTCTTGCTCTCTTTCCTGTACATGTTCAGAATATCTAGGAATGTTTTGTAGATACGCTCATCATTTTTGAAACAGGTCTGTAAGCAAGATGAAAGAAGTTAATGGGACTTTAAGCCTAATGCCACCCTTAAATCTTGCGAAAGAGTTTGGAAGAAATATAGTTGACACCTTTATTTTGTTCACAAAATTGATAGCTTCCTCAAACTCAACAGGTTTTTTCTGTTGAATTCCCTCTTCAATAGGGAGAGTAATTTCGTATCCCTCTGGCAGGAAGGTGTTGAAGCCTAAGATCAAGTCCCTGTGTCCTCTAAATAAGTCTTTTACCCTTTGAATAACTCCCGCGGTATCTATCCTGCAACCACAGGAGAATATACGTGTAAGAGAAATGAAGAAAGAAAAAGAAATGAAAAAAATTTGAAAGGACGCAAACCTTTGCGCTTTAAAATCTTTCATCACTTCAAGGAATTCATCATACTTTTCCTTTTTATCTTTAAAAATTCCCTTCACGTCTTTCAAATAGCCTAGAGCGTCATTTGTTGTTAGTCTCCTGGCACCACTGCTAGTAGCTGCAGGGGGAATGGACGTTTCTCCACACCTTCATCATAAAACACGTACAAGAAGATACTCCATAAGCAGCAGTATAAAGACACACAATCAGAAACAGCCCCATTTACATGGAACATTTTCTGAGAAAAAATATCGAAAATATGATTAGTCGTCGCCCCTTCTTCGTGAGGAAAATTGAGCTAAATAAAAACAGACGAGCATAATGCATATTCCTCATAATCGTTCGTTACATGAACGCTACGAGTCAGAGATAGAAAGCACGAAAAGAAAGCAGAAAATACCACAATTTTGCACTCCAACATTTCAACAAATTATATCACATCCAAGTAGGACGGGCTCGATCTAGTGATTACGGCCCTGGAGCTCCAAGCATGTTTGGATTGAGCGAGAAAGAGCGAGAGAGAGAGGAGACTATAAGGTAGCATCAGAGAAATAGCAATACACGGAGAGCAAAGGCGACGAGGCCACATAAACTTACGGATCCCCTCGGGGAGCGTTTGGCCGCTTGATTTGCGGCACCGTGGAGCCCTCTTCGCGGGATCTTTTCATCTCTTCACAGGCTCACCCACAGGCCGGCCGCAACGGAACAAGAGGAAGGAGAAGACTCCTTCCCGCACCACTTCCTCTCTCTTCGCCTCTTCCAGACAAACAAACGACGCCAGGAGCAGATACGATCACGACCGTCCCGAACCCGCACCTCTCCCCCTCCCTCCTCTCCCACCTGACTGCGGACCGCAGATCTGGACACGCAGAGAAATCCACAGATTGCTTCCTCGGGGGGGAAGGAGCAGACGCCAATTATTCTTCAGAGAGACGGCGCGAAAGTCACGATGAATGAGAAATGAGAACAATGGCCGTCGCTCCGCCTCTTTCAGAAAGTCTGCCCTTCGTCTTCCTCGTATCCTTACCGATTCCTTCCTTGCGGAGCAGCGAGCGAGGAGGAGGTCCCCGGAGAAGCCGTCTGGTGAATGAAGAATAATACGAGCGGCTACATATGTGCATGCCTTTGGAGCTCAGGGGAGGAGGAGGGAGGGGGGAGGCCAACTCGTCGACAGCCGCATGATTGATGTTTCCCAAAGCTGGATGAATCAGTACCGTCCGATACGTAGGCCCTCTGCCCGCCGTATCCCGCCTTCCATCCGGGACCGTTTTCATCGGACGGTCACCGACGGAGTTTCATAACGGCTGGGAAGCCTCAATTGGCACTCGGTTCACTTACGGGCCCAAATGAGGACTGAACACCCATGCATCATTTGAACTCCTCTCTCTTTCTCTCTCTTTCTCTCTACCTCTTCCTATCATTTAAACGATGACCCATCGGCGGCGGGGCGTTCTCAAAGACAATATCGCCGCCGCCGGCGCCGCCCATTTTCGGGCTCCGTCGCCTCTACGGCCGGAAACCATCGCCATCGCCGCCATTGGGGCGGTGGGCTGCGCCGCCGCCCGCAATTTGGGAGGGGGGCATCCAGCTGCTCAGTCGACCGTGCTCTGCCCCGGCGCTTTCGGGACTCCGCGCCGCCTCATCATCTTCCTCACTCGGGCGCTGTCCTCCCACCGCCCCATGCCGGCATACGCGTTGGCCAGCATCACGTAGGACGCGGCATGCCCTGGATCGACGTTCATCAGCTTCTCCGCCGCCCATTCCGCGTAGTCCATGCGACCGTGGCTGCAGCAAGCGCTGAGCAGGCTCTTGAGGACAAACTCGTCCGGCGCCGCCGGCATCGTCTGCACCATGCTCCACGCCTCCTCCACACGGCCCGTGCGGCCGAGGACGTCCACCATGCAGCCGTAGTGCTCGATCCCCGGCACGAGGCCGTACAGCTCTGTCATGCCATCGAAGTGCCGGCATGCCGCCGCCGCGAGGCCGGCGTGGCTGCACGCGCTGAGGACTGCGACGTAGGTGACTCCGTCGGGGCGGAGGCCTTGGGCGAGCATTTCGTCGAAGAGGTGGAGCCCCCGCGCGCCCTGCCCGTGAGCCGCCAACGCCGATATCATGGCCGTCCAGGCTCGCGGGTCTCTGTGTTGCATGCCGTCGAACACCCTCTCTGCGGCATCGAGGCACCCGCATTTGGCGTACATCGTGAGCAGCGCCGTGCCGAGGCTGGCGCTCAGGTGCCTCCCGCTGCGGCTTATGTGCCGGTGGACGCAGGCGCCTTCCTCGAGCGCGCCGAGCCGGGCTGAGCAGGCAAGAACGGATATCATGCACGCCTCCGTCGGCTCGGCGCCGGCAAGGCGCATACGCCGGAACACCTGCAGGGCCTCCGAATCACGCCCACACCGCGCGTAGCCGGAAATCAGCGCGGCCCAGGTGACCGGATTGACCTCAGACATTTCGTCGAACACTCGGTGGGCATCTGCCAGCAGGCCGCACTTGACGTATGCCGAGACGAGGGCGGTGCGGACGACGACGTCCCCGCGCGCCCCGTGCCGGTGGAGTTGTCGGACGACGGCGAGGCTGCCGCCGTCGGCGTAGGCGCCGAGGAGGGCGCTCTGAAGGAAGGGATCGGAGGAGAAACCCAGCTTGACGAGGTGGCAGTGGAGATGCCTGGTCAGATGCGGCGCGCAGGCCTTCACACAAGCCTTGATGAGGAAGGTGAAGGTGAACTTGTTGGGGGCAGCCAGGGATTGGAGCATGGATTGAGTGTACAGGTGAAGAGCTTGCCGAGGGGGAGAGGATCTGAGGACGGCGTTCCACGCGAAGGTGCTGCCATGGTCTACCATCTTGCAAACACCGGCGCCGGATCAATGAAACCATAGGCGGAGGTTGCACACGGGGGATATATTCAAAGTGGGGGTGGTGAACTAGCTTCCTTCCACAAGCCATTGCTCTCTCCTCTGTGTTCTTCAGGGAGCGGCTCGCCAGGAGGATTTTCGCGGATTCTGGCTCCCATCTGCAAGCTGAAATGCCGATGGTGAACTCGATGGCACCGGCCGATGCACGACGATGAATTGACATGAAGTAAATGTACCTCTCAGATCACGAAAGGGAAAAATTTATCGCCGGAAATCACCTTTTCTGTGATCTGATGCAGATTTGGATCCGCTGTTCTAGAGGATACCTGATCTCCCCAAGAACAACTTACGGCGGAAGTACCGGACAATCAGCGGCCAAATACAGCAAAACAGAAGGAACAGAGAAGCTCGCCGGATTTGCGGCGAGGTCATGAACCTGGCCGGCGCCGATCGCCTGGCCGACGCCGGCGGTCACTCGCCAAGGAATTTATGTTCTTCACCATCGGTTTTTTATGATTTCGCGTACGTACCCATTTTTAAATAATTTGTGATTTCACCCCGGATGAAATCGCCATCATCTAAATCCGATTAAAGATAGATTCCTAAAATCGATTTCGTGAGACAAAACGATAGTATATAAGTCCCCATGCGAGGCCAAAACTTCCGCGTATGTACCCATTTTTAAAACAATTTGTGACTCTGCCCTGACTCAAAAGTAGATTTTTAGAATGCATTCTGTCGTCAATCTACATCAGGCATGTTGAGTACTAAACTTCGGAATGCATTATTTGGATCAGACGGGATAGAAACGATCGCCATCCGGTCCAATCCTGACCCTCCGATCCTTAGGCTAGAGAGAGAGAGAGAACCAGGTCATCGTCCCCAACACTAGCCCCTCGCAAATAATCAAGTTAGACTGGAAATCAGAGCATCTCGGTTTTTCCATGTGGAAGAAAAACAGAGGAGAGAGAAAGCCACACTGGGTGAGGCTGACCCGGCTTCCTTGCAAGCTCCGGCAGAGATCGAGCATCTTCTCTCTGCATGGATCGACGTCCCCCGTCTAAATTTCTTCCAAGGAAAGAAAATAGAGGAAAGAGAAAGCCAGTTTGGCTTTGCTTTCTCTCTCTACAGCCTCCAAGCCCGTCCCATGGCTTCCGAGCACCGGCAGAGACGACACCTCTCATCATCGTTCTCGACCGAAAGAAATTTGAGCATCCGAGTTTTCTTCAGGGAAAAAGAAACGCGGAGAGAGAAACCAAGCCAAACCGGATGAGCTCGACAGTGCTTTCTCTCTCTAGGTGCTCCTCGCCCCTCCCATGGCCCCTGACCTCCAGCAGTCACCTGGCCCACCATCGCTGCAGAGCAGAGATCGGCGTGGTCAAGAACGGCGCGTATCGGCTGATGTAAGGGTTCGAGAACCGGCCGATCTTCGCCCAGACCACCCGGTGGTAGCTCGCCGTCGCCGGAGCATGGTACATCAGCTTCAGCAGCTGCAAGGTAAGGACGAAAGATGATCAGAGCAAAACCCTAACCCTAGACAAGAAGGAGGAGGAAGAAGGGCGAACCTGCCAGTAGATGAAGGTCTGCAAGATGCTGCGCTGCCATCTGCAAGAGAACATCAAGACCCCCTCAGAACAGAGAGTCCAGTAGAGAGAGAAACTAACCAGCGAGGAGGAGGAGAGTTGGAGAGGTGACTGACGAGAGCAGAGAGAGGATGAAGAGGAAACCCAGGGCGACTTCCGCGTTGGAGCTCAGGATGGTGAGCGTGGTCGTGTTCGCCTCCACCCACAGGCAGGCCTCCTCCAAGTACCTCCTGTTCGCAGTTGATAACATGTCATGGAGCTTTCTTCTTCACTGGTGCAACTCCAAATAGAAACTAAGTCCTCAAATCCAAGCTTATATTTCAGTTAAAATAACTTAGAATATAATATGATCTTGCAAATACATACGAAGACAAATCATTTCCCTCTCCTAGGCTGGCCTCTTTCTCCTTCTCTCTGTCACATCCTGCCATCTCCTCTCTCCACCATCTCTGTTCTGGTCATCTTCCTGGTACCCCCCTCCCCTCTGCGGCAGCATCTCCTTCACCATCACCACACTCTTCTTCTTTCCTCTCTCTGTGACCTCCCCCCCTCTTTCCCAAACTTTGTAGAAGACGGCAAATGGGGCAAAATTAAAGCTTGCTTCGCCAAATAAAGATCAGAAAGGAGACAAAGATAGGCATGAATAGAAAGAATATATAAGAATTGCAGAGGTAGTGTTTGAATAATGGTTCTGAAGAGGTGGAGAAGGCAACTCCCTGTGGATCGGCATGGTTGAAGTTCTACAGGTTTTAGTTAAAAGGATAAGGAAAAAAAAACATTATTACTAACAATTCCGTCTTGGAGGAATATTTTCATGTCGAATAATTTATTTCGACAGAAGTATAGTTGGGTGATCTTCCAAAGGATAAAGTTTGGGAAGAATGAAGGACCCAAGGAGAGGCACCAAGAACAGAACTTTAGCAGCTGAACAAAACATAATGGGATGAGGATAAATAAGTCAACAAATTTGAGTAAACGGGGAACTCCAATTTCATAAGTAAGTTTGGAATCAAAGGGATTGAGGAATCAAGAAAATCAGGAGGATAAAAGAAGAACATGGAGATGAGAAGTAAATCAGAGGCTCAACAAAATGCATCCAATCTGTGATAAAATCCAGTGTAGATAACAAGTGTGCTCTCTGAGACTTGCACAGGGAAACGTCAATCATCTCTTTATGAATTGTGAAAATGTTAAGGCGATGCAGAAAATTGTCTTATATTTGATGCAATTTAGCTTCAGGGAACCAGATTGCCAACTACACAAATGTCAATGATCCGGTATCATTTTGAGCTTTGGGGAAAGGTTTTTACAGATTATTGGGAACGAGATGAATCTATAGAAGATTTCAGTATATATTCTAAGTAAAATCAGCATCATCATGGACGTGTTTAATTGGTCAAAAGAAATAGAGATCAGGATTTTTTTCAATTAATCCGGTTGGAGACAGATAAACATAGAAAAAAAAGCTATGTTTTAAGCTTGAGTAGAGACACTATGTTTTCAGCACCAGACAGTTTCCACCCTAAAAACTACTGCGAAGGAATCAATCGACATCAGCTAACTTTCCATACCTTCCATCTTCTCAGCTTTCCTACTCTCCGCCACCAACCCACCCAAAGTAAAATAAAATAAAAATCAGGTAAGCAGAGATAGTACGAACTGAAATCAATTATGTTCTCAAGGAATGTTCGAGTTCACTTTATTGGTCTCCCTCCGTTCTCTTTCCTTAATAAAGGCAGTGTATTTGCAGAAAGTGACGTGGAGATCACAAATGTTGCAGTGTGCAACAGCACAACGGATTGATCAGACCAAAAACCTCATAAGATTGCAAGCACACTAGAAAGCCGAGCTCCCATTAGTTATTTAATCACTAGGGGTGAGAAGAAAGCAAAATAAAATAAAAGGGACTAGGATGTACAATTGCAAGATTGCAAAAAGCCAGTTAAAATTACCATGAAACAAGATAAATAAGATTGTCAACTAATTTCTTCGATGCCAAACACAAGTACATGCGTACCTATACAAGGACGAATGCTGGAAATTGCGCCTTAAGAACTTGGCAACAAAGTCACTTGAACGACAAACAACAGGTATCAAAGCGACTGCAATAAATGACAAGAAAGACAAAAAAAATGGAGGAACAAAGGGTCAAAATAGGTTTCTTCTGAAGATATAGTACAAGAATGATTTCAAAGAAAGAGTTTTCGCCAATAGACGCAGGTAAATAACTATATACAATTAGATACCAAAAATTTTTAAGCTGAACTACCATAGATTAAGTTCACGTTATTAGAGAAAATATGAAGAATATGCTAAAAGTGACCTGGGCACTAAACCAGAAGAGCATTGCCGTAGCGCTTCTTAAAACTTAAGATCATTACGGGGGTTCAAGGGAATAGCATCAAATACATACACTTGAAAGGTGCTTGAGATGAAACGAATGTTAGGCAGTAGATGAAGTAGATGAAATCCTTCGTCCCAACAACAGATTGTAACCATGATTGCACAGCAGGCAGATTCCATGCCCTAGGTTTCTGAGATACGATAGAGAAATGAATCAAAAACATAAGAACCAGAAGAAAACTGCCAGACATAATCTATGGGAATAGAAAAATCCAAGAAAGATCTAAAACCAAAATGAACGTCTACTCTATCAAATATCTGTAAATTATTACCCCATACAAACTGTACAAAGAGTACAGTGATGAACATGCTGTTCCCAGTATGGACAATCGGACGGCCTTGTTAGAAAGATTTCTTGGCACGAATGGGAGAACGCTAAGAGCAGCCAAAATGATAACCTTTAAGGGTCAAAAAATATAAATTAGCACCTACGAATGAATAGCAAGGCAGAAACTACATGATATGCTAGAACCACCACAACATGTAGATGAGACCCCAGTCAATACAGAAATACCACAGAAAGAACATGTTCCTAGACAACATCACAAGCAACAATTTCATTAGAAGAAGAATGTGTGAGCACAATTATGGACACAAGAAAGTGAAAGACACACAGAAACCAAGGAATACATAAGCAATATCCAGACCCCACTCACAGTGCAGATCGTCATCTAGATTTGGAGCAGGTTCAGAATTAGCCAATCGTCTGTATTTGTATGTCAAAAACTTAAGATGTCTAGAAAATCCCAACCCACTTAGAATTTGATGAGTCATCAAAAGTGAACACTTCATACCAATATGCATTAAGTAAGAACTAAGGATGGTACATGTATTATGAAGAGACCATAATGCAAAAAAAAAGTCCAACGAAGTGAATTATTTTATCCGGTCATATACAAAATTACAGATAATCGAAGTTAGCTCAGTTACACGACGCGTTATCTAAGTTACAGATAAATACCCAAGTGTTGACAGTGAACTGTATGGTCTGTGGATCCCGTCTCATAGAATTTCCGCTTGCCCGTGGTTGAGAGGAAGTCCCAGAACTAGAGCCTACATCATGGACCTTGAATTAGTAGAAGACACTCACAAGATGAGGAAAACCATTGGTTTCCAGAATGTGATGAACAAAGCATGTGACCATATATTTAGTCAAGGTAACGAGACAGTTATGAACATTTTATCCACCTGAGTTACGTGGCCTTGTTTGTTCACTTGATGCTTGAGCTTGCGGCCTTGTCGATGCTTGTGTTTCTGGCCTAGCGGATGATGTTCCAGGTTTTTGAGAAGAACTCGTCGTAGGCATTGTCTCAACCACATAATCAGGATCCTACGTAAAGGAATAATATTTTGTAATCTTTTGGCCAATGACTACTGAGGAACTTCCCCAGCAACCACAGGAGTGTAAATCCTTTTCCGAAATTTCTAACTCATGTTGGCCAAAGAAAACAGAAACAAGTAGAGAAGACAATGGGGATTCTATGCTGCCAGAAATGTAGATAAATCAGTTTAAAAAAAAAAACATAACCCGGGATGCGCGACAGGAAAAGAGATGCAAAAACACAGCAGCAACCGTCGAAATCACTCGGGAGAATTTTCTACACCATATCCTCTTGCAGAAAAGGCAAAGATAGTCTCGCGACAAGAAATACAATGGCAAAGCCACAATTAATCCCGTAAAAAATGATAAAATCGGAACCCAAAGCCATAAAACGGAGAAAAGCATAGCTCGATTAAGGAAAAAAATAGCACGATGTGGCAGAATAGGAAAAAGGTTGTTAGATTCACGGGCCACAGTCGGAAATCAGTCGCGATGGTGGTGGTACGGGTGCTACTCACAATGAAGCGTTGATAGAACTTGCGCTTGTAGTGGTCGATGACGTCGGATCGGGCGGCCCTGTCCGGCGGGATGAGGACATTGGCCCAGTAGTTCTCCCATCTCGGATCGTTCTCGTAGTCGTACGCTGCCGCGGCGATCCTCTTTATCTTCTGGGGGTCTTCCGCTCCATCGTCCCCCATCTTACCCTCTCCCTTCCTGCTCCTTCCCCCTCCAGAACCCCTCGGATCAGGTAGAAGAACACCACCCCCCCTTCACTACGAAAAGAAGAGAGTTGCCGCTGGCGGAAGGATCTGGGGATTTCGACGGCGAACAAGGGAGGTGGGTATGGTTACCGATCAGCCCCAAAGGGAAAAGAAGAAAAAACCCGTTTCACCGCATTACCCCGCACGAACAAGGATACAGTCACCGCTTAAATGGCCATGATTCATCCATCACACGAGGAGGTCATCGGACGGACCGTATGCCTCCTATTTATTTAAAAAAGGCTTTTGAATTTTCGTTGACTACGTGGAAAGGCAAGGGGATCCATTAAAAGATCGGCGTTGAATTTCTCAAATGGGGCCCACGCGGATATTTCACCCACCACGTGGCATCATTCCCTCGGGACAAATTATTTTTTTTACTATTTTATAAAAATAGGAATATTTTACTCCCATATATGAATATATTTAATTTTAAAAAAATATTTAAGATGCTCAAAGTAGTTTGAATATATTTTTAAATATTAAATTGAAATTTATTTATTTTGACTTTTTGCGGGCCCCACAGAAATAGCCATATTCCAGACTTCTCCTTGAGCGGGATCCCTGGAGCTGTTCTTCAAGTCGGCATCTAATAAACCCTCAATAAAAGAAACTCCTTGTAAAAACCCCTGAACTTCTGATAACTGAAAAGATGTCCAAGAAAGTTAAATTGTGTAATACTAATAATAATGGGACCCAATAACAACAAATAACAGTAATTTATAAGGGTTTTTTCGTAAAAAAGACATTATTTCTGCCAAAACGTCCCGCCATTCAGCAGGAAAACCCAACTGGTTTTCCTGCTCTTCAGACTCTTGGTCAGGAAGCTTTTGACGAAATTCTCTGAAACAATCCCGATAATAAACACCCAGGAAAAAAAATTAAAAAAAATCAAGAACACTAACCCTGGCAGGAAAAAAATTGAGTTACAGAGGATGGTTTTGAGTGAGCCGAGGTCATCCCAATGGAAGAAGAAGAAGAAGAAAAATCTGAATTCCACCCTAATGGCAGAGGTCAGAGAAAGATTATCCTTTTTAGGGAAAGAATATACCTCATGAGAGAGAAGACTAGGTACAAAAAGAATCTATCTCTTCAACTCTTCCAGCTGGTCTGGCTGAAATCGGTGCTGTAGTTTTGATTCCCAAAGGCCATCCTCTGAAACAGTCTGATCTCCTCTGACTGCTGTGCCGTGTGGAACAGCTCGCTTTCCCCCGGTTTCATGCCGTTGTGTAGATCGTCGGAGTTGCCTATACCATCTAGAGCTCTCACCACCTAAAATTAAAAAAAAAAGAAAAGCCCGAGTGAGAGGACGAAGGTTGGAGCTTTTCTGACCAAGATGATGTCTGATTAATTCAGCATGAAGTAGCTGGAACAGTCCTCCGCCCCCCCCTCCCCATTGGGAAATAAATGAACAGATAAATAAAATAATTATCTCGAGCTCTCAGTACCTCAAATGGAAAATAGATAAATAAATAAACCAATAAACCCACAAGAACATCCATTTAATGTCGAAGTAATTTGCTCGAGTATTCCACTCTGGGGGAAAAAAAAAGTTGGAATATCAAGATTATTCTTGGACTTAGTGGACGTGATAGAACCATCCCATGATTGGAGAAGCAAAATATGCATCAATTCTAACGATTTAGTGCCACAAAAAAATTAAATTGAAACGCAAAAGAAAAGATTCTCGATCCGAGAAAAGTCCATTACCTGGCTCATGCGAGGCCTCATTGCTGCTGAATGCCGCACACAAGCAGCTGCAACTTCAATCATCCGGAACATTTCAATTTCATTGTAGCTCTTTCCAAGCCTTGGGTCCAGTAACTCGTCAAAGACTCCAGTTTCAAGCGCATGAAACATTAGCGGCCGGGCCTGAAAAGCCAATGATTTTTGTTGTTTTTGAAAATCCCATAAAGTATTTAGATATGGTGCAATAAATAAATAAAATATCTCTGATATGGTCGCACAAGCAGGAAACCTATCATTTTCTGATGGTTAAGTTATTTTCTATAATTGCAGAAAAATAGAATGCATAGGGTTGACTTTTTGTAGCTTACCCATTCGACCAGACTCTCATCGCCGAGGGGCTGAGACACATCGACAGGCTTGCGACCAGTGATAAGCTCCAGAAGAACTACCCCAAAAGAGTAAACATCTGACTTATCGGTCAACTTGCCACTCGACGCATACTCTGGTGCCAAGTAGCTGCCAGGCCAAATATAGCATCAGATGTCTAATGCGTACTCCATCACAATCCAAAATGTTTATTAAAATAAAAAGAGGGGGGGGGGGGGGGGGCTCTATACCCAAATGTTCCCATCACACGCGTGGTCACATGTGTGTAGGCATCCATAGCCAACTTTGCAAGACCAAAGTCAGACACCTGAAATTAAAAAGAAAAAAAATCCTAAATAATATTAATTTTCTATCCCAAGAAATATTAGCTTTGTAGGATTTATAACACTGCGTGGAGAAAGTGGATCACCTGAGCTTCAAAGTTGTAGTCTAATAAGATATTTGAGGATTTTATGTCCCTATGGATAATCCGAGGATGACCTGGAAAATAGAGAAATATCAGGTAAATCACAAAATCAGAAATACTTAGTGAGGCCATATGATCTAACATCAAGCAATAAGAAGGCTTACAATCCTCATGTAGGTACGCTATTCCACGAGCTGCTCCTGAAGCTACTTTGAGCCTTGTCGCCCAGTCCATGACCGGCCTGCCCGGCCCTGAAAAAAGAAAGCTCATTCTTATCGAATTCAACAGAGAAAGTTTGTAATCCACAGTATTTTCTCCCTTTAGTCAACGCAGAAACCCGACTCCTGAAGCTACCAAATGAGAAAAGAGATCTAAATCAAGGACTACTAACACACCATGGAGATGATAATTAAGCGTCTTATCTGGCACATAATTGGAAACCAAATTCCAGATGCTGGATAATTAATGACCAAAAAGGAAAAAAAATCTGAAGCAAGGAGCGATAATACACTGTGGGCATGATAATCAAGTGCTTTATTCGGCACATAATTGGAAACCCAATTCCAGATGCTGGAGAATTAATGACCCAAAAAAAAAAAAACTGAAGCAAGGAGCGATAATTCACCATGGGCATGATAATAAATTGTCTTATCCGGCACATAATTGAAAACCCAATTCCAGAAGCTGGAATTATAACTCACCGTGGAGATGATAACTAAGCGTATTATTTGGCACATAATCATAGATGAGCAGTCTTTGATTCTCTGAGATGCAGTAGCCCACCAGGGAAACCAGATGGCGATGATGTATCCGGCTGATAGACTCGAGCTCAGCCCTGAACTCTCGCTCCCCCTGCCCACCGCCAGCCTTGAGTTGCTTCACAGCCACCACTCTTCCATCAGGCAATCTTCCTTTGTACACACAGCCGAACCCACCTTCACCCAGCAGATTCTGCCTTGAGAACCCATCGGTGGCCAGTGACAGCTCTTCATAGCTGAACAGGGGCTTGGAACGGCCCAGCCCCCGATCGGGGGGAGAGTATGGTAATGTGGCGTTGCTCGAGCTGTCTCTTAGCTCAGACGTGTGGCTTCTTGAGTATGGCGGCTCTGACGGTAGAGGAGTAGAGTCAGCTCAAGAAACGCAGCAATTTGATTTACGCTACCGCTTTCCAGATTCAAAATCTGGGTTTCTCTGAGAAAAATTGGAAAAAGATTGCCACTTTATTCTTTTTATTTTTGCTAGGGAGTGATGAATACCTGACGCTTGAGACGACTGAGCTGGGGAGGGCAAGACACTGCCGTAGCCTTGAGAGAACCCTTGCGTCTTCTTCCTCCTCTTCCTCAAGGCCCACAGGAGTATCCCCAGTAAGCTGATCGCAACAAGGCTTGTTACGATGGCGATTCCTGCTATAGCTCCTGTGCTGATCTCTCCGCCTCCAGCGGAGTCCATCGTCTGTGGTACTCCAGGGCTCGTGGTAGAGTTGGTTGTGGTGGGGGAATTGGAGCCACCTGAGGGTGTGACCGGTGGCGGAAATGTGAGAACTGGAGGCGACGATGGGGGTGAAGGGGTTGAGGAGTTGGTGGGACTGGAGACCGGAGGCGGCGCAGAAGATGGTGTTCTTAAAGGAGGAGGAGAAGCGGCAGGTCCCTGAGTGTCGTTGGTCGGAGATGGTGGCGGTGGTGGGGAAGAAGAGGGTTGAGCGTCTGGCGGAGGGGAAAGGACAGGTGACGGCGGCGGACGCGGTGATGGGGTCCGTCTCGGAGGTGGCGGCGGGGCCGCCGCCGGCGACACGGGCAGCGCCGGTGGAGGTGGGACGATAGAGGGGGATGGGGGAGCCGCTGAGGGGGTAGTAGGCGAAGGTGGAGGTGGGCTCGGAGGCAGCGGAGGGGAAGGTGGAGGTGGGCTCGGAGACAGCGGAGGGGAAGGTGGTGGCGCAGAGGTAGGAATGGGCGGCGGTGGGGGAGAACTTGGAGGTATAGAAGGGGGAGTAACAGGCGGCGGTGGGGGAGTTGCAGAGGAGGGAGGTGAAGAAGGGGGAGTTTCGGTCGGTGATGGGGGTGTAGAAGGAGGGGTAATGGGCGATGGTGGGATTGGGGACGTTGGCGGATCAGAAGGAGGGGAGGGCGATGGGACGACCGGAGGGGAACCAGATGGTGCTGCCATTGCCGCCAGATTTCAGCTCCTTCACCTCGTCTCAGAACGCACGGTCAGCATCCAGATTCTGCTGAATCACACTTCAAGGTCGTCCCAACTCGCTGCAACTCTCTTCTCCGGGAGGATTTCAACTTGATCTGAAGAACCTAATGGCAGCGAGGTCAGTAAGACGATGACCTGCCCTAGCCCACTACATCATCAGCGAGAACAAGGAAACCGGGTGAGAAGAAGGAAATATCTCCTGACTAGAAGAGCAGATCTCCCAGCTAGAAACAATGGCGCCGCAGACCCTGCTTTGACGGACAGCCCAAAAAGGCGCAGGCAGCAGCGGAAGCTCGAGTCACCGCCGATATCGCATCATCCCAAATAAACCCCACTCCGGAATCTCGAATATTCAAAGACCCACATCACGAAATTCTCAAGAATGCTACCAGCCGGCGCTACAAGACCGCCAAGAACGACAGTTCTGAGAAACTCCCACCGCCAAAATGCAGAGGGAGGGCGATTTCCGGCCGTCTCCACACCTCGCCTCTTGCTCCACCGCCTCGGAAGACTCCCCCTCTCTGGGAACGTGAGAAACAACTTACAGAACCTCTTCCTTCCTCCCTCCTCCCGCCTCCATTTTCAAGCTCGATGGAGACGGGGAGGGTGATCGTACCCGAGGCTCGGTATTGGCACACCGACGGTCTACGCGCTCTATCCTCTGTACTTCTCTCGTTATTTTACTTCTCGCTTTCAGGCCACGTCCCATAAGATCGCTCCCACCCAAGGCCGGCGCGCGGGTCCGCCGTCGGCAGTGGCCGAAGGCTTACTAGAATGAAGCCTCCCCCAGTCAACCCTTTCATCGTCATCCCCTTGACGGCGGCCAGGGCAGCTCTCCCCGGCGACGACCTCTTCCCAGGTAGAAGAAGCGTGCGGAAGATTTGGCAAAGAAATGGGTTTTATTTTTCATACCATGGCGATCGAATCAGACCACCCAACTCGGATTTCCCTGGTTACACGACGAGATGTTGAGAGGACTTCAACCTGCTCACAGGCCTTCCCACGCAGACGTTCTCTGGTTGCTATCACGTCCGAGGGGGAAGAAATTAGCTGGTAGTTCAGAGTCTCGGGTAGCGGGGCGTGGTTTCCCCAAGCCGAAGTAATTGATAAGACACGCCTTATAAGTCAAACTTTTTTAAATATACACTTACATATCTTCTAAATTGTTTAGTGCATGGGTGAGAGGGTAATTGAAAATATTCAACGGTAGAGACGTAAATATTGAATATATGAAATTATTAAAACCTAATTTCTGAAATATTCTAAGAAAAATAAGGCACCAATCTGGATTTTGAAATATCCTCAGTGATCCTCTCTCTCCCTTCCCCCCCCTCACCTTCCACTCCCCTTCTCCCTCCTCCCCCCCTGACAGAGCAGACCCCTGCCCCCCCTTCTCTCTGTCGCTTGCTCGCTCTCAGTATATATATATATATAGTCAATCCGCGTGGGCAAGGTCAGAATTTGCTGCTGTCTCTCTGTCTCTGTCTCTGTCTCTCTCTCTCTCTCTCTCTCTCTCTCTCTCTCTCTGTAAACGGCTGACCAGGAGGGAGGGTAAGAAAACGCGTGTACAGTAGTGTACGTATCGGATTGCCCGAGAACGACGCAGGAATGTGGTTCGGAACGGAGATTCCCCCTCCATCTGCCGAAAACATGACTCGGTCGGCCGGGGAAAACGCGTACCTTCCCCCCCCCCCCCCGGCCCTTCAATATCCGCCGTCAGCCCTTCCTCTCCCGACAAACGCCTAGAGCGAGAGAGAGAGAGAGAGAGAGAGAGAGAGAGAGAGAGAGAGAGAGAGAGAGAGAGGCCTTAACTCGGGGGACTTGTTAGGCTGTTAGATTTTCAGAAATCTGGGCCCTTCGGAAAACCATGAATTTAGGGAAAAACCCAAAAATGAAATGATCTACAGTGAACTCCCCAGTTGACCAGCCCGCAGAAGCCTGGGTTTATATTGACTTTTATCCGAGTAAGGTCATCACACATTCAAATACCCATTCAAAGTATTCCGAGGGTTGAAAATAAAAAAAAAAGCCATATAACATTGGGTATATGTCCTAAATTATCTCCTATATTTAAGGCTTTTTTTCAAACCGGAGAACAAATTATCAAGCATGGATTTAATTTTGGGACCTCGAAAAGCCACGACTTGGGAAAAAACCCCGAATTTTGCAAAACTGCTTGAAACAGCTCACCATGAGCTGAATTTTGTCGGATAAACATTCCAATCTACTCCTCTCTCAGTTGACCAAAGTCATCGTTTTCAATCTACGGTGCACAATTACTGACCTTAAAAATTAGCTACAGGAAAATGACAACAGTCACGAGGGTCTCTTTAATCAGGTCAAGTCGGGACGAGGTTGCTTTCATATTGTTCAAAGATGGGATTTTTTTTGTACCTATTCAAATTATTTCCAGGGTTGACAACTAAACAGTAGACCCATATAATATTCATCTACATCTTTTTGGTCAATAAACTACGGCTGAAAGAAAGTGAAATACCAAACTTTCTCTGATTCAGGGTTTTTTTTTTTTCTCTATCTGGAGATCCAGTTCAAACTTTTCTAGGGTTAAGAACCAAAAAAACCCATTGATTTTGGGTATATGTTCTGAATTTCTTTCTACATTTGTTTAGGAAAGGAATTACAGATGCAAGAAAGTTATTACTCAAAAGTTTCAAGCAGTTTGTCTGATTTGAGGTCGTATTCTAACTGTGGATCCAACTAGGACTGTAGAGGAGTTACCTCTCCGATTAGTCAGTCTCTGGTCTTAGACATCCAGCTCCATCAAATAACCGCAGGAGTTGACCTTGCTTAGTTGCTCCCCAAAGTCAAGTTCCTTCTGGAGACTACCTCTGCTGCCCAGCTCCTCCCAACCTCAGTCTGGAACTTGCCTGTAATTTATTACATCAACATTCTCATTAAGGGAACGAATCACTAACATAGCCTCGAAATAATTAGCATTATTTTTTACGGCATGAACTAAAGCAACTGAAATAAGCTTATCGTGCTGCGGGGAAGGGAAGCATCCACAGAAATAAGCTACGAAATAATTTATAAACATCAGTTTGTAATATATGCAATGTCGATTTACCTGCTGTAGAAAGGAAGAACTCATCCAAAACCTTTCCATGTTCTGCAAACAGCAAGAAAAAAAAAATCATATAAAAGAGATTTCACGGTTACCGAACAGATTGTTGACCTGTGTCCATCAACAGTTCCTCTCTCTCTCTCTCTCTCTCTCTCTCTCTCTCTCTCTCTCTCTCTCTGTTGCAGGTAATCAGCAAAGTGGGATTTCGAAACTATCAACGAATTGTACACAATTGGGGAAGCAAATTATGCTACGCTTATCAAGTTACTCAAAGAAGGGATAGATCCTCAGAAATTGAGTTCTTTAGCATGCAATGCCAAGAAGAATAAGGAAATTTAAACACATTTTTGGACAGAAATCCATACCCATTTCATATTCCAAGGCTTGAAGAATCATTTCCACCTAGTTTCAATGATCACTCATTAATATTGAAAAGTTAAAAAATATTGCACGCTCAAGATGTCAGAAAAAGAAGCACAGGGCACATGGCATGTTACAGGTTGCGGCAGGTTTTCACAATATATGCATCAAACATCTAATCCCAGAGCACATAGCAGAAAAGCGGTGATGGACAAAGTACTAGAGCATTTTACACAATGGAAAAGGGCGCTTTCAGCAACGCCCAAGGTAGAAGAGTTGATGAGAATTCCTTGGTGCTCACTAACAGCGTGTGGCTATGGAAGAAACAGCTAGATAGGATTTTCTCTAATATTTATCCCATCATGAAAAGCATAATGCAACGTATCTAGGGCCACTATCTGTGGATGATACCAGAGTTGTCCATCGGCATGACGCCAATGGATATCCTGTGATCTATGATAGGGGAAAAACCTTTTTCCCTCCATAACTCTTGAACCTCTCTCTCTCTCTCTCCTCTCTCTCTCTCATCTTATCTTATCGTGATACTACAAAAAGAGTGCGAAAATATGCCAATTTGCGGTCTGCTACCACACCTAGCCAAAATCGCTTTTCTATGTTTGACCCAATTCATTCAACATATACAGCATCAGACTTATCTCCAGTCTATGGAAACCATATAAATACGGAATGAAAGCGACAAGCCAGAACTATTATCCATAGAACTAGACAGGAGTCAAAGGGTATCAATGTTTGTATTTGGCGCTCGGAATCAGTTGGACAGAATACTTGGGAAGAAAAATAATAATACTTGTTATAATATATCGTTATTAAGGCACAAGATAAAAAGTGTACCTTGTCAAAATCCTTCACCAGGTTAGCCTCTATTGAAGAGTTATTCTCATATTCTGCCCAGAGTTCTTTTATTTCATCAGCTGCAGATGCACAATAACAGTGTTCTAAAACAAGCATCACAATTAAAAGAGGTAAAAGAGGGCAATCAATGAGTACCTCTAAGTCCTCCACCAAGAACTTTACACATTTCATCCAGAGCTGCTTTCTCAAGCCTGCTCTTTTCCGCTTTTGGCACGTTATCCGAGGGTGTGATGTCTCCAACTATTGCTATGAAGACCAGAAAATTACACACAAAAGAAGTGCATTAGACAAGGATACAATAATTAAACCCTGTAATACGTAATAGAAAGGGAAAATCTCAGACAGATGATCGATCAAATTGAACTCATCTTGTCACTGATTTAGACAAAAAAAAAGTTCACATTGCCTGATTCAAAACTAAATCATTTGAAAAAACACGGTACATGAATTTTTGCCAAATACCTTCTGCAATGTCATGCACAATTGCAATTTTTATACACCTATTTAAAAAGAAAAGGCAATTCTTGTCAGATATCAGTAACATGAAAATAACGGGGAACAAATAAGCTACTTTACAGATGAGTGTAACATCAAATAAGACATCCTCACCAGGCAGTGTCCAATTATATCGTTCATTCTTCCGGCCAACAATAAGACATATCACCTGGGTTGCAGTTATTATCATATCCAATAAGCATTGATAATCACTCGACTCGTGCCAATTTCAGACACATTGAACATCGGCCTCTTTCTCGTTGCCCATGACTTCTATTTCTTCTTAATGCTAAAAGAAGGTTTGTAGCATGCACAAATTTTGGAGGCAGGTAATTATTTTCATTACTATACCTGATCATCTATTTTTATTTTTCAAGCAAGGCTGCTATGGATGAGGAGAACAGGGAACTCCTGTCCAAATATATAAAGAATAAATTTAGGACTCCTGTCCCAAATTTAAGTCATACGACATTATAAAAATTTTGGTAAATTTAAAAATACACCATATTAAAATCATAACATTGATGTCAATTTAATGATGTTAATATCATATTTATTTAATCAAATAATACCCTTTAAAATGATACATATATATATATTGATAAATTACAAATGACTCATAAGCAGACGATGCTTTGTCATGTATTTGGGCCAGCTGGATGCATTGCATTGCTTAATTAAATTGCCTGACCATACAACAGAACTCATGTTGTAATTATCTGTTCTGTATTCAACATAGATAGGCACAGACTCGGTGGAACTTGCCTAGGCAGTTTGGAAACACCTTTGTTGCTTTCACAAGGCCTTAAAACATGTTTTGAAAATATAAAGAAGAATAATGATTCAGGCTTGGCTCAAGTCCCTGAAGTGGGATTACAGAATAGTCCACATAAACCTCAATAGACTTTCCTTCTTCCCATACTTATCACAATATACCAAAACTCCAATTATGATGCCGTTTTTACTCTCAAGGACACTACATATTGCTCCTGCTTTAATTCATTACAGTTTATGCTGTATAGAGTTTTCGGAAATTAGTTCACAGCAGTCACTAGTCAGAAGAAAAAACTTAACCCAAAAGGTTGATTTCAAACCATTAGTGCTCATTTGAGTAAAATTCGAACAACTGACATACCTAACCAGCAAGTTTTAGCAACATAAACTTGAATGTTCATAATACAAAGCATCATATACTTAAAAAGTAATCCCTAAGTTCAAGATTCATGGACATGATTTAAAGCCTCACAAAATTATTTGTAGAATATGAAATTAAAGAGTAATCAATTACTAAATAAGCAAAAGTGAGTTACACACAATTTCCAAAAAAAATGCAAAACTATCCTAAAGATAAAAGAGTTCATGGGAGATGTCAAAAAGACATAGATCCATGGCGCAATACACTTTTTTCATGCCTAACCTTTCTCTGTTTACTCCTGGTAGATCACCAGAGATTAAAGCCATTATTGCCATGCGATACATATGATCAGCAATAGATTCAGGTTCCCTTATTCCATGGTTGATCCACCCCTTTCTTTTTGTAGTCTGAAGATAAACATTACAATAAAAATTAGAAGAAAACTTTAAATAAATGACAAGACATCTGATTTAAAAAGTACATTTTGAAAACCAAAAATCCATTCCAAAGAGGTTAAAAAGGTAAGAGAAAGATACAAGTTCACTATGTAGAACGGTGGCAAAAAAAGAGAAAAAAACATATTTAAAATTCCTGATGAAAATCTTCTGTGAATAATAACTTATTAATTTTCTTGTATACTGTCACTTTTCAACTTCTAAAATATAAACATAAATATATAGATACATGCATATATGATTGCATGACATTGAAAAGGACCTCGGCGTGATGAGTAAGGTGTAACAGTGGTTTCCTCAACTGCATAAGACTGGGTTATGACAATATGGGATTAATGATTTTCTATCATGATGACATCTCCACACCATTATAATCTACCTTGATATTTTAGTTCAAACCTATCGTCAATAATCCACATAATAAAAAATAGTATCGATTACTTTTTCATAAGATTTATCATAACCATAAATACCCTTTAGGAATGTACAAGTTAGTATTACTATGTCAACATTTAGCGTCGTTAGACTAGGTTCCCAACGGGGTTTATAAGACGACAAAAAAGACACCGGAAAAAAATAAAGCTCTCCTCTTCGCAATCAGATTTCGAAATTAGATAGGAACAGCGGATAACATATTAAAACTGAAAAAGATCAGTACATCAATACATTCCCATCCCTGGATTATTAGAACGTATCAGAGCCGTTATATCACAATGAGGGAATATGACAGAGTGAGCAGATCACGTCAGGGCCTACCTACCTTGAGACTTCTGCACAGAGTGAGGAAATCAATAGCCAACGACGTCGGCGACGAAGGCGCCGGCGCCTCCTCGGATCCGTACGCTCCTGAGGACTCGCCAGAGACGTGCTGATTGCCAGCGCCGACGGCTCGGAGGCCGATCAACCTCGAAACGTCCCGACGGGGCGCGACCTCCACCGAGATCGCAGCCTGACTCTCCGGCCTCAAGGTGGAGAAGAGCCGGCGAGGAGCGCGGCACGGACACAGCGATCTCACCGCCATCGCCCCCCCTCGTGTGCCCGTCTACCTACGTCCTCCGACGATCCCCTCTAACTCCAGCGCCGCCCACTAGGTGGTGAAGAGGCGATTGCCACATTTGGAATGCCGACAAGCCCACACCTGTAAACAAGGACGTTGCCTCGCAGCGAAGAGAGAGGGGGAGAGAGAGAGAGAGAGAGAGAGAGAGAGAGAGAGAGAGAGAGAGGGATCCAACGGTAGAGATGAGCCCTCCTCCTCAGGTGGTATCCAACGGTTGAGCACCGAATCCCGCACGACCATCGGACTGAGAGATATTGGGCTTTATAACGAGGCCCAAGTAGAAGAAAACAGCCCGTTGGACTGGGGATTTTAGGAAAATGTAAATTAAATTAATTTTTCGGTAAATCGAAGTGGATAACAGAACGGAAACGTTGTAGACTGAGCGCAGCGCTGCTATCTCTCGCAGCGGCCATGGCGAGCGCCACCGCCAGCGGCCTTCGCCGCCAACCCGCCACCGGCCCTCTCCCCGCTGCCCCTGTCCTCCACCGGAAATTGGGGGGGAGGAGGATCGTCCAGTTCACGAGAGGTAGGAGGAGGTGGGATTACGGCGGCAGGGGCGGTGGATCGGGGCTGAGAGTCTCTGCGTACATGGAGAGGAACTCCAGTTCGCTGGGTGGCCTGGTGAGCAAGGTGATTGGCTCGCTCCCGGTTGTTGGCCTCGTTGTCCGAATACTCAGCGATGAAGGCGGAGTCGGGGACGACATCGTGGACTTCGCCGAATTTCGGCGGCGGGTAGGCAAGAAGTGCAGTGTCAACGAATCCCGTGCCTTCTATGAGTTCCAGGAGCGACGAGGCCGGGTAATCACCTTCTCTCTGTTGTTTCCTTTCTTCCTTCCTTCATTCCTGTTAGAAAGTGTCCTTCCTGGATCCTCGAGGATTGCAGTTTGCAGCTAACTATTTGCAGAGTTCTTTCGTCCTGTCTGGCACTGGCGATGACAAAACCAGTGCTGATTCGAATGGCAGCCAGCATAAAGTTAAGATGGTCAAATCTTCGAGTCGATCGATTTAGTATGGGACGGTGGTCTCTTTTTCATCCATCCGCCAGTTCCTCGATGCGCACTAAATCACTGAGATATAGATAGACACTGTTAGTAGCACCTTCTCACGCTTAGTGGCATGGAAAGAATCGTGACACTTGTCCACATGAGTACACAGGGCTCACCGTTCTAGCAGGTGTGCCAGAGTAGCTAGTCCACAGAAACGAGTAGGATTTCGGGTGAACAATGCTTGGTAGATGAGGTTCCACCTGTTTATGTCTCCCTTCGGATATGCATTATAAAATGATCTCCGTATCTGGAAGGAAAATTTGTTCTAAATTTTTTACTGGGGTCTTGGCAGGGAAAACTATTATTTTGGCGATTGTATGTGAGAAAGTGAAGTCTGATCCTCTGTTTCAGGCAAATCTTGTGCTGCAGCACATATGCAAGAAACTCCGCGTAGAACTGTAGCAATGCACCGAATCATATGCTCTCACTGGTTTAGTTAGAGCTTAACCAGTGATTTGGCGAAAGCTGGTTTAGGTAGAGCTTAGCCAACCATGGTCCAGAAAGATAAAAGAAGAAATTGATGGGTATGCAAAAATCAGGAAAATATGGGAAACTGGTGAAATTAAAATTACATAGTATTAAAGATTTAATTGTTCTTGATAATATCAGGCTGAACATCCATGATTTTCATGTTGAGCTGGCCTTAGAGCTGTCTGCAGGTAAACTGGGCTAGAAATTTGGAGAGGCCCAACATGGACAAATCTATTCCGAGCTTCCTGAATCTGCCTAATTCGGCCTGGTTTTAATAGGCCCAAAATTGGGACAAATTAATTTTTTTCTCATGACGGAATAATGATTCAATGCACAATGGGTTGACCATTTTGCTAAGACCAAGCCTGTCTCAGTTCCGTTCAGTATTCTTTTCCGTGGTGTTAATAGGGCGTTGGAGGCGTCATGATCCCCAGGTTTTGTATTGGTTTTTTATCAAGATTTTTTTTTTTTCATGATTTGGAAGTTGGAAGACTCGAAGTTTGTTAGATTGATTGCTTACACCCGATCGGCTGTGAACTAGATGCATCCTTGACTTTATTGTTTCAAGAAACTGATAGCCAATAGTGTCCGCAGCAGGAGAGCTTCCTCTGAACCATGCCAAATGAAAGTTGACCAGAAGACCTGTATCTAGACTAGCAAATGCTGGCATTTATGGAATTCTTATAAGATCATGAGCGAGGATCCATATTATATACTTTCCAATTAATTTATTGAAGTTATTCATTTCTAACATGTTTTTCTTACGAAATACATACCTCGAGCCGGAAAGGAATATCTTAGAATGAGTGGAGGGCCGATTTAAGGTTGAAAGTCTTCTCCAAAGTCAAAACACAGATAGCACTCGCAAAACTGTTTGTAAACCCTCCCTAGGTTTATAATTCTATGTAGCTTTTTGTTTGTCACTCTCCAACAGGAGGCGAGGATTCAGCCAGACCCAGAACGATGAATATAAATTTATCGTTAATTCAATCAAATTATTTGTATAGTTTCTCTATTATTTTCATTCGTGATAGTTCTGGACCGCAAACATTTGTAATTATCACTAGAATAAAATCATTAAATTTATTTTATGCATATTTTATTCTAAAATGCTTTGAAAATATGATCAAAGGGCCCATAACTTGGGCCTAACCTGTGTTGTTCCTCTTTTCAGGCTGCAGATCCATTGTACGTTCTCATGTGCTGCTGGTTGGCCGCTGTAGGAGCTGGTCTTTTGAAATCCGAGGAGATTCTTGAGGGGGTGGCAAGGCTTCGTCTCTCCAACGACATTGAGTTCGAGGAGCAGAACTTCATCGCCATTATGACTGCCGCAAAAGAGGTCAGTGGCTGCCGTAGATGTTCTGAACCGCTTTGAACCAGAGTAGCCGCCACTCGTTTATATCACTCCAACTACACCAAACCAGTAGAGAACAGCAGAGACACCTAGAGAAAGCTACTCCCTTTGACCGGTCACTGTCTTGGTTTTTTTTTTTTTTTCATAAAATCTTCTCAATAATCGATAGATTACCGTGTATTTTTTCCCCAAAAACTATTTAATTTTCCAATACCCTTCAGATCTTGACCCTGAAATGGCTTGCCACTGTTAAAAGCAGTGTAGTTCGATCTTGTCTTGACTTTAGGAAAAATCATTGGTTTTAGTCAACCAAATGTAGTGATTTTCTTGACCCATCACTTATTGACCCTGGAATTAAAAGCAGTGAATTTTACAGAGAGATGTTCTTTTAAATTGAAAATCTTCCTGGTTGATGATCTTTGTTTACCTTCAGTAAAAATCACTGGATTTACGAAAACGGCACAGTTTCCCCAGCTCCAGTCCCCATGATCACCCCCACCGATAGGTCAACCCCTGCTGCTTCAGCCTTCTAGACCCCATCTCCCTCCCCGTCTGCTGTCATTTTCTCGCTCATGATCCAATGTTAAGCGGATTTACAGAGGCGGGCAAAGTCAAAGGCCACTGCCCCGGAAATCCCCATGGAGATCCGGGCGGAGAAGGCCCTGGAGGCCATCTACGTCTGCTGCTACGGCCAGGACCTCATTGAAGACAAGGAGGAGGTGAGGCTGCTCTCCGTCATGCTCAACGCGGTCTTCCCTTCGATCGGCGAGCGCGAGATTGACCGGATCGTCGCCACCACGGTCAACGAGATCGCCTCAGGAGAGAGGATCCTCTCTCCCCAGCCGACACCGCTCCCCAAGGAGGCGGTGGATGTGCAGATGAAGGACCTCCAGTTCTTGAAGCAGTGGAACGACCAGTCAGGCTGACGTCACCCGGGGCGGCCTGTAAAGATGTCGTCTTTTGATGGGAAAATCGTTGACCCAGCTGTTGATTAGAACATTAGAGTGAGAATCTCCGCATTTTTGGGGGCAAAAAAAGATCTTGGCTCGTCCGATCTCTTCGAATGCGCCGTCTTTTGTGAACCCGAGTGCATGCTTATCTTCTAGTCATATGAAGGTAAGAAAGAGAGAGAGAGAGAGAGAGAGAGAGAGAGAGAGAGAGAGAGAGAGAGGAGTGCTGTTTAACGACTCTAAAAGGTCAGCTGCATTCGGACAAAATCTGGGCGTTGACCATTAATCGTAAACCCAGTTGACAATTAGGACATAGAGTGAGAATCTGCCATGTATGGGGGGAAAAACGGATCTTGGGTCTTCCGATCCCTTTGAATGCACCGTCTTGATGGTCTTATTTTAGGAACCCGATAGCATGTTTATCTTCTATTCATAAAAAGGGGAGAGAGAGAGAGAGAGAGAGAGAGAGAGAGAGAACGCCTCCAGGGGGACAGCTGTACTGGGGCAAAATCTTGGACCTTGACAAAGTTCCTTAATCCTGTTAGACTATTTCTCATCTTAATCCGATTATAAATCAATAATATATATGAGTGTTCCCGCTCCCCTGCCAGCAAATCCCAACCGTCTCCCCCACGCGTCGTCGTCGCGCAGACCTTCGTCGCAGGGAAGATGAGTACGGCCGGCGCTGTACTGTTTTCTTTACAAATTCCATACTAGGATGAAGGACGCTCTTTCTTCCATTTTATCAATGATATCCGACGCCCGTGAAACTCTTTCATTTCATGGAAGTGCATTCTTATTCTTAGCAAATAGCATTCTCCTGGTTTGATTCATCGTCCTTCTTCTCCCCCACCGCACCTGTAATCTCTCTCTGTTGTCCCCTCGTCCTCGGCCGCCACCGCCACCACGGACGGGCTGCACGGACTATGGCGTTGTCGGCCGCAACAGAGCAGTAAGGAGGAGACAACCTCATCCGTCTCGGAATGGATGCGATGAATGCTCTAACATTTCTTGTTGGGAAGATTATCCCAGCCTCCAAGGGGGGTGATAGACGAACACAGCTTCCTTTTGTTCACAGAGCAGGAAGCATCCGGTCAAGTGGCGAACGGGAGTGTTACTGTGGTAACGATGTCCGGAGACCGCATGAAATGTTTTTTACTTATTAGAATCGTTGTTTTTTGATATTTTCTGATTATTCTGTGATCTTGCTGGCTTTTGTTGCATTAGTTGAACAGACGGGTGACGATCCGTAGCTCTGGCATGAATTCATCAGGAAATCTGCGAAGAAAGACTATAGTACAGTAATCACCAAATCGGTTGGTTGTCGATGAGGCTGTGAACGACGACAACTCGATCGTCTCGATGAATCCCGCAGCCACGGAGGAACTTCATTTTTTTCGAGGAGACACAGTCATCGTCAAGGTTTTATTCTTCTAGAGATCAAACACACACTCCCCTTCCATTTTGAATGAATACATATTTTCTAATCCAGGGGAAGAAACGGAGGGACACAATCTGTATTGCGCCGGCCGACGAACTCTGCGAGGAGTCCAAATCCGGATGAACAAAGTGGTGCGTGCCAATTTGAGAGTACGCCTCGGGGACATTGTCGGGTTCCATCAGTGTCCCGATGTGAAATACGGAAGACGGATTCACGTCCTTCCAATCGACGACACAGTCGAGGGCATCACCGGCAACCATTTTGATTCGTACCTGAGACGTGAGAATCACGACCCGTCCCATTTCCCGTGGATCATTTGCTTCATCTTCTTCTCCCAATTTTCTTTTTCCGTATCAAAATACTCCTGATCAAAGTCCCCATGGTTCAGCAGCGTATTTCCAGGGCTCCTATCGGCCTGTAAGAAGCGGCGACCACTTCCTGGTGAGGGGGGGAATGAGAAGCGTCGAATTCAAAGTAATGGAGACAGATCCTAGATTGCTGCATTGTTGCGCCAGACACAGATATTTTGCGATGGGGAACCCATCAAACGTGAGGACGAAGAGAGATCGAACGAGATTGGGTATGACGATGTTGGCGGCGTCAGGAAACAAATGGCACAGATTCGGGAGCTTGGGGAGCTTCCGCTCAGGCACCCGCAGCTTTTCAAATGCATAGGCGTTCGGCCCCGAAAGGGCATCTTGCTGTACGGGCCTCCAGGTTCAGGGAAGACCCTGATAGCAAGGTCAGTACCTAATGAGACCGGTGTGTTCTTTTTCTTGATCAATGGACCTGAAATAATGTCAAAGATGGCTGGGGAAAGTGAGAGCAACCTGAGGAAGGCTTTTGAAGAGGCTGAAAGAAATGCTCCCTCCATCATCTTCATAGATGAGTTGGATTCCATCGCGCCGAAGAGGGAAAAGACGCACGGTGAAGGCGAAAGGCGCATTGTCTACCAGCTTTTGGCTCTGATGCACGGCCTGAAGACTCGTGCCCATGTGATTGTCATCGGGGCCATGAACAGACCGAACAGCATCGATCCAGAACTAAGAAGATTTGGGAGATTTGATCGGGAGATCGATATCGGTGTTCCTGATGAAGTTGGGAGGCTTGAGATACTTCGCATCCATTTGTAGGATATGAAACTTTCCGAAGACGTAAGGAATTATTCTCTTCGCTTTATTTCTCTGTTTGGTCTATCTGAGCACGTATATCGCTCTCGATGTAGGTCAACCTTGAACGAGTTTCTAGAGATACTCACGGGTATGTTGGCGCGGATCTTGCTGCTCTTTTCACCGAGTCTGCGCTCCAATGCATCAGGGAGAAAATGGATGTTATTGACTTGGAAGATGAAACAATTGATGCTGAAATTCTCAGCTCCATGGTCGTGACAAATGAGCACTTCCAGACGGCACTGGGATCTTCAAACCCATCTGCATTACGGGAAACGGTACCCTTTGAATCAAAGAGTTGCTTCACAGCGTGTTTTGGAATCGAACTATTTCTTCCCCTGCTTTGATAAAAATGGCGTATGCAACTTCATTTATCGATATAAATGGGTGGAAGAAGAACAAACAGCTAAATCTGTTTCATTCTTTCTTTCTTCAGAAAATCGGAAACGTCTCTCGTAGACATCTAGAAAACTAATTCTGATGCTTGTTGTCCACAGCCGTTCGCATGTACTGGAGATAAAAGGAAGAACATACAGTTTCTGATATCCAAACGTGCTTGCTTTTACGAACCGCGACAAAGATTTCGATCCGGCTGTGGTCGATGAGGGTTCTCTCACATGGTTTAATCTTAAATGAGCAGGCTGTGGAGGTGCCCACTGTCTCCTGGGTCGACATCGGTGGACTGGAGAACGTCAAAAGAGAGCTTCAAGAGGTAAATCTCAAGCGGAGGTCTGCAAATCAATCGATTTCGATACAATACCTACATATATATATATATGCTTATGGAAGTTGAGGGCACATATTCCTCTGTTGAAAGTTTTCAATCAGGTCTACAGATAGTGTACTCGATTCATCCTTAGTTCCTTAGAATGTTGTTATTTCTGAAGAATGAGGCTTCATTATTCTTCGAATGTAAACAGCTTTTGATGGTATCGTTAAGAGGACATGAAATCAAATCACTCCCGGATGTGCCCGGAATCTTTTCAACCCAATGATACCCCCACTGACTTGACAAGCGACATCTGTGCTACTGTAGACCGTGCAGTACCCGGTGGAGCATCCTAAGAAGTTTGAGAAATTTGGCTTGTCTCCATCGAAAGGAGTCCTACGGGCTTCCCGGCTGTGGCAAGACCCTTCTCGCCAAGGCCATCGCCAATGAATGCCTAGCGAACTTCATCAGCGTCAAAGGACCCGAGCTGCTGACGATTTGGTTCGGGGAGGGCGAGGCCAACGTCCGGGAGATCTTCGACAGGGCCCGACAGTCAGCTCCGTGCGTGCTTTTCTGGATTCGATTGCGACCAAGGTGCGGAGAACTCCTCCTTCCCAAACTTCCCCTGCTTTATATTTAAAGAATTCGGACCAATTATGCGTCACCTTTTGATGTTTTACGTGATTCTTGAACTGGAAATCGAATTCCTGTAATGGGTTACGTGTGTTTCAGCGAGGAAGCTCCGCCGGAGACGCTGGCGGCGCCGCCGACAGGGTTCTCAACCAGCTGCTGACAGAAATGGACGGCATGTCCGCGGAGAAAACGGTGTTCATCATCGGTGCAACGAACCGGCCGGATATCATAGATCCTGCCTTGTTGAGGCCTGGTCGGCTGGACCAGCTGATCTACATTCCGCTGCCGGACGAGGTCTCCAGGCTTCAAATCTTCAAGGCGTGCTTGCGGAAGTCCCCCGTGTCCAAAGGCGTTGACCTCGCTGTTCTAGCCAGTGACACCAACGGCTTCAGCGAGGCTGACATCACTGAGATTTGTCAACGCGCCTGCAAGTACGCCATCAGGGAGTACATCGAGAAGGTACCTCTGAATTCAATGAGGCCTTTAGATGTAGATTATCTTCTCACTTCTACCTCATCTCATGAGGACGACCGAATCTGATCTTGTTCCTGGTCAACGGCTCCTTTTCCGTTGGTGAGGGAAGTCGAGAGGGAGAGGAGCAGGGTGGAGAGCTCGGAGGTTATGGAAGAAGACCTGGGCGCCGAGATAAAAGGCGCTCACTTCAGGGAGGCCATGAAGTTCGCCCGCAGGAGCGTGAGCGACGCCGACATCAGGAAGTACCAGCTCTTCGCCCAGACCCTGCAGCAGTCTCGTGGCACCGATTCGGAGTTCCGCTTTCCGGAGCGCCGCCGCGAGTACCCAGAACCAGGGATGTCTAATCCCTTATCTTCACCAGCTGCCGGAGGAGAAGGCGACGACGAAGGGCCCTCCCCTCTCTGCAACCACCCGCCGGTGATTGGCCTCTCCAGTAAAAACAGTCGCGGTCTAATCATCCCCTACGGCGGCCCCCACCTGCATTACGTGTTTTCAGTCATGCCTAAGAGAAGACGGCAAGCGGGTCGTCGCCATCTGCATGCATGGCTGCTGGATAGGGGACGAGAGGAAGAGGACGAAGATGAGTATTCTTTATATTCACTATTTCTCTTCTTTTCTTCCAAATTTACAAGCTTCTCCCACGCTGTGGTCTACAAATAAATCAACCCCCCGGAAATAGAAGCACGTACTCCAGCTGCCAAAGACAGAACCCTGAAAAATGTAAGAGAGAGAGAGAGAGAGAGAGAGAGAGAGAGAGAGAGAGAGAGAGAGAGAGAGAGAGTATTATTATCATTAGGAGGGGCAACGGGGGTTTCTGCCAGGGCCACCGTAGTAGAAGAAGTTGCCCCAGACGGAGTTGATGCCGCCGAAGATGTCGTAGCAGCGGGGATGATCGGCGAGGAGGCGGAGATTGGGGGGAGGGACGAGGTTGTTGTCCCAGTCCACCACCTGCAGGTTCCTGAAGTAGGAGGCCCTCGCGAAGCCCTCGCCGGCGAAGTGGCCGCTGCCCATCTGCGTCGCCGTGTGCGCCCCCGCCGGGCGGCTGTTTACCACCTCCCCGCCGAACTGAACCATGCTCGCGTGCCTCGCCAGATGGCTGAACAGGAACGACGGCCAGTACCCCACCAGCAGCCCCGACCCGAACTCCAGCCACCAGTTCCCGTGCTTCGGGTCCTACAGCAAAACCAGTAGTGAAGGAAAGCTAGCTAGAGAGAAGGATAGAGATACAGAGAGAAATTGAGAGAGAGAGAGAAAGAGAGAGAGGGCGGAGTAGAAGGGGCGAGCGGTCACACGTCCATCCATATCAGGGCCATAAATGTGGGGAAGCGACTACTCCGTTGTCGCGAAGGGGGAGTACGAGGGGGAGGGGGACAATGCATGGACTGATGCGGGAGGCCTTCGGCTGGCCGAACAAAGGACAGCGTAATGGCGGGTAGGCCAGCGGGCGCCAGCCAAACGACTGCAGGGAGGCGATGGAGTGAGTAAATGCGTCAGTGGTGGGGGCACCCGGATGGTGGTGGCGCTGGTCTGAGATGACCGATGGGTGTCCGGGACCGACCCGTCGACAGCTCGGTGGAAAAGAAGTTCCACGGAGTCGCCGGGGACATGTTCAGAGCTCTCTCTCTCTCTCTCTCTCTCTCTCTCTCTCTCCCTCTCCACCCCAGGTCAGAGACGGGCAACGGTCCCACATGGATCATGCTTTTGTGTTGTTGGCTTGGGTGCTATCTGCTGCGGCAGCTCTCTCTCTCTATCTATCTATCTGTCTATCCATCAACGTATCTATCTGTCCACTATCTCTCTAGGTTCTTTAGATATGAAGCTCGGTGAAGCAAGAAATATCCCATTCACCGTAAACAGCTAGGCCATTATAATCTCACTTAAGGACGACCAAGGAACCCTTAGAGGCATATATCCCTCATCATTAACTCTCAAGAAGGTTTTTTTTTGAGAAAAAAACTTCTTGCCACGATTTGGTGAGAGAGAGAGATATTTAAATTAAATCGATGGATAGATAGATGGTCGTCTCGTACCTTCCAGACAAGCAGTGTGATGTCGAACTGCCCGCCATTGAACATGGATACCGGCGAGATGGCGGCGCCTATGGCAACCTTGTTGTTGGTCTGCACAAAGCCGGAGCAGAGGAGGTTGTAGCATCCGGTGGCCTGGTAGGCATCCGTCTGCTTGTGGTCAACATCAACGTCAGAGTCAATTAAATCGGTCCACATGCTCTGGATAATTCTCTGCAGAATTCAATGAGGTTCCGATGAAATCCCTCCCCTCGACGGGCAATCTACAGACTCACCGTCCAGTATGTGAAGAACCTCGGATGGTTATCCCCGTACAGCTCCGGGCTGACCTGAGAAGCACGCAATAACTGGGATCAGACTCCGTCTACAATATGAGAGAAAAATTAGAGAGAAGAGATGACTGTGATGTGATAGATACAGTCTTGAATAATAAAAAAAACCAGGTGAGGAGAGAGAGAGAGAGAGAAGAGAGAGATAGTCTAGAATCATGATAGATACATGGCACAGTGCACACAGCCGAAATGATCTAAAGACTGTGAAACGGGTCACAAATTCCGACATTCACAGCGACAAACAGAGAGAACGAGAGATAGGGAAAGATAGGGAAAGTGAGGGAGAGAGAGAGAGAGAGAGAGATCATCACCTGCCAGCCGGCTTCGATGGTGTTGAGGTCTTGGCCGAAGGAGCCGGCGATGACCCATATCTGAGATAAGCTGAACTCGGAGGGGCTGGAGACCCGGGGAGACCACACATTCAGGCTGGCCTTCGCCCCGAAGTACTGGTCGCCCGTCACGTATCCAACCGCATGCTGCAGGTGGGCAACGACGATTTCTCTTCAGATGCACAGATAACGGGAGATTAAACTAACCCAAAGTCCACTCTAGATCTCTCCGACTCCCGGATAGATTACTCTATCTGGAAGCAAGCTACCGGGTGCCCATTAATTAGACGGAAAACCAGCTGAATCTATGCATATTTTATTCCCATATGTTTGTTTATTTATTGCGGAGGAGTTTGGTGGCAGGTTTCCTGCTCAAATCCTAAACTTGGTTCTTCCCCAAGTTTAACTAAGAAACACTCAGATCTCCCAAGAGTGAGAGTGAGAGTGAGAGTGAGAAGTGAGTGAGAGTGAGTGAGTGAGTGAGAGAGAGAGAGAGAGAAGTGCAAGGAATAGATATTGGACGGATTTTTGCGGTTGATTTTCTACAGAAGGAAGGTGTCGAGGAATGTCTGCCGCTCTTCGATTCAGATTTCTCTTCGAGAAGAAAGAGGGGCGGAAAGCTCGCGGTTGATTCGAAGTGGAGAAGGAGAGAATGAGGCAGAAGATGGATAAGAGGAGGAGCTTTCCCTTACCTCATGCCCGCTGCTCGCAGAGTTCCGCCGAAGAGTCGCCATAGGCTTCTTCGCGAACCTTTTAACTGAGCTGGCCCTGAGGACGTCCGCTTCCGTCGTCCTCCTAATGGGGACGGTTCCCTCGGGGCAAAACTCGCCGGAGATTGCCCACGACTGGAAGCACACCGCCATAGCCGGGTCCGTCGGCGGGGGGCCTCTGGGCCTTTCCGGCGGATCCTAGAGCGAGGAAATCCATGGTCAGTTCCCAACACTATGAAGAAAAAGCCTCTTCTGGTTCACAAAAACCAGAATCTGACTGGAGGGTGGAGCTCTACCAATGGCTTCTGCCCTTTCAGCTTTGGGTGATCGAATGCCGGCTGGAGATGAGACGGAATGCAGTCGATCAGATCACCCTCCGGACTCTGCACCGCATCAAAGTCGCAGAAGAGAAGGAAAGATCACAACCCATCTCGTCAAATTTCCAGAAAGGAGAAGGGAGCCGGGGAGAAGGAGGCACCGAAGTGCCCATCGTCAAACCTGAATTGTCTTCACAGAAGGCTTGTTGAGCCGCTTGAGATGAGCTCTGACCCTCCTCATCTTCGCCAGCTCTTCGCGGGCCAGGAAGGTGGAGTTCGCCGGCGGTAACGATGTGTCGGCGGCCACGACGACGGAAGCGAGGAGGAGGAACCCAAGACAGGAAAAAATGATTGGCGGCGGCCTTCTGCAGCTAGAGGCCATGTCGGGAGAATTTTCCTTCCGTCTTCCTCCTTCTATACCTGTCTGCATCCGCGGACATGGGGGAGGTTGTCTTCTTCCACGAGTCGGGAAATCACCAATATAAAAAGTTTTCTTCCCCTTCTCTCCATTTCTGCCATCGCCCAATCTCTGAGCGGAGCAGCAACTGCTCATGGAATCCTTCATCTTGACACCCATGTCGCCATTCCCGAAGCTCGACAGAACTCAGCATAACGGGGCCAACAAAAAAGAAGGGAAACACATCTCCCCCCTCCCCTTTAACCCTATTTATATCTCCTTCCTCCCCTCCTCGCTTTTACCAGTCCGCTTCCGATGCCCCCCCGGTCATGGCCTCTGACAAAAACACGAACTTTCAAGGAAGATTTAATATAATACTCCCTATCTAACGGGGCAGGCCTCTCTAGGGTTCATTCCATGTGTCTAGGGTGCGGAACGAGGTGGGGGCAGCGCTGTCTTCCAAAGCGAAAACCATCAGAACCCCGCCAACTGGGTGCCCCGGAGAGAGAGCAAGCCTTCTTAAACTCTCCTCTCTCTCTCTCTCTATCTCTATCTCCATCTTCCAATCCAGCATACGATGCCGGCAACTTTAGCTTTTGCTCCATTCATGATCCCCGTTTATTCTTTTCGTCGGCTCAGGAGGAAGGGGGAGGGATCTCTCTCTTTCCCATTTCCCCAGATGTTCCCTCTGTCATCTCGCCGGCGATGAGGAGTGGCCGGGCTTGACGGAAGCCCCAGTCCGGGTAGGAGCGGCGTCTCTCCCTCCCCTTTTATTCCACCTCCCCCCCCCCTTGCGCTGAAATCGAGACCTCCCTGCAAACGCGTTCAGACGCCGTCCACCGACATCCGTCGCCGTCTGGCCCCTCCCTCTCTCTTCGGGCAAGAAGACGAGGCAGCGGATGAGCGCAGCAGCGCGTGGGTTGTCATTTCCTAGAACTGGGGAACAGGGAAGAGGGCCGTGAAAATCAAGTTTCCGGTGACAAATCCTTCCGAATTTTAAATTGTGAGGATACCCTTTCTTCGAAGATGCCTGAGGTACTGAAAGGGTATAATTATAAATCATTCCATTGGAAGGGAAAATATGCGATATACGTTTTTTAAGACGGCGCGCAGGCCGAAGAGGCATTTCATCGAACACCTACGCACGCTGACATGCGGTGCAGAGTGAAAACCCGAAGCCCGGCCCGGCCCGGTAATCATTAATTGGGCTTAAAATAAAGCTTTGTGAGCATTAAAACCTCCGACACTCCAAAACAGAGCCCATTTCTCTCACAATATCCCGCACCTCTCTCTCTCTCTCTCTCTCTCTCTCTCTCTCTCTCTCTCGCTAGGCCCTCACGGACCGAGCACGAGCTTCATACGAATTCAGCCCGCAGTTTATTTATCAGGCTTTTCATGGAGGACGCCAAAACTGGGGAAGTTCACTTAAAGAGAGGTCTCAGCACAAGCGGCAATTGCACCGGCCGCGGCGACGCCCTCCGGCGCCCGGCGGCCGCGGAGTACCCGTCAGGAGAGGGATGCCCCGCTGGAAAGTTGGCCCATCTGGTTCACCGCCAGCCCCGACGGAGACGGTGACGTGGGAGACAGGAAACACCCGCCGAAGGGGACGGCGTAACCCCCCCCGTTCGCTCCTCCGAGAGGAAAACGTGGCGAGGAAGGGAAGAAGCGCCTTCCCCATCTGCCCTCCTGCGGCCGCCATTATTCCAGAGAAGGACCACAGCGGAGAGGAGAACCAAGATCTCCTGCCATTTATGCTTCCGCAGGAAACTGCTGCCGCCAGTCTTGTAATAATTTCTCGTGCTGGGACGCGTTCAGACACGAATGAGATCCCAGTGTCGGCCGCGCCAAGTGTCTAGCTCAGGATCACTCACGTGGCACCTGGCACCTGGCACCCTCGGCCCTCGTGGTCAGCCCGAGAGCTCATCTCGCGCCGAGGGCGTTGTACAAGATACTGGGGCTTCGATATAGCTTGCTTTTTAATGGAGATTGTGGAAATATGGACGAGAAAACCTCGGGAAATGGATACTCATGGCTTTGGTTCCTCTCCTCCTCCTGTTTGGGTTTTCTGGGTACGAAATGTCCACTTCACTGGTTTGCTTAGCCAAAAAAAAAAGAAGAGAAACAGATTAAAATAATGCTATTTGTGTAGGTGGGTTGGAGTACGCCATTCTGCTGCTGAGTCACCCGACATTGGACTAGAGAAAGCCAGAAAAACTGCTCTGGACCGGATCCTTGTAGAGAGAGAGAGAGAGAGATGACGGTGGAACAGGCCCAGTGAGCTTTTTCCCTCGGACCCATAAAGCAATGGAGTCAATCAAGGCTAGCCACAATGCTGTCGCCCCCAGCATGGAGCTTTCCCCTACAGTGGAGCTGATCGACAGCACCGAATTATGGGAGACCCATTTCCCCTCTCCCCTTCCTTTCTGGTTTGACCGCCTGCCGCTGTCTCCATGAAAGCCGCCTGCGGATTTCGCTTTCCTCCCCCCTTTCTCTTCGTCTCATCTGGGCTCGGCGGGGAGGGATCATACGATTTAGTGAGGGGGAGGAGAGCCCGTACGACATCTCTCAAAGGCTTCTCTTCTGGGGATTAACGGAGATAAACAGGGCAGGTGGTAGTAGTAATGCCCGCCGATAGCGTTGGGCAGTGGAACGGACACGGCGGAGCGTTGCGGAAAAGTTGTCCCCGGCCGGCCACGCTCCGGCGGGTGGCACTCATCGGTCCCCTTCTTTTGAACAGAAGGCGCCTCTCTCTCTCTCTCTCTATCTTTCTCTCTCTACCCATACAGCATGCGGTGCGTCACGTCGCCTGCATCATCATGGCGCCGGCATCCAAATGCGCCGACTCGTAAAACATCTTGATTTATATCCACAGTAAGCCCACCCACAGAATATCGATGAAACCTTTAGCTGTTCTTGGCGCCGCCTATCACATCGTTGACATTGTTCACCATACACGCGGGCGAGCACGCCAGAGGCCCCATCCCTCCGCTCTCCGTCTCAGTTTTTCTTATTGCGATGTGATAGGAGACAATGGCAGGAGGAGTTAGCAACCTGGCAGGAGGGCCTTCATTTTGACTGGGGACCTGTTAGCAAAACCCTGTTAGCTCGGCTTCATCTGAACCCTAGCGCCCCCTGCAAACCCATGAACAGCAAGGTGAGATCAAGCTGCCTCATCAAAGAAGAGCACTTTTCCAAAGAAGGGTAGTCCTTTGTCGGTCAACTCCGGCAGTCAATTACTCGGAAAAGTCAAATTGCATCGGTTATTCTATAAAGGGCTCCTCCTCCCTGGTCAAAATCGTATGAATCCGCTGGTTCGGAGGAAGATGAAGCTCAGGAAAACCAAATCCATGGGGAATCTTCTTACAGTATTGAGAAGCAGGAGTGCGGCTGCGCGGGTGAACTTCCGGGCGAAGAGAAAGCAGTACGATGATTTACCCATGCTGCTGCACCATTCCCGCCTGTACTCGGTCTCATAGTAGATATTATCAACCTTCTGCACATGCAAGAAAAAAAAAACATCGGTAAAATGATAAATAGTACATAAAGACAGAATATCTCTCGACGCAGGAAATAAGAACGCAGAGAGATGGTGACGAGGAAGATCACCAGTCGTGACTATGGGTGTTGACCCTAAGGGGTCTATGGGTGTTGTTTGAAAGAAGCAGTACAGAATGTTATGGACTATGGTGAGTCTCTCTCCTGTGCATTGGATAGAAGGGTCAGCTACATTGAACCCATTAAAGTCAAATAAATAGCTACTCTAACAGGTTTTCAGGTCGTTGTAGCATGTCAATTTCCATAGGAAATTTTTCCAAGAGATTCTTGCCCATCCAACCCTCCTGGGTTGAGCAAAGCTAGTCTAAAGGATTCCACATGTCACCTCTCTTAACCTGATTCAAGAATACCAGGATAATCAATGGATTATTCCACGGTGGATGTTGTGAAAGGGTTATCCTGCTGTACGATCAGATCAAATTAGACAATACTATTATAGTATATTGAAAGATATTGACAGATCGAAGTTCCTCTTAGAGGAGAAACAAGGCCTTTCCTTTCCCTTTCCTACATTTTGAGAAATACTAAGTCTGGAGCCAGTCCGCAAGAAAATAATAAAACCCAGAAACTTAGTGGGCTTAATGAAACGGGTTGTATAAGATAATGTAACTGACAAGACCCGGCCTGCATGATTCCAATTTCCATAGGAGATTATCAACACTCAAACACAAACTGAACTGGCTATTCACCGCCCAAGGTCTGTTTCCTTCGAGTGGACCCTGTATTTTAGAATAAAAAAGTAATAGCCCAAGAAGTGGTCTGTTTCTCACTCTACACGAACACAATGCATTTTAGTCGCCATTTATGTTTGGTATCCAAAATAGCTCATTAATTTCGTACCTTAATATTTCTTATAAGCTTTGGAGTGGCATCAAGGAGCTTGTATGTGACAGGATGCCAGCCATGCCTTTCACGGTCTCTGGAGGCCGGAATATCCCACGAAGTATGTGTCAAAGACCTTCGTGTGATCTCCTCCTCGAGTCCTTCTTGCTGGATGGTGGAAAGCTGCTGGTTAGAACCGTCAAGCATAGCCATGTTTGCACATGGTCAGAATCCAAATGCAGTTTAACACGCAATGGGTATTTACCCATAAATGAAAGTATGGGTTGCGGTCGAGTGAGTATGCAAAGTCTTACCGCCAGCAGTGTCTGAACATAATGCTCGTCAGGTATGCAATTATGCAGCTTGGATGCATCAGGAACCTGAAACCATTGGAAGCTAAATCACCTCTCCGATAGCACGCTAACGGCCCTTTAGAAAATAACTGAAGAACGTACATGAATCGATTAACAGCAGTTATCATAATAAACAAGCCAGAAAGGAAGGGTTGAACTGGAGAGATGATAGGCAGTAGACTATGCTTTTAAAGATGATGATGACTAAATGCAAATCTATATCATAAAAATAAAATATTTCCTCCTCATCATGTGTTCACCAACACCGCGCTTACAAAAAAATGCATGAAGCCATAAGCAAAATGGATTGAGAATCAGACAAGCGTGGAACTTACAGTTGAATACGTAACAGTTATTATCAACATTGCAATTCACAATCAAGCCAGTGATACTCCCTTTACAATGTGCTAATCTGGGACGGAAAAGCTGGCTGAGGTTAACTGCAAAATGAGTTTAATTTTTATAAAAGGTTGAGATGTTGAACTGAGGTGAAATTGGTTACTGATGAAGAAATTGTCTGTAAACTAATAGATCACCAAGTTCATAAACTTATTGATGTTAAACTCAGTATGCAGATAAATCTAGGTATTGTCCAGTTTCTCACCATGACAGTTTTTCGCGAAATCAACGAATGAATGGCATGGGTCAAATCCAGAACTATTGACAAAATTCAAAGCAGAGTCCACCTATGGTCTCAATTTTAACTATGACTTGGGACACTGACATTGACGGGAAAACAAAACCATCTGCAAATTTCAATTTATAACAGCTGAGTTTTAAGGAAATCCCTAAGTGAAGCACTCAAGATCAAAGATTTCTTGCAATTATAAAAAAAATGTTTCAATAAACAATTTCTGTTAGGGAAGAAAAACCAAATAAACTAAAAAAAGTGTGAATGCATGCTTTTTTTATTCATTCTCCTATATTATAATTTAGGAAATTGTCCTTTCGTCTTTAATTCTCAATAACCCTAATAAAACACTTCCCCTGTCGAGTGTGTCCTAGCTCATGGTATTCGGCTCAAGAACCAGATCACTCTATTCATTTTTCATTCATGCATAGGAGAACCATGACTAAAATCCGAAAAAATCTCTACATCAGACAACCCCCAAATTCGAAAGAAAAAAGATTTGCTGAGTTCAGTTTATAAAAAAAACTGCCATTGTGCTTAATGAGAGGGGGGAAGGATAAGAGTTGATTGAGTTAGGTCTCTCCAACAGTAGAATATGTTTCTCACTGTGATGCATCCGAAGAAAACACTTAGAACGTCACATACACTGTGGTCAGTACTTGAAAAGATATACAGTGTCATCATAAAGAGATCAAACTGACTTCCAGATCTCCACGTCTTTTATTTTTCTTAGACAGAGATGAACAATAGTCTCTTCTTAGATACAGATAACAGGCTGAGATCAAAGTGAAAATATAAATAATGAGCTCAATTCTAGAAACCTTCTTCTCAGTATCCATAATTATGAAACTTTTCCTTCTCAAAAAGATTTGACAACATGACCAGTGATTGGAGCTGCAGATCTAAGTATAGGCAGAAAGGAGGATAAAAAAATGGAAGTTGCACAAAGCCAGGAACACAAATTGTCTTCTACACAAATTTTCTTCTACATATTTGTTTTGATGTTTCTAAAAAATGCGTGGTTTTCATTTAGAACTTCAATGACTGTTATTTTACTTCAAGTTTGAACAAGGACCTTGATACCGATAAAATACCAAAGCCATTTTTATCGCATACAAATAACAACAGCCATATGGAAAACATGTCATGAAAAGTAAAGACATCAATAAAGACTCAATACGAAATCTAATAGAGGAATACTTACAATAGGATGATCCCGCCAAAACTCTGGAAGTGGCTTTCTCTACATCATTTAGAAACTAAAGACATTAGGTACATAACGAAAGTAACAGAAAATGACTGATGCAATGACTAAAGTGACAACCAAGAAAAGCTTGAATTGTCATTTGTTAGAAAGAGTGGTGGGAGAAAGTTTCAGAGCTCTGACCGTAATTCTAATGCAGAAACAGACAAGGCATAAGCTTTTGGGCACTTCTCAATAGGAAGGTGACGAAAAGTTGATCTTATTTACAATTACCAGGTGAGGTGACATAAATCAAATTTACTCTTTTTAGGAAAAAAATGATAGAGCTTGCGCAGGCAATTAAAATTCAAAGACAAAACAGACAGATGAGCTGTTTTCTTTGACACATCTTACCTGACAATGCTGCTGAAACACTGGAAACACTATTTCATCACGTAAGACGACCTTGGCATGCTTTCTGATCAAAACTGCCCACTACATAAAGCATAAAAAAGAGTTTAGAAAGAAACAACAGCATAATGAGATCATAGCAGTTAAGAATAAAGGCAACAACGCGGACACAAATGCAGATTAACCTGGGACCCTTTTCTCCAATTATGCGCTGGAATAATTGGATGCATTTTTGGATTGTAACGGCCTTCTTTTCTATCAGCAAAACTGTTTCCAGAATTACATAACGAGATGCTATTAGAACCTAGTGATAATTCCATAAAGATCTAAACATTGTATATCACAGGGGTGCAAAATCAAGAGTGTTAGTGTAAAATGAGCAACACGCATGTGTGGTGCCAGGGGCCAATAAATTGACACAGCTGGTCATAAAATTTGTCATACGGACGGGAATTCCTTCCCAATTGTAGCGCTTCAGGCAGAAAATATAAGCTAATTACATGTATTCTTACATATCTTGTAAGATTGTCAGCTTCAATGGCCTTGAGGGATAGATGAACTTTAAAATGAAAGAAACAAAACATATCATGTAGTGGATAGTCGACTTGAGTTCACGTCTAGAATACAACCGAAGCAAGTTGCGTCAGTCGAAATGGTACTCGTCAAAATACTTCATAATTTAGAGTATAATTGGATGGAGAAACTTTTGAAGGTCTTCAGTATTTTCAGGGTTTTTTATGGAAGTTCTACACTAAGTAATGAGCTGGCAGAAAAAAATAAAAAAGGAAGAAGTGGAAATGAAAGGAGAGACAGATAAAGGGAGGAGAGGAAAAAATGGAAAAAAAGGAAAGGAGCTTGTTACTTGCAGCAACAATTACACAAACTGTCCACAGGCATAAGTTTTCTTTCTCTCGGCACAAGTCTGGTTCGGCCATTAACCGGATCCACTGCCTCTTTTGCTGGCTGCAGTCTCTATATGCCACAAATAGCACCCTCAACTAGAAAGTCAGCTCTAAGCAACCTAGCCAAAAGTTGTATGCAACTTGCCCCAACTTGAGACGAGCCGACATGATTTCCAGGCGATCCTAGACGCTTCAACTTGATTTGACTATGGGATAGTAAATTCAGCTGGCTCCCACGTAGATCATACTTCAAAAAAGTATAATTCATAAGAGATGCGGGGTCGAATTTATTAATTCTCGTGTACGAAGATATCAAATGATAAACTTACAACTCGCATGTCCAGTCACTCATCTGTGGTATTCAAAACGCCTTCCTGGTTATATCGTGAATCTTTTAGATAAACCACTAAAGGAATTAGCAGGTCCAGTATAACACGATGTGTGATTTGATCGAAATTATCATTTTACAGATTTGAACTGAGAAACTGTCATCCCATTCAATATGATTGGGATTCCCCTAGTTTGACATGTCTATTGGAACGAGTTTGGAAAACCACCTACCTGACATAAATCAAATGGCATATACATTACTTGAAACAAAAATAACGAAGTTCACAAGAAAAAGAAATCACTTCTTGACGCAATTGAAAAAAAATTCGTCATATTGTTAGTTGAAATGATACCAACGCTTGATTGATGCAATTATTAAAAATAATCATATTAGTCTCGTCCAACATAAAAAAAACGTGGCTTTCTTATGCTAACAATCTAAAGCTGAAAGAAGTATTTTTTACGATACACAATAGAACAAAAGCATATAATATCAGGAGAATAGAGAAAGATCAGAGCAATACTTTCAGAAAGTAACAAAAACGATTCACTCACCTGTCCACAAAACTTGTTGACGATGACATTATGTAGTCATATACGTAACTGAAGTTATACAAAGGTATACAACTGAAAGAAAATAGCAGAAACGATGTCAGCCCATTAAACTCAAAGTGAACAATGATAAAAAATCATCCATCTGGGCAGTTTTTTGGGAAAAGATTAAATATCATCTCACATGTGAACAAAATAAAAAATGCAGCCAAAAGGGAATGAGCAGAAAATATGAATCTCACTTACCAATCATAAAGCATAAGAAAAATGTCTTTTAAAAAAATTATTATAACAACTTGATCAAAAGGGGAGAAGAAACAGCAACGGATATGATGAGAAGACCTCTAGGTGTTGTTGTTCAAGCACATTGACATTATTGTATTCTGTATAAAATTGCAAAATACTGAGACCCAAAAAGTTCATCACTAGAAAAATAAAAATATAGAAGTACCATGGTTTGACAACACATGACCTATTCATCCCCTAAAATTTTAGTACGACTTTGAAAGAGTACGACTTTGAAAAGGTTTGGAATCCCCACAAAAAGTTGCAATAGTACGACTTTGAAAAAAATTAGACAAAACCTAAGTGGGGAGGGTATTCCAGTGATGGATACCAAATACAACCCTCAATATAAGTTCCAATTTAGAAGCATGACTCAGGTAGTGTTAATTCGATTTGATGCCCTGGTGAAGTAGAAATACTATGGCATGGGGGAAAGGCGTAAGAATCAAACATGTAGGATCTAAATACAAATCTGAGACAGTTTGCCTACAAACATGAGTTCGATACAGTGTCACTTTGAATAAAAACAATAGCCAAAAATATTAATCAGTAATCTTAGGAAAATGACACAATTAAATGCACACTTATGTAGGAAAAATATACAATTATCAAAAGTTTTTTAAAAATTACATGTTTGATATTTTTGTCTCTAGCTACGCTATATGAAGTTATGCCAAATAGATCGATGCAAAAATTAAAAGTAAAACAGAAGGCGATGCTTGCCCACCTGTCAGATACAAAAACAAACCGCTTGTTATCGAAATCCTTGAGAGCACTTTTCAGCAGAATACGCTCTGCTTGGATCATACTTGCTTCTCCCCAGTCAACCTGAAATGAAAATGAAAGAAACCTTCAGCAAATGACCAAAGCCAGGTCCCGGAACATCCAGCACATAAATTAAGTAGCATCAAGTTATCAGCTCAGATAATGGCGACAATCCCTGAAGACGAAACAACAGTTGAACTAATACCACCAGTTATAAGTCAAGTTACTGTGTGGCAAGGGAAGATTATTGAAATAATTCATGCCATAACCCTGACGATTCAGGGTTTTCAAACAAAATCATTTTTGAACCGACAATAGTGATGAAAGGAGGAAATAGCTAGATGCAGACATTCCTCAGGCTGTCACCTTGGCCAATTCCCAGAATGGGTTAGGGGAAGATCCGAGTGATTGCCTTTCTAGGTGGGCTGGCCTGTAGATCTAAAAGGATTCATTAAGGCCTGACTGGAAATTACTAGTCCACAAACAAAAAAAAGTCAAAGTAGTCAACGGTTTGTACTCAATAGAAAACAGAAAAAAGGGAACTCTTAAGGAGGAACTCTAGGTCCGACAAGCTTTTAATAAAACTTTAATATTCGGAGTAAAATTTTATCATGGTATTCTTGAAAAAGATCCTAGATGTCTAGGTGGGAAAAACCCGAAGGACAGTGTAAAAAATCAGCAATAAAATACTAAAACCACAGATTGTGGGAGAAAGCAGACTAATGAAGATTAAATGTGCCAAAAGCCTTCCCTTAATAAAAACAGACGGTTGTTTTAATTCAAAAATTCTGCATATGAAGAAAACATTAAAAAGGAAGAACATAATACCCAAAACCTACAGGATCACCATCATAAATGAGGCTCGATATACCGTAATAATATCAAAGCAATTGATAAAATGAATCATCTTGAGAAATTAGCCTATAATCAGCAGTTATTCTCAACAAGAATAACCTAGTCCAAAAATAATTATTAATTTTCAAGCGAAAAGAAAGAAGGGAGCATTTATAAAAAAATCCTCTAACACCATATGACAAAAATCACAAGTCCAAAAATCATTGATCCATAAAAATCAATGAACAAGAAGAATATGAAATTAAATGATGGCGATGATTGAAGAGTAGAGTGCACATCTGCCGAATTTACAGTAAATTCAACTCTGATTGACTAATAAAACTCTGCTGATAGATTCAACCAATTCCCCGCGGATCAAGACCTGAGAATTCTAACACCCCATCTAAGTGGTCCAAGTTAGACAGTCTCTTAGTTGTATTGCATGTACGGGATAACACTTTTTTTCTTTCCTATGGAAAATGATTTCCGTAAATAGGAAAGAACGATAAGAATAAACAGTTTAATTGAGAAAATGAGAAAATTTATCATACGCTTGAGTAGATAATAGTTAGAAGGATAAGAGCCATATCAGAAGGATAACCAATAAGAAAAGGCTATCGCAGAGAGGGATCTTGTCAAGAATTATAAAACCGATCTCATAAAATAACAGGGAAGTAAGATGAAGATGATTGTGAGCTTGGACTGATCTGATATAGTGTCACTATGCTATGCATACTTGGCATGCGAACCGTAACAAGCGGGGTTCATTTATATTATTTTAAATTATGCATCAGCGACAATAAAGGGTAGGTATTTACATTTTCCCTAAAAAACTGCTGAAAATGCAATCCCATGACGCAACTCAGTTGTGAATGATCACAGAAATTTGATACCAAATGCCAAGGTGTTACCAAGGACTCATAATTTTCCACTCACAGCTTTACGCTCGTTTACGACAAAATTAAAAGCTTTTTTAGAAAAAAAAATCAAAGATGGCACCAACCTGTACGCTGTCATTGACCTGGCGACCGTAGAAATATGCGGAATGGGTTGTAGCCGGGCTGAGGAGGAATCCTGGCCTAGAATGCACGAAGACCGATAACCTATCCTCTTTGTCACCCTGCAACAGATATGGGACCCTTCATTCCAACGAAACCATTTTAGTGACTAACGAACTAGAAACAAGATTCTGCAGCCCCTGGGGGTGAAGAAACAACCTACCTTGAAGAAGGCGTCCCAGACAACATCAAGGGGAAGGCGGTTACGCGCGATGAATAGAAACGCAATCTTCGGCACCCCAGGCGGAGGCGGAGGCGGAGGCGGAGGGGGAGGCGGAGGCGGCGCCTCTGAAGCCGCCGATGCGATGCTTTTGTAGCGCACCTCCATGAGAACGATGCTCCCTAGGAAGAGCCCGATCATAATCGCCCCGAAGAGCCTTATCCGGCAATGCCGGAAAGAATTCCGCCGCTTCATCTGGCCTTTACCCCCGGCCTATAACTCCGGCCGCTCCCCACTGGAGAAAACCGACGGTCACTTCATCCTCCCGTCGAGGCGAGGCTGGCGGCCCCAGGAAAGAAGCGATCTCTCCTCATCCTCTGCATCCACCGGCCACCCGAGCCCTCACCAAACCGGAGCAAGCCCCACAGATCCGGAAGAGAGGATGAGGAGGTGGCGCAGCAGGTCGATCGCCAGCTATGGATTCTCCCTTTCTCCCCCGCTGTCTCAGAGGTAGAGAGGAATACGGGAATCATGTGAGCTGCTTGCTCTGAACCGGAAAGAGAACCGACCACCCCTCATTTGAAAAATAATATTAACAAAAATACTACTGTAGCCGCCGACAACGGTTGCACGACGCCGGATCATCCGACCAGACGGCTCATCCCAGCCCTTCATCACCCGAGCGCCATCGACCGACGCTTGTCAGCGTTTAGGTGGTATGTCGCTTGACAGTTACGAGATAAGACAGGGGGTATAGCGCCCCCACTTGGGCTGGCCCACCAACTACTAAGTACTCAAATTGGGCCTGATTAAGAAGCCCGCAGAATAAGATTATCCCCTCCTTCGACAGGCCCACGTCTGAAATCGGGCCAATAGAGCTGAAAATCGCAAATGAAAGTACAACGTGGCTTTTTCCCATTCGTCCAGCTGTCGTACCTGGACGGTGTGTCTTTATTGGGAAGAGATTTTGTTGTGAGTTTTGGATGTAATCTGACAAAATGTAAAATTATCATTTGGTCCTATATTTTCAGTATTAATAGAAATCTGTCTAATCACGTGAGTCAACTTCCTTCCTATAAAATAAAAAGAAGACAGTATAACTTTTTAAAAGGGCACCAACATAAAAAGAAGAAATAATCTTAGTCAATAGTAAATGGCAGGTAATTAAGGAATAAATCACTCAATCAGGGTGAAAAAAAAAGAAATATGCGGTAAGTTATGAAGGTTGCGGTCCGGATGTGGGTTCCTGAAGCTCCAAGTCAGGTCATTGTCGTGTCTAGGCGTTCACACAAGGGAACCCTACCTTTTGTTGACTTTTCTTTCGTGGCCCCGGCCACTCTGTCAACGTAATTGCATGCATGTACCCACCACACCTTTCCGGATACCGAAAATGTTCAGATTCAACGACCGAGGAAGACGGATCTTATCGACTGCTCTATAAAGCGAGAGAGAGAGAGAGAGATACGATTGGAGCCGCCCATCCATCAGAGATATATGAGAATCAAAGATGAGAACGAGGCCATCGGCCCGAGACTTCTTACACAGACCGTGACAGTGCCCTACATCGCTTAAGGGTCCACATCTTTTCCCCCGTACAAAGCTAGCCATTCGTCAAACTCGTCATTGACTCACCTCCTATCGAGCTACCACTCAACCGAATGTCCAAATGTCCAAAGAAGAGTATACCGAGAGAGAGAGAGAGGGGGAAGGCAAGAGAGATACAGATAGAGAAAGGAAGAGAGAATGCAGAGAGAGAAAAGGGTGAAAACCGCAGTGATCGACGGCGGAGGACTCAGACGTGGGAGGGGGTGGCGTCGGTGGTGGGGGCTAGTCTCCTCCTCCTCCCCCTCTCCCCCTTGGAGTTCTCGGCGAACTTGATGGTGTTGAGGTGGAGGCCCCTGGCCTTCTCCTCGGCGCTCCACTCCGCCGCGTAGTAGTTCTCCTCGGTGGCGTCCTCCTTGGACGAGGGCCCGAAGAGCATCCCTCCCCACATGGGGAAGTAGATGAGCATGATGGGGAGAGTGCAGCAGAGGATCATGATCCCCATGTACGTGATCCCGTCCTCCTTGGTGTATCTGGTCCCCTTGAAGAAGAGCAGCTGCGTGATCACCGCCCCGACGTTCCCCCCGCCGCCGGTCATCCCCGAGACCAGCCCCAGAGACCTGCGCACACGAATAAAGTCCAGTCCATTCGTAGTTAGGTCAGAACAACACACACACACACACGCACCCCGAGAGAGAAGGCCTTTTTTTTCACCGGCAGTAAGGGGGGAAGTTGCCGGCGAAGAGGAGAAGGCTGGGGAGGAAGAGCTGCGTTTATGGTTTGAGTTAAAAGTTGTTACCTCCTGGAGATGAAGGGGACGACCCCGAAGGCGAGGCCGCAGGCGGCCTGTACGAAGACGGAGAAGACGATCATGACGAAGATGGCGAGGCTGAGGGAGCTGGTCTTGCCGAGCCAGATGCAGAGGACGCCGCCCAGGGTCTGGACGATCCACCAGCCCCAGAGCCTCCCCCTCATCCCGAACCTGGCGGCGAGGAAGTCGGAGAGGAAGCCCCCCCCGGGCCTGGACACGATGTTGGCCATGCCGAAGCTGGCGGCGATGATCCCCGCCGTCCGCAGGTTGAGGTCGAACCTGTCGTAGAAGTACTCGGCGATGACGTTGTCGATGGCCAGCTCCACCCCGAAGCAGTAGCCGTAGCAGAGCGCGGTGATCCAGCCGCGGTAGTTCTTGGCGGCGTTGGCGAAGACCCTGGAGAAGCTGTCCTTGGTCTTCTCGCCGGTCTCCATGAGGTCGCGGTAATTGCCGTCGGGAAGGTCCTGGCCGAGGATCATGACGCCGAGGGCGGAGACGGTCTGCATCACGCCGGGGATGAAGAAGGCGATGCGCCAGGCGGTGAACTTGGTGCTGCCCATGTGCTTGATCAGTTCGAAGACCAGCGGCATGATCAGCTGGGTGGCGCCGCCGCCGAGGTTGCCCCATCCGGCGGCCACTCCGTTGGCGACGCCCACCTTGGTGGGGTTGAACATGGAGCTCATCCAGAACTGACAGGAGACGAAGCTGGCGAGGGAGAACCCGGTGAGGAACCGCACCAGGAAGTAGGAGAAAGGCGAATTGATGCAGGCGGTGAAGAAGACGGGGGGGGTGGTGATGAGGATGAGGGACGAGGAGGCGAGGCGGGGCCCCACGAGGTCGCAGGCGCTGCCCATGACGAGCCTGGCGAAGACAGCCCCGGAGACGGAAGCGATCCCGGCGTTGCCGATGTCGGTGGAGGTGAGGTTGAGGTTGTCGCGGATGATGGGGAGGAGCGGCGGGGCCGCGAAGGTGGAGACGAAGCAGGAGAAGAAGGAGAACCAGGAGAGGTGGAAGGTGCGCATGTGAGGCGCCGCGAACGAGAAGAGGCGGAACTCGGTCGCCTTGTTCTCCGAGTCCACCGCCAGCGCGAACTTGCGCGGCGGCGCGCCATCGGAGTTCACGTTGTCGCCGTGTTCTATGCTCAGAGACCCCATCTTCTATTCCTCCGTCCCCCTTTGCCCCCTTCCTTCGTCTTCTACAATATCGTCTCCGTCCTGCAGGCACAGAGAGAGAGAGATAGAGAGATAAAGAGAGGAGGAAAAGGGTAGATGTAGATGGAGAGACAAGGGGCGCATAGAGCTCGGAGATTCTCCGCCACGGCCCCTGCCGTTATATAGAAGGAATGGGAGCGTTGACAAATATGGATCGGGTGTTGTGCAGGCACTTACAGAATTGTTGGCCGAGATATCATTCTCGTCGACTCCCAGGCGTTTTTCTTGTTGGATCCTCTCCTCCGGAGGATCGATCCCTCCCCGCAGCACTGAAGGGGCAGACTCCGCGGCTACCCGACGGGTTCTCCCCTCGGCGACCCCCACAGGGGAGGACGGAACTCCTCCTCACCCCGGTAGAGAAGGCCTTTCCCGTCCTTTCAACTTCTCCCTGCCACGAGATCCTGGGTTTGACTTTTGGGATTCTTTAATGAGGGCATGCGATTCTGATTCCTCGAGGGGCCCCCCTCCATCGCCGCCGTCGGCTCGAACGGCGGCTCTTCATCTCACGGCGAGGACGACCGCGGAAGGCGGCCTTCCGCGGCCAGCTTCGGACAGGCCGAAGGAGATTCGCCCGCCGCGTCCATGGGCGGAGCAGTTGGATGGCCAAGTAATTTATCAGGAGTAGGAATCTGAGTTGTGGGCTCCTCTGACTAATATTATATTATTGCACTCTCTCTCTCCTCCATTGACTAAGAAAAAGAATCCGATGGCTGTCTCCGTCCGTCTCTCTCTCCCCTCTTTTTCTCTCTCTAACCCCCTTCTTGGTTTGGAAAAAGAATCGGATTTGTGAGGTACTTGGGCGACGAATCCGAGTTGCTCTCTGAGATCCCAAGTGCCTCCTCAACGTTACTGATGACGAGGGAAAAGGGGGATGCGCCTTTGTATCCGCGAAGGAAGGACACGTGTCAATAAATTATTGCTGTGTCCTTTTCATGTGGAATCTACCACGCATATTATCAATGGATTTTCTCGCTGGGCCCAGGAGGATCTTGAGCTAGATCCAGGATGATGGCCCATTTCCGGCCTACTGGGCCTTCCGAAGTTGGGGAAATTCATCGGGGGGCGAGTCTCTCCTACCCATCATATTCGCACGTGTTGGCATGCGTAAAGAAGGCCGACTGTCTCTTTCTTTGCACCGCTGTGATCGTCCTTCGTTCCAAGGTTATCGATGGGTGGGGGTGGGCTAATTCGGGGTGCTCGAGGAGGACCTGCGTCGGAGAAGAGGCGAGCAGCGACGATCAAGCTCCGCCGCAGAAGCCCAATACCTGCCCCTGTTCCGTCGCCGGAAACGTGGGCGGTCCTATTTAACAGAGGAGGGCCACCGCCGCCGGAGTCCCTCTCCGGCATCACCGAGGAGGAAGGGTAGCTCCCCCACCACCACCGCTGCCCGGAAAGCTCCTCTCACAGATGGGTGCCGCCGCGCGGGTTCCTCCTCTCCAGCTGGCCCTCCTGGCCGTGGCCGCCGCCGCGGCGCTCCTCCTCGCCTGCCCAGCGGAGGCCGGAAGAGCCCGGCACCACCTGCACCTACCGCGTGCCAACCATCGCCACCACGGCGCCGGCGGCGCCGCCCGCCTGTGCAGCCGTACGGACTACCCCACGCTGTGCATGGCGGTAGGGAAGAGGCTGGGGGGCAGCGTGCCGAGTGCTGACGCCCTCGTGCGGGCGACCATCCAGGTAGCCATGCAGAAGACGCACGAGGCGAAGGCCACGGCGGCGCGGCTCGGCGCCGCCCCCTCGCGCGACCGCTACGCCAAGGGCAACGTCGAAACGTGCCGGCGGTCGTACGACAGCGCGCTGGCCGACCTGCAGACGTCGCTGAGGGCGCTGAGGAGCAGGTCCCTCGCCGACCTCCGGATCAATCTCTCCGCCGTGATCACCGACGTCGGGACCTGCGACGACGGCTTCATGGAGAGCGCCGCCGGGAGAAGGTCCCCCTTCGCCGGTGTCAACGGGGCCATCCACAAGTTCGCGAGCAACGGGCTGGCGCTGTCCGAGACGATGAGGGGGCGCCACTGACGGACGGGCAGGGGGCTCAAACCTTACCATTACAATGGCAATAAGAAGTCCTTTCCGTGGAAGCTTAGCTCTGCAGTTGCGCGCGGATTCTAGTTACCCAGAAGGCACATCTTACTGATCGGTCATGGATTCGCAGGGGAGGACGAAGACACCTTTCGCGCAACCCTAATCCTCAACATGGCCCCTCCCACCCATCCCCACCGCAAAACCCTAGTCTTCCTTAGTGTTCTCCTCGACAGATAAAGGCTCACCGTCCAATAATTTGATAACTTGACGAATGGAAAAAGGCCACGTAAGTAGCGTCTTTTATCTGCCATTTCCAACTCTAGTGGTGTCAAGTTTCGACGTGGGATTGTCAAAGGAGAGGAGGATCTTCTTCTATGGGCTTCACAATCAGGCCCAATAAAAATACTTTGTAGTTAATGGGCCCTAAAAGGCGAAAAATCTATCTCCCGCCTCGTTTTTGGGCCAGCCTAGAAGGGGACTCTGTCCGCTGTCGTCATCTCGTGTCACGCGATGTTCCACGTAAACGATGAGTCGTCGGAACGCATGATCAGGCGTTCGGTTAACAGTTGACGGTGTCTGCACGCGTATTTTTACTATGTTTTTTTCTCAGAGGGGTGGTAGGTTCTCTTTCTAGTTCAGAGAAAGCAGCTCATATGAATCCGGTATCCTCACTTGATTAGAAAAAAATGCATTAATAGTGAAAAATATTTAACCAAATGATAATTTTATATTTATTATATTTCATTGTAGACTTGCAACAAAATCTATTACCCATTTGGGTTCACAAGTTTTCTTTACTTACTTCCTTATAAGAAGTGAGTCAACTCTTGTTATATGAAGAAGAAATTAGGCTCTACAATTATCAAAGAAGTGAGTAAACACGTATAACAGAAAATGACGCAAATCAATAAAGAAAATGAGTCAACTCTTGTTATGTGAAGAAGACTTGGGCTCTACAATTATCAAAGAAGTGAGTAAACAGATATAACATAAAAGGACTCAAATCAATAAAGAAAATTAATCAAATCATCTACTAAGAATAAGACAAAACCTTGAGGGAAGTGCATACAAAGGTAAAGTAATCATTTAATATTATACAAAAATTAAGCACATTATCAATACTCTTATCTAACTTCTTTAAATGCTCTTAAATGTGTTGTTCTAATAGTTTTCACTACTTATAAGCCACATTATTATTGACATTCACCACACATCCCATGACCTATCCTTATAAAATTTTTACCTACCACTTGTTAGTTGCATTACTACAAATTTTGTCACATATCACATACACTATTCATGTTAGCTTTTCACCATTTCCCCTCTCCTGATCAAATATATATGGACACAATATTGAGATAATACATTTATCTCTTATCATGTGAGTCAACACACTATCTAGTTAGTCAAGAAATGGGTCAACCCATGATAATACATCATTTTTATGTAATAAGTAACACATAAGCAGAATAGTTGGAGAATTAGTTAATGCTAAATAATATATACATTTTACATAATGTACGAAATATATACATTTTACATTTTACATATTTAGTTAATGCTAAATAATATATATAATGAAAGATTAACTAAATTATGCTTTTGACTAATTGTATGAAATACATACATTTTACATACTTTTATGGCATATTTATATGTTCAATATTCCTTGATTATATGTTAATATGCTTTACATGACATTTTTAACCTTACGTCTATTAGTACTATGAGCAAAATCAGAATTTAATAGCTGAAAATCATTCTTTTATATAAAAATATATTTTTTCTGAATTTTTGTGATTTTTAAGAATATATTTTTCAATATGTGTTGATTTACAAGAGAACTATAACCCCATAAAGAAGCCTATTAAGGCCTATTTTTTCAGTTTATTTAGTTAAATTAAAATTATTATAAGAAATGGGTAGAAATGAGTGAAAACGTCTAAAAAAAACTATAAAAAAAGACCATTATTACTACTAAGTTGATTACCTATTACCTATAATGGATTCTAGAATTTATAAGAGTATAAAAACTTTGGATTTAGGGCAAAAAGCAAGCTCTTTTCGTCCTCTTTTTATTAGGTGACAAATGGCAGCATTCTTATGCTTTTTTATCAATTACTTGTGTTATATTTGATAAAACTATTATCTATACATCAATTTTTTCTTGTGTTAAATGACACATGAATGAATCAAAGAGACAACTAATTTCTAATGATTTTATTCAGGTTTTTGCTTGAACTAATTTATTTGCTTGTCCTTGGTGTTAAAGGGAGGAAATTCTGATTTCAATCCATCTTCTATCCAATTCCTTGATGTTTTTGAGTTAGTATTAGCTTTAATTTCATCTACAATAAAGAATCTACAATAAAAATTAATTCATTTGTTCTAGATTTAGAATTCATTCATCTACCTCATCCCTAATGTTAAAGGAGGATTTTTTGACTTTTAGTTGGTTTTAATTTGATTTTATCAATATTATATTGTGTTTAATTGATTCTATTTTTTTATGATCCCTTTTCCTTACATTTTGGAGTCCATTTTAATATTATTTTTTATTTATGTAAATCATTTGTTTCTTTGTCGACATGCCCATTTCCTTTTCTTTGCGTCCTCCTCTCTCCATCTCTATCTCTCTCCTCCTCTCTATCATCTCTTATTTTATTTATAATCCATAAATTAGGTTAATTAAATTTATTTTATTATATATATATATTAAATAATTCAATAGTTATGACAGAAGGGAGAAGTTGGTCATGACTGATTGAGCATAAAATATCTAGTTTATTCCTCCTTTCTATTGTTTATTTTATTTTTTTTATTTGTATTGAAGTTTATTTAGAGAACAAAAGATATTATCATCATTTTTTATCTTCCTTGTGGATTCATTTTAAGGTGAATTCAATTTTCTAAATGTTAAATTTGTCATCTCTTACTATATCATTTTAGATACGATCAACCAACATTGTCTCATTTGGTTTCTCTTCTAAATTGACTTATTTTGACCTTATTTGAATTGGCTTGATGCTCATTTGAATTTTGACTAGGATTTATTTGTTTGAGCATTGAGAAACACATTTCTATAAACTAAAACTACACCTAAAGATATAGATGTTGATTAGGTAATTAGTACATTTCAACACATTTGCTGATAATTTTTGATATAAATGCTCGAGATCATCTTATTAAAATATAAATCATTTTCCTTAATGATGGATTGTTGTAATAATTTGTCACTCAACATAAAATACAATGTGGTCCAAATATTAAAATGTTCTATATGTTTTAAATGCAAGTATATATACTTTCATGATGATTCTGTATATTGTAATATGTGACACAAAATAACATGTGAGTCTAACATAATGTATCATCAATAAGTCTCTTTAATAATTGAGAGTTGTATTCATTAATATAAATATTATATACTCAACTATGAAACTTCAGATACTTCTTATCAATGTGTTATTCCATGTATCAACATATATAATTTCATATATTCAATTATATCACATCAAACATTTTATATACTAAGATGTTCAACTTCATATATTGACTTCATAAAAACTTTGAGTTAATGTTTGTATTTCTCAACATGATTTCGGTTATATTATAGCCCAAAACTTCAACTATAGCATGCTTATAAACTTCAGGTATATCATATCACAAAACTTTATATATTGAGATTTGAAGCATCATTTACTAATATCACATCATAAAAATATGTATTAAATGTTATTTATATTTAATGATTTATCGATGCATCTCTCTTGATTTTAATGCTTGTATTTCTCAACATGATTTCTAGATGTCTAGATATCAAGATTCATATAGTGAGTTACTCAACAGCATCATACTTATCTATTGAAAGATGGAGCCACATGGACAAATGTATTCCTTTTGAGTTTAATGCTTGCATTATGTAACATAATTTACTTATACTTAAATATTAAGCTTTGGTATACTCTTTTAATCTATGACATAATCTTTTATGTATTTCGCATGTATAGAAGTATGATGTTTGATGTGGTTCACTATTCCACAACAGAACATGTCAAATATTAAAATATGAAACTTGATATGTAACACTATTTTGAAATGTATATTTCATATAGTTAAATATTGTTACTAGAAAATTTTCAAATTAATATTTTTTTCTTTACATTCATTTTCCATTCAAATCATGAGTCCTATCAAATTTGTATTTGAGAATGTTTAATGTTTAAAACATTTTTCATTGATCTAAAAATATTGTACCACTGTGAAATATAAAATTTACATACTCTAATAGATAATACCAGATAGTACACAATTTGCATATGACTCATTTTTCTTTACATTCATTTTCTATTTAAATGATGAGTCCTCACCAATATCTACTTGTCCAATGTGCCATCATTGAGATAAATCTTTTGTCTTCTGTTTTGAAACTTTTAATAGCTTAGAGAACTGTATTATATCATGTAAGAAAAATATGAAATAGATAAATAGTACAAAATTATAATTAGATCATTATATATATAATTTAGACAAATATTTTGAGTCCACAAATATGTCCACACATGAATTATTTGTGACATATACCATATGATCATATAATTAACCATGAATTTGTATATATTATCTTTATAATTATGTATTCTTCTCCATTATCATATAAATAATATAATATTAAGGATTTAAATCTTAGATTAGAGTGGAAATTATAATCATTCAATAAATAAAATCAATATTATTAGTCTACTGAATATCTTGACCATTTAAATCATACAGGTTATGATATAAATTAATAGTAATAAGATATACTACCTTTTCAATAAATTTTCATTTGTAGTCATCAAAATTGAGGGCATCAACAAGCATTACTATGAGCACTTGACCCAATAAATGTAAAATAAATAATATATTATTGAATAGACAAAAATATGCTAAATATTCTTTTTGACCAATAGTCACCAACATTGTAAACTATATTATAAATCTAGTTTACTAAA